ATATTTTTCTCGTCTACTGTAATGTTTTAGTAGCTTTATGAATGGACTTTTTCCTTGTTTAGGAGATCGTGTTGTTTCTAGTACTGTAAAATACCTTTAACAAATCACCCTATCACATAGCACTCATGTTTTCATTTAAGGCTCGCAAAGTGAAGTGGGAAATAGAAACAAGGAGTTTCTTTTTTTCCTGGAATGTGTCAAATTTTTACTTTGACCATCATGGGTTTTTGCCTCTTGTGAACTACTTCAATAAACCATTACGTTTTAAGTATGTCTACTTTTTAAAAATGAAGTATTTGAAAACTATGCCCTAGAAGATAGGTGTTTTTTTTTTTTTTTTTTTTTTTTTTTTTTTTTTAAGAAAAGGAAACAAAGAAACCTAAGCAATTCTTATTTTGGGTCAGTTAAGTAGCTCAGTTCATTCTAGTGTGGTGTTACGGTGGCAGAAGGGTCTCTGAACAGTCTTGCTGTGGAGTCAGTGAAATGAGATGAAGCAATTATGGAAAAAGTCCCCATTTCCTACACGGTAATTGTAAAACATTTGGCTGGAATTTGCCTACATACCAATCTTTCTCCTTTCTGCTGGTTAGCCTTCTCTCAGATGGATCTGTTTAAGGCCTTCAGAGTTCAGCTTTTTTCCATGCTCTAATAGTATCCTCAGATTGTTCACCTTTTGATGGGCAGTTGTCCCGGGTGGGATAAGGCAAAGTTACCCTTGTTGTCACTGAAGGTGATAGCTTCCCTCAGTCTTGTTGTCCTCATGCTTTCCTTCCCAGCTCCTCCTGCTGATGAACTCCGAGGGTTCGGTGGTTTACAAAGCTGACAAAAAAAAAAAAAAAGTTTTTTAGTTAGATTGGTGAGTTGGACTTGTTTGGTTCTCTGTTGGGTCTTTGGGTTCCTGCTGGAGGGGTGATGGATGTTGGGAGTAGTGGAAATGCACGGCCACGGGTGCTGTGTGCTGTGTGGACCTGCGGACTGGGTTGTGCTGCTTGTGAAACTGTATCTATAGCAGGGAAAAGCTGTCTGTGTGGGGGCAAGATACAGGAAAAAGGAAGGACTAGAGGGTGAGAAGAAGGTCTAAAAGGAAAAATTTGCTGGAGCAGATTCAAGGAAGGAGCAGAAAGTTGAGCTCTGGGAGTAAGTTAGAGAAGTTACCTCAAATGTTGCTGGCTTGCAAGAGTTTGGAGAAAGAAGCAGCCACTGGACACAGTGGGCAAAGAAGCTGAGCCTAGGAGCGGGGGGCCACTACTGAAAGAGGCACGGAGAGATCTTGGGAGGACCTGTTTTAAAGCTCTGGAGCCCATCTTGTTAATTCTTACTGAATTCTTAATTTGGGTCAGTGTAGGCAGTTCAGAGTCAGCCCTTGTATTCTCACAAGTCTTCCAATTCAATAGCAATAGAGGCTCGTTGTATTTTGATGTCTCCCTTTCAAGTAGGGAATTCATTAGGTCAGCATTTCCGAAAATTTTCATGTTCCAGGTGTGCTTGCTTTGGGTTAAAACAGGCTGCAGCAGGCAGATTTCCCCAGTGTTTAGCCCAGGCAGAGGCTGCTTGCCTCATGACGCAGATGACACATCCCACTGCTCGTTTCTTCTAGGCTGCAAAGGACGGGGGTACTCAGAACAGATAGGAGCACCCAGGGTGCTACTCTGACATGCTTCTGCTGCTCTCAAAGCACACAGGTATGCCCGCAGGAATCACTTCTGTACGTATGAAACTAGGAAACAAGGGAAGGTCCTAGCCACCAAATGAAGTTGCAGGAAAGGGGACTGCCAGAATAAAAGTTTTTGAGAAAGTTTGGTGATTTTTCAGTGCTGGGTTTGAAACACTGGAAGTGTGGGAGACGGGGGAGACAGCAGGTTTTGGAGGATGCTTGAATATGGGAGAGAAGAAGAGGACGTGCTCTATTTAAAAGCAGATGAGTCTGTTTTAACTATTGGCCCATTCAAGATAGATGAAAACGAGCTTGAAAGGTGAGAAAGATATCATTTGGAAGTGAAATCATATGCAGCAAGGGAGTCCTTACAGAACTGACTAACCCAAGAAATGCACAGGAGTGATGAGTGCAGTTGCTTTTATTGCTTTTCTATCTGCACTTCTTTCAATAAAAAATGGATAGAAAGGCTTCATAAGCGATTTTTGCTGTATCAGAAGCTGCATGTGGCCCTAAAGGGAGGTGCTGTAAATCAATGGGTATCCCCAAAGTTGATATTCAGAATGAGCCAAGAACTACAAAGCCTAAGATTTAAGTTCTGGTAGTGCTAACATAAATCAGCTCAGCTGAAAAGTGCCATTTCTGCAGAGGGATAAAAGAGCTTGAGGTAAGGCTCGGTAGGAGAAGCCCTGCTGGATGTGCCGCTGCCCCTTTTGGTAAGGGCACCGACTGAGATCTGATGAAATCCACTGGGAGACCGCGGCCTCTGGTTGCTTCTGTTCTGAGCTTCCTGAGTACTTCCAGGAAAAAGAACAATGCTACAAAAGTACAAAAAAAAGTACAAAGCCAACCAAACAAAACACAAAACATGAAGTGTACATGTTGCCACTCTATTAATTAGCAATGATTAATGAATAAGACCAGTTGAAGTTGATCTATGTGTGAGGTGTAGAATGTATAAGCTTTCTATAAATACCCAATTTCTCCTACTAGTGCACATGCTTTTTTATTATTATTATTATTATTATTATTTTGAGCCAGGGGCATAAGCTTCAGTGTTCCATAACTTTTAGCATCTGCAAACTTCATGTGGCAATTCTAGCTGCTGCTTTGGAGGGACCAGTTTACTTAACTTCGTGTACCTTTCTTAAAAAGAGGGGGTTTGGAAGTGTTTCAAACTATTACAGAGAAAAGGCTGCTCTGGAAGTTGGGTGTTAGTGACTTTTTAGAGCATATTTTTAAGTAGGGAAATGTGGGGAAGAGGCAAGTTCTTATAGATGTAGCAATGTGTGTGCGAGACTGTCCAAGTTAGAAATCAGCTCACTGCGACTCAGTTATTGTCAGAGGTTTTTGTGTCAAGTTTAGAAGAACTCATCTTAATGAAAAAGTTAACAACGTTCAGAAAAACTAGGTTTTATGAACTTACACTGAGTAAGGTGATGGTGGTTTTTGGTGCTACTTTTGTTTTGTTTTGTCTTTTTGTTGTAAGATTGACCTAAGTTGTTTGACAGAGTTGTTGACTTCTCCGGTGCTAAACTTTGGCCTTAAAGTCAAGTGTCTTGGTAATTTCTGGGGTTTAAAATAACAAAGTGTTAAGAGATACCCATGTGGCCGTCTGCTTGTCAGTTTTGTACCTTGCCCAAGTGTTACAAAGGGATCTTCAAGTGAGACAGAGGAGTGTCACTTGTAAGTATCCTCCTGAGACCGTTCTCAATGTTTTTAAAAATTATTTATATATGTATATATGCATATATGCACACACGTGCATATATAATATCCTTATTTCAAAAATAATATAATTATCTGTCTTGTGTGATTTTTCTGAAGTGATGTTCTTCTTAAGTTTACTCTCTGATCTGTGCCAGCAGGATTTCATTAGCTTTAGTTTTTGGAAACCTGTACTGACAGTTCACATGGGACCTTGCAAGCCTGATGCTGGGAAGGAGGTTGAGGCAGGGGTTCTGCAGCGCTTGTTTTGTTAGAGAACCTTTCCCACAAAGCTTACTTGTGAAGGAGCTTTGTAAGCACGTAATACTTGAAATTTCATGTGAAAGGTGGAAATGAATAGATTATTATGAAGTGGAATGGTCAACTTAAAGAAGAACCCTAACATTCTCAATTTGTGTAGTAATTAGATAATTGTAGAACCATAGGGAAATCTAGGGCAAGGAGCAAATGGGAATTTTGTGTTGATAGTTGGAGAAGGGTATGTGGCCGGTAGGCAGAGCCCAGTGCTCAAATATATATAACTGGTGGATACAGAATTGGAAGGGTGAACTACTGATGTTTGGCTTATTAGAGGGTGTAAACATTTTTTAGATGAAGGTGGAATACTTGGTAATAACTCACTGAAAGTTTTCAGATTTGAATTCGGTACAAAACTGTTCTGGTATCTGGCTCTACTAAGTGTGGTAAATGTTTATCATTTTGCTAATTAGTGGTTTGGTACAGTTAAATGTCAGTAAAGCCATGTCTATATTTGAAAACAATAACCAACAGCTTAAGTAGTATGAACTGCTTTGCATGTAGCTTGTACATCTGTTCTTATCTTGATAGTGTCTTTTTCCTGACCTTTATCTGATCAGGAAAAGGAAGTTAAGGTCTCATGGTCATCTCAAGATGCATACTTTTAAAATCTGGGAGAAAAAAAAAGGCTAATGAGTGAAATTATTGAAGATTGATATTTGAAAATGCACATCCATCAATAGCTCCCAGTGGGGCTTATGAAGAGTACTTTATGCTCAGCTGTCTTGTAAATTTAGCTATTTAGATTCTTATATAGATTAAAAAACCTTTCTCTAAGCATCCATTTCTGAAACACTTGTCTGTCCCTTTCAGCTAAAGAATGAGGCATTTTTAATCAAAAGTGTGTGATTAAGGAACATGAAACCTTTGTTTCTACAGTAGAGCTCTGTGGAATTATAAATCGCACAAGATGTCCCTGGTTACTATCATTTCTAAGTTTTCTGTGCTTGAAGAGGTTGCCATTAACCATTAATACAGGGTATTGGATTAGAGGAAGGAAGGAGCTGTTCTGAATGACTAATTTTCACAGCCGTGTCCAATATTACCGCACAATATCTGTTTTAAAGTTAGTTGCATTGAAACTTTATTTCTGGTTACCGAAGGCAAAAAACAGGTAGGTTTGGAAACTTCAGTTTCCACTGAAAAACCTTTGACATAAAGTTACTGTAACTTGACTACTTGTGTTTATTATTACAAAGCATATTAAAAAAAAAATCTATCTATGTTTTGCTTTCTACTTAAATAACAAAGATGATTGGTAATTAAAATACAGTAATTACATGCTTTTTTTTAACACTAATATGTTTTTGTTTTCCTTCAGTATCTGACATTGAAGGTGCTGATGGGTTGCAGCTCAGAAAGGAACATGCGCTCAAGATATTTGCTTACATCAATTCCTGGACACAAAGGTATTTTATTTTTTATTTTTCATGAGTTTGAATATTGATGATAATGAATCTCAACTGTATGTTTCCCTTCATACAAAACCTACTGTACTGTGAACTAGAGCTCTTGTTTACTAGCATATCACAAGAATCTATTTTCAAATGGGTGAAGACACTCCACTTAAATGATACTAAAAGGCTTTTTCTTTCTACTTGGCACCAGAAGTTTTAGATGCTTCCATCACTGTACCTGTGCTGAAAGTGGGAAATAATGAATATTAACTTTGTCTGAACCAATGAAAAAAAAATCTATATTCAAAATGTATATTCTTTAAGTCCTGTAGCTCAAGGCCATGTTTGTATTCCCTCAAGAGAGGCAGCACCCTCTGCCTGTCGTAGTTCTGAGTTCTTTGTCTCTTTTTTCTTCACAAATTATTGTTTAAGCCAGGTTTCTAGATTAAATTCAGTGCTTTGTGGGAGAGGTTTTTTAATCTCTTCTTGATGCTTTCTTGCCCTTTCTTCTTTCTGCTTATTTTTTAGAAATGGAATGTACAATTTTTACATTACTGTAGTAGCTGAGAATTATATTTATGGACTGAGGTCCGTTGTGCTGTATGCAACAGGAGAAAGGCCTCAATTGGAAGACAGCTCCAATTCTTATAGCAGTTGCATCATTTAGTAGAGTGTGAGTGAGAGAGTGATGAGTCCAATTCAAATACTGTTACAAGCATGTAACTTTTAATTTTTGTCTTCATTGAAGCCCCCATGCTTATTGATTGCTTTTTTTCCTCTACATTCTCCAGGATTTAGATCCTTTTAGGGGACTGTCATTCACCTTTTGTTTGGAACGTGGAGAATGCCTTGTTTGCATGGAAGAAGCAAATGTTCCTGTACAATAGGTTCTAGGGTACCTATCTTGGGGGTTTGTGCACCCAGAACATCTTTGGCATATCTAGTTATCCTTGCCCACAACTAAAGCTATTATACAGGGTTTTCTAATTTGATAAGTGGATTGACTTTCTTATTTTATTGATGGAGGAACAGTACGTAGTTTTCTCCTTGTTATTTTCAGTCTACGGTGTATTGGTAGATATTCAGAGGAATAATCTCTGAGTCTATAAAGCGAAGAAAGTGGTGAAGACAATATTGTTTTTTCCCATCTGGGTAAAGGGTGCTAATGTGCATGGGGTTTCTATCCAAATGCAGGTAGAGGACACGAGTTTAAATACTCAGTACAAATTAGAAATTATCTTGCTGCCCTGTTGATTAAAAAAAATAATAATAAAATTAAAAATAAAAAATAATTCTTACACAGCTAACAAGCCTACCAGGTGGTTTAGTGCAGCAGTATTGATAGAGAAATCCAGGTGAAGAAAGGGATTCAGGAACATACTCAAGAACACTATTTCGTTAGCAGTTCAATGACTTTACCTCTAAGATACCTTACGTGTATTTTGAACTGAAATAATTGGATGTTTACAGGGTTTAAGGAAGCCTTTGTGACTCCAACTTGCTGCTAGGAAGTGTCAGTTTTATTTAGACTTCTTGCTTTCATGACTGTCACATATTCTGTTGTTTGAAATGTCTTCATGTGCAGAGTCCTTTTGGTTAGTCACCTTAGTCACCTATGTATTAGAATTTGTCCTTGCTTTCTCGTTACTAACTTAATAGAGTCTAGTCTTACTGAATTTGTCATTCTAGCTGTTTTGATTTTTAGCTACTTCAGGAATTTTTATTTATTTATTTTTTCTCTTTTCTTACAGACAATGTCTGTGCTGTTTCAAGGAGTATAAACATTTGGAGATCTTTAACCAAGTAGTATGTGCGCTTATTAACTTAGTGATTGCCCAAGTTCAAGCTCTGCGGGACCAGCTCTGTAAACATTGCACTATTAATATAGATTCAACATGGCAAGATCAGAGTAATCATGCTGATGAGCCCTTGAATGTAGAAAGAGAGTCTCATGAAGAAGAAAATGGAGAACGGCAAAAATCTATAGAGAAAAAAATAGATTCTGCAAGAACTTGTGTCCTGACAGAGGAGGAGTCTGCAAAGAACACTGATGCTTTTAGCTTATGGAGCACTGATGAGAAGGAAAAGTTGTTGCTGTGTGTGGCAAAAATCTTTCAGATTCAGTTTCCTCTGTACACTGCTTATAAGCATAATACTCATCCCACAATAGAGGTATATCTTATCTTTATGTGTATATTTTTACTTTTGTGAAAGATTATTTATTCTCACTAGACTGTGTTTGATGATAGTTGCTTTCATACAGGATGGGCAAATTCAGCTCTCCTGTTGACTTCAGTAGATCTTTTCAGAGAAACTTTTAAAATGACACATACTCTTACACTTTCTTTAAAATATGCTTAATTGTTATAGGTAATATATTGATAAGTGTTGGATGGAACTGTACACTGAATTATTGTACTGTTTAAATAACAGGAAGGCAAAAAGGGGACTGTAGCGAAGCCTTTCTTCCAGAAGGTAACCCATTAATAGTTTACTAATTTCTTTTCATTACGATCTATGGCTCTAGAAGCAAAGCTTCATAAACTGAACTTTGTGCAAGACCAGACTTTCTTGTTAGAACAGCTGTTTAATTGATGGGAATAACTGATTTCAAAGCAAGTAGCTTTGTTCTGCGAGTCCGATTTTCTGTGATACTTGTTACGCCTACCACTCACACTTTCAATAATGCATTCTGAAAACAAAACAACAAAAACAAAAACCACATTCAAAACTCCTACAAATATTTAACTCATGGTTTCCAAGATAAATATTAGTGTGAACATTTCCTAGCTGAAACAACATAGTTTATGGAAAGCTTGCTTTTTATTTCAACTTGTGATGGCCTCTTAACATATAAACAGCTTATAAAATCTGTAAACAAAGAAGAGCTATATAAAGAAAACTTCTATCCAACAAACTTCAGAGTAAGAATAGAGAATGAAACTACAGTTAACTCATTTTTTTTATTTTTTAATTTTAGTTTCAGAGCTCCATTGGAGCTATGAGTAGTTGAGCTTGCATTTTAAACTTCATTTCAAATTGAAAAGACGTCATCATGCATCACTTTTCGTGTATGCTAGTGGGATCACAATATAATTAGTTGTTGTTGAAGGGATCCTGCCACATTTAACAATATATCTAGTTTAAAATATTGTAGGGTAGGGTGGGCAACAGCAGTTTTTTTGAGTGGGCTGGATTTTGTTCTTATTTTTTCTGCCGAAACACATGGGCATAATTTAACATCGGTAGTTCCACAAATATGTATATAGAGAAATGACACAAAGCTTAGGATTTGTGGATTTCAGTTTTCCCATCATTCATTTTGGTTTGCCTCTTAAGCTTTAACCATACGTAAATCTGTAGTTCTGCCTCTGCAAGTAGAAACTGAAGAGGGCTGATGTATCTCATTATTTAAAGAAAAAAAAAAAAGAAAAGAAAATCAATGCCTGCTTAAGTGATTTAGCTTTTGTACTCCTCTGGGACGCCTACTGAAACTAGTTCCATAGGAATATGCAATGAACAATTCTGGAACAGGTTTTCTATGTCTAAACACACTTCTTTTAAATGACATCTTCATGTATTTTTTTCTTCTCTTTCAATTTCACTTCCAAATGATAAAAAGAAAATATCAAAGTGCTTGGTGAGATTTCTTTTCCACTTGATGTGCAACCATAAAATGATTGGCCGCAGATATGCAGTAGATTGCTGCATTGTGAGTGACTATCACTGTAGAGAGTGTATGTGGTGCATTGATCATTTGAATTACTGAATATGTTCATTCATTAGCTATGCTAAAAATATATAACTTGTGAGGGAAAAGTGTTTTTTTCCCTTTCTGCTAGACTTTTGTGTGCCCAGGTATGGATTAGGGAGGTATGCTAGCTTGCCACGCTTGCTATGTATGTTATTCCTCTTTTTTTATTGGGGTGGTTTTTATTTATTTAAAAGGTCCCGCCATCTACCATCAAGCTTTTTTATTTTTCTTCACAAAATGAGATTTTCTATATCTAAGAAGCCCTAGGGTTTATTCTAAAGTAATAGCGATAGCTATTTTAATGTCAAAACTTTTTGCTACTATAACTCATTTCTTGAGATTGAGAATTTAATTTTGGATTTCAGTGTAGAGCACATCTTAGTTGAATTGGGACAAATTAGTAGTCCCAGTAATGGGAGCATTTCTTGTTTTAAATCAGTCTTAGAATCAAAATAACAACAAATACCTGTTCAAAATGTACAATCAATACTTGTAAGCTAAATAAATTCCTGGACAGAACAAATCCACCAAGAATTCGTGTGAAAAGCCACTAGCTCTCCCTCCTCCTCTGCCTTGGAAAAGGAGAAAACTTCTGATGGAAAAATAGACACTCTCCACTTCAGAAATTCCTTGTGCCGGATTGCTGAGTTGAAGTTCTACAGGTTGATTCATCACGTCCAGTGAGGTTGCACTTTGCCTAGAAATGACCAACTAGGCTGTCATTTAAACACTTCCACTGCAAGGTTTTCACATGGTGTTGTCTTCTGGTAATGAGTAGTGGTCAATATTTACCCTTAGTCTTTGCATACACAACCAAAATCTTTTTTTTTCTTAATGACAGCAAACAGAATACAAGTCTTGAAGCCTAATCCAGGTGTCATTTTACACTTGACCAGATGGAGAAGAACTTTCATATGAAAGTAACAAGTTTTTCCTATTTTAGAAGTCCAAGCTTGATTAAATACAAAAGGAACAATAAACCAAGAGAAAAGGATATCAGCCCCTATGTCAGCCTGTAGACTCTGTCCTAAAATAGTACTGGTTAAGAGCTATTTTTGTCAGTTACACATTTATGACACTTCTGGAGAAAGTGAAGACCTTGTGAAATGAGAAGCAAAGACTGGTTGGTAGCCAGAGGGACTGCGTGTTAGCACCAGAAGTTTCCTTAAACAATTAAGTTCTGACAGCAAAGCGAACGTGACCTTGCAGAGGGCAGAAATGTGCTGGATATGAGGACAGTGAAAGTATGTTACGTGGAAGTAAATCAAGCTTATGTTACCTGAGAACTGGCGAGTATATAGTCTTGACCTGCGTAGAATGAATATGGGTCTGTATAGACAGAAAGCGTGCCTCAGCTTTTCTTAAACTGATCAGAAACATAAGGAAAAATGTCTTTCTACTAAGTTTGTGCTTTCAGAAGAGCAGAGCTGGTTGTAGTCCTTTAGAGGACAGCTCATCTCAGGGCATGAACACTGAAGAATAAAGCTTCAGTGAAGGTGAAGTCTGGAAACACACCGTTTATTCCTGTTGGAGTCTACCATTATTTTTGGTGCCCAGACAGAGAAATCTTTGCATTTTTTAAATGATAAAGAATAGACACACTCAGTATTTTTATAAATATGCTTGTGTTTTTGACAATTTAATATATTTTAAGAGATCTTGCATACAGAATAGTTCAAAACTGTATACTCTGTTATTCAGTTTATACTTACTTTATGCAGCAGGTTTAATGGGCAATTCAGAGGGGAAAAAAGGTTTTGAAAATGGAGGCTCTTAAAATCCTGTAAAGAAAGAAGCAAAAAGATAAAATGCACTCCTGAACTTTGTACTGTCTTAAAATTCCTCTAGACAGGAATGAATAATGAATCTTAAGGGAGTAAGCCAACTGTTCAGCAGTTCTTGAAAGAAGGTGAAATTGAAAGAGGAAAAAATCAGTCATTTGGGTGTCTGTAGTCCTCTGGTTCTTTGGAATGTTGCCATCTATGCTTTTGTTTTTCAAGTAAATCTTTCTTTGGAAGATACCCCTAATTAAGTACCCTCCACCCAAAACTGTGCCTGTGGCAGACTTAAGTTAGCATATTTCATCTGGAGTGGTGGTTGTTAATAGCATATAAGATTCCCATGAGGAATTCTCTTATTTCCTCATAAAGGTGATCATAAGGATTTTTTGGTCTCTTGACTGTTCTGTTTCACATCTGCAAGTACAGAAGTCACATTTCCAGACTCGGTCTTTCAACCGTGACGCTTTCAGTAAGCGCTCACGCACCAAACTTCCATGAGTTGACTTCTCTATTCTAAGAACTGTAGTTTACCTGACAATAATTCTTTCTTTATTTTATTCAAGAAAACTAATGAATTTTCTCACAGTATTTTTGCAGTTTTTGTGAGCATAGCACTGAACACCTTTTCTAGCTACTTGAAAACATACCACCTACTGGCTTCAGAGCTGTTTTAAAAATAGCTGTTATGGTGTCACGAGTTCAGGCATGACTTAGATTTCAGCAGGAGAAAAAGGAAAATAAATGCTTAGATATAATACAATTATATTGAATAATTCAGAACGTTTGTATCGCACTTAATCCCTCCAAAATCACTTGCCTCTGGCATCCTGTGCTATAGTGTGCAGAAGCTTATTCCTACAGAGGTATTTGAAATGTATTCAGGAAACTTCATTAAGAAATTATCTTAAACTTGCATTTGAATTGTGAATATGAGAACTGGGTGTTTGGTACAGAGAGATGGGAAGAAGAAGGTGTGCTGTAACTACCTACAAGTATCCATGGCAATATTGTGGTTTTACAGTCACATTTTATGATAGTTTGAGTGCCCTTTTGCTCTTAGCCACATGCAAGATACACACAGTATGTGTAACAACCCTAATAAAGAAAATTCCCGCTTTATGCTGCCCAACAAGTAGGTGTTGTGAACATTAAAAAGAAAAGTTATTTTTCCAAACTCTTTTCAGTTTAGTACTTCTGGAAAATATGTTTGTCATCATAGCAGATAGCTAACAGATTGATAAGGTGATACAATTCTTTCTTCCTCTTAAATTAGCTTTATCCTGTAAAGAGTATTAGGCACTAATTTTATATGAGGTGTTTCATTATATGTAAAATAATATAATAGTTGAAGTTAAGGAATTATATGCAGCCACTGCACCAGGCTGTACCCCCCTTTGCAGTATTTCTGTTGAAAAATTGCTATTGAGGGTGAAAAGGGAGGGTGGGTAGGTGGGGGGTGAAGAATGATGTTTTGATCCCAGCCTTTGAGAGCCACTGCTGAGATGTTACCTTAAATGTGTATTTGTGTACTTACAAATGCATTTCAACAATAGTAAACTCATAAATAAGAAAAATATGCTTTGGAGTGTGAAATTGGAGCAAAGCTTTAGCTTCTGACTTCGTCTAATCTAGGTTTTTGATTTTTCTGTTAATTGACTATAATACCTGTTAATGATCAGTTGTGTTTTGTTCTACAAAAATGTTTTTATTGCTTCTATTAGTTAATTTTATTTTTTTTTCCTTTTAAACAGGATATTTCTGCTCAAGAAAGCAATATACTAGGGGCATTCTGTGACATGAATGTAAGTTGTCCATTACATATCTCCTAGAAACTTATAATAGCTATGTTGCTTCCTCTGTATAGATTTGTTATGATATTTTTATTTTATTTTGTATTTCCTGTATATCTGAATGGATCTAGCATTGATTGTTCGTATTCTTCTCCTTTTTTATTTTTTAATTTCTCTAGGATGTAGAAGTACCATTGCACTTGCTTCGCTATGTTTGTCTATTTTGTGGAAAAAATGGCCTTTCCCTCATGAAGGATTGTTTTGAATACGGAACCCCTGAGACACTGCCATTTCTTATAGCACATGCATTTATCACAGTGGTATCGAATGTAAGTGTTGTCTTTACATTTTTTTGTACTATTAAACACATTATAACAAGTAAAAGGACTGAAGTCTGGAAGAACTGTAGGAGCAGGGAAGCTGTCCTTGCAAAGTTGTCCTTGTTGGGAATGCGAGGGCTGCTCTCCACTGGGGCAGCATTTCACCATCCAAACCCTATGTATCTCCTGTAGGCATGTAATTAATTTTGCAACTTTGGATCATTTCATCATTCCTAGACATCAAGATTGTAGGAGCCTCAGAAAATACCTGTAAGGACAGTTTCAGATGTCGTTTTTGTTCCTGAAGTTGTGTCATGAAAATATTCTAAGCTGTCTTAGGCTACATTAACTTTTTACCTATTTCCTGTGAGGCACAAGGGATTTCTTTTCCTTTTGGTTTCTTGTGATTTTTTATCATTATAAACATTTGCAGTGTAGAGAGAGCTGTCTTTTATTTTCAGTTAGTTTTAGAATCGATATCTTTCATTGTTTTTCCATTTTGGAATAATAGCTATTTTTTACTAGAAGAATTACAAATGGATTTTAGTGGAGGAGATTGGAGGAGAGAGATTGGTAATAGAAATTAAAACATCTTTCTGAAGGACATATGAAGAGTTACAATAATGTGAATGTGAAGTCATGTCCTGTCCTGTTACATACGGATGTAAATGAAATAAATAGCTTTATACGCCTTGTACAAAGTGAGTTTAACATCATTTTTATATTGGTTCATTGCAGTATTACATGTTTAAAATCAGATCCTTGCTTCCACACATCTTTGCTCCTTCCTTGTTCCGTTCCTGACCAGCCAGGATGATGTTCTAAATAAGTATTGAAACATGTTTGCATAGAGGGAACCAATCACTGAAGTAAAGCTGGTGTTGGTGATCATATCGCTTCCTCCTGATCCTTTTAGTGTAATGGTTCTTCACTTGTAGGTCAGAGAACAAATGAGTAAGGCCATGATGTGCTCAGTAGTTGTAATCTTAGACAGGAGGACTGCTGCAGCACTCTTTATGTTAAACTGTAAAGATAGGTTTTCTGGCCCTTTCTGTAGGATCTGATGAGCTTTCAGGTGATGAGCTGATGGGCTTTTCATCTCTGGCTGTTCTCAGCACAACCTGCTGGTATCTCTTGCTCCAGTATATCAGCTGAGTTTCTGCTGTAATGTCCTGACTCAATTAAGTTAAAATGAGCAGAGAGACAAAGCAGCAAGTTGAACTGTTGTAGCTGTTCATGTTTTCATGTTCTAAATGAAATAGATTCTGATACAAATAGTTTCTGATACAAACTTGTGAGCAGACCAATTGTTATGTGGTACCATCGAGCAAGGCAGGAACTAGTTTATGTTATCTGTTAAATTCATTTTCACGGTAGCACCAACACTTGAGAGTTGGTATTTCAATAGCCTTTATTTTAACGATTATTAAAGGTAGTAATGATGGAATTATTTAAAGTCGTTGGGACAAACGAGTTGTTTAGCTACTACCTTAAATGTTTCAAAAAATATTTCAAAGTCTGTAGTGCAGATGGACTAAACACTTCTCATTAAAATGTTGGGCTTAGTAAGCTCCAGGAAGTGTAATAGATGAAGTTGGAAACAGTAAACCAAAGTCAAATCAATCATCTACTAACAAGCAGTAACATTCAACTTGGAAAGCATTTGCACTGTTTCTTTCACAAAGAATGGTGTATGTCTCATCAAGTGCACTGCAAAGGCTCATTTAAGAGAAGACCACCAGCACAAATCAGTAAATTGTTCAGGGCAACTGAGCTACTTATTATTAGTGGCGTTTCCTTTGTATAGAGGACAGAAAAATTATTGAAAAGATGTTTGTTTGAATTCTTGTATAGAGAAGATCTAGTTTGAGTAAATGCCTTCATCAGACAAGTTTATGTTTGTAATAAAGCCAGCAAATGTAATATAACACAATTTGCATCACCCAGGGAGTTGTCTAGTTGGCAATCTTGGTTTTTCTCCAACTTGCTGCTCGGCAAGATGCTTTCTTAGCAACATTATTGTGGTAGGACTGTTCCTTCTTAAGAGTATTTCTTTGCTCCTTTTTTAGTCATATACCTGGTTCCACCTTTCTTCCCATATTTCATATTCTGTGGTATTTGCTCAGCTTAACTACCTGACATTATGTTGGTCTCTTTAAAGAACTAACAGATGCAGAGAAATCCATGACCTCCAGCTTGTTTTGTGGAGGGTTTAAATATCCCTGGTAAAGTCTGTCATTGCTTCATTCTGAACGATTTCAGTTTTTTGATGTTGTGGAGGAATTGTTGCCCCTCTCAGTGGAGAAGAATTAGTAGAAATAGGCTGACAACTTCAAAAATTTCATTAAATTTTACTGTGTGAATCTTCGTAAGTCAGAAGTACAAACTGTTAAGAGAGACACTGTTTTAGAAATGAATTGTGTTATAAAAAACAGATGATAAAAAAGAAAGAACCTCTGAAGCTGGAGGATAGAACAGATGCAATATATATTGTATCTTAAAAGCAGGTGGAAGCTTAAGAAGTCTAATGAGAGTTGTGGATTTATTAAAAAAAATTATGTCAATATTTAGAAATTATTTTAATTTGACATTTTATTTAATTTAGTATATTTAGGTTTAATTTCATGATAAAAATTACATTTTCCTTTGTTAACATAAAATTATCAATTAATTCAATTCTGAGGATGAAATTCATATGTAACGCAAACATCTAGATGAATGAAATGGCTTGAGAAGTTTGAATTAATACACAGCGAAAATTAAGACAAACAATGAAAGCTATGAAAACAAAATTATAAAACCCTTTTACTACTTTTATTCCATAAAAAAATATTTCCTTGTGGATTGCTGGCTCGCATATGGAAAACAGCAGATTGTTGTGTTCCAAATCAGATTGCTTGAATACAATAGTATCTTTGTCATCATTGCAGTTCCTTGTCAAAATGTTATTTAATTTTTGTTTCTAGCACAAGAATCTTCTAGTTACACTTCCCATATTTGGCATGCTAGACCCTTTTTTTTTTCCTTCTTGAGACCAAGTAGAATCAGAAGCTTATACCAAATGTGGTATTTTTTTTGCAATGTGCAGATTTGGCAGGTTTGTCTTGCAAAATAGGTTAGTATTGTTATTGTGTACTAACAGTCACAGAGTAAAAAGTAAGTCTGAAAATATTTTTTCCAGAACTGACTCAAAGCTATTTGGCTAATTCCACAAATGTTTAAAATAAATACTGGCCATACAGTTTTCCTACTGCCTAATATTTTTCTCTTCTAGCAAGAAGAATAATGTAGAATTTTCTGCATTTCATCCTTGAGTGATTGTTGGTGTTAGCTATTCGGAAGATATGTGTGCACGCATGATTAAAATTATGTCAGTAGTAACAGCTGCTAATGTTTCATCTGTGCTAGATCCCTTACCTGGCACGTAGTTGTCTTTCTGTAACAGGTTTAACAGGCTCAGCATTCCTTTTTGAAATGCAGATGGAACTTCTAACTTTGCCTGTGTAAGTAGTTTGGTTGGTCCTCTTTTCCTCACAGCAGTGCTAAACAGCTGTTTCAGGGTGTTTTTCTGTGCATACATTTTCGTAGTGCATACAGTTTTGCAAAAGTGGTAAAGGCAGTATGGTAAACATGGGAATGCAAATGGGGTAGTAAAAAAACTTCTCTTAATCACTGGTTATAAAACAGTTTTATTTTGTAGGGTATATAAATCTTAAGAAGCAAAGCATCAATGTAAGTCAAATGATTTTACTTGATTTAGGAGAGATTTGTAAGGAACAAGATTCTTCATGGAGACTTGAAAAGAAGAAAGAAAAAGAAAAGAAAAAAGGAAAAAAAGGGGAAAAGAAACCCCACATGGCTGAGCAATGGGTTTTCCTACTTCAGAAACTACAGAAAATTCAGAAATGAGATGTCTGGACAGTATGATACTATTTATACAAAGTTCATATTTTCTGAATGACTAGAAGAAAAAATGCAACTCATGTTTCTAAGTCACAGAAACATTCTTCAGCTAATGGCTTTGAAAATGAGAAAATTAACAAGTTATTAAAAATAACATGAAAACAACAACAAAGCCTTTTTATAGAATGGGGTCACGTATGTAAATATATCAACAATATTTCATTCTTAACATTCTTATTAAATGTCATTAATGAATTTTTTATCTATTTATGTGTTTGCATTATAGATCAGAATATGGCTACACATCCCTGCTGTCATGCAGCACATTATACCCTTTAGGACTTACGTTATCAGGTAAATTTTTAATTTAATAATTTGTTCCTGGGAGGGCTTTTTGATAGCACCTATTTATAATTTTAGTTTACATACTTGCTAGTTGTTCAAGTTATTGCTCTGTCTGTATTATTTCAATGAGGAGAATGAAGGTAATATTTAGAGTTAGTTGGCGCAGCTCCTTCTATCTGCCTAATCTCAGTATCAATCAGATCAATCTTAGGAATAGAATTTTTGATACAACATTCAGCCCCATTCTGATATGTTGTGTCAGGATCAATTGTAATTATTTCTCTTATTGCAGTATCTTCATATAACTGCAGTGAAAATTTACACTGAGGTGATACAAGTAGAAGAGTACTAGGTAGTCACTGAAATTTCATCTACTGAGTTTTAACGCTGCTTTGCATTTTTATGTTCTGTATTTCCAGCTGGCATGAACTGAAGTGTGATCAAAAGTCTACTCGCACTTTTCTGTATCTAACTATATTCAGTCTCAATGATTTTCTTTATAAGCTGCCTATCATGAACACTTTAAAATTAAAGTACTTATAAAAATATTTAATAATACAAGGAGTTTATTTTTATTGTCTTTCCTAGGACAATAGCAAAAAATCTAATGAGTTGCTCATGAAATTATCTGGGGTTTGTGTATCTGCCTGGATGTGGTGAGGGCTGGTCACTGCTAGTAGCCCAAACTTAATTTTTTCTGGTGTAGACAACATAAAAAGCCACTGCTCTTGTGTGTGCCCACAACTTCTCCAAGGCTTTGGGTTTCCTCTATCTGTACTATTAGAAACGTGCTTGAACTGGTCATAGTTTACTTCCCTGTTATCAGTAAACGTGCCCTTGCAGATTACATTAATTGTACCAGTGTAAAAGCGCACTTCAAAAATAGTAATTACATTGGCAACAAAAACATACCAGTTTTTGAACCTCACTACCAGTGAGGTTCAAACCTACCAGTGAGGTTCAAAACTACCAGTGAGGCTCAGAACTATGTTTCATACTTTAAAATGTTCTGGTTTTAATTGTAAATAAGTTTCACTGTGTAGAAATGATTTGCTTGGCTACAGGCCTATCCTGGTGTAACATGGTTTCTACCAAAATTATACCAGCAGACAGGAGAGTATTCTGATCTTTTATTAAAATACATCACTCTTGAGTTACAGTCCAGCTGTGCACACTCCCTTAATGCTGATGTGTTATCTTTGAAGTCCTATAAAAGTAATTATTAATCATGAAACAGCCTGGAAAACAGCCACAGAGGGGCAAGCAGGGGATCTTCAAGTGCTTGTCCCAGTACATATTCAACCCGTAGTTGTTGATGTACTTGGGAATTTGGTTTGTGAGCCTTAACCGTCTTCTTGCAGTGTATGGAAAATAAACAGAGCATTGAAGGATCAACAATTAGAGATAGACTGGTAAGAAGGAACTTGAGTGAGACAGAACAAAGCACCCTGCAGATATTGCTGTTAATTCTCCCTTGCTTGGCATCATAGTTTAAGCATGTTCTACTTTGTAACTGTAGATGTAATTAGGGTCACTTGAATTAAAATGCTTTATTCTTCTGTTTTCCTCATCTCTTTAACGAGTGAAATATTTGCATCTAATTTAAAACATGCTTTGTCAGCACTTTCTTGTCATAAATGGATGTTTGATGTTATTACCAATACATTTGTGTCCATCAGAAAGGTAACATTGATACAGGATACACCTTTCAAAACCACCAGCAGTTTAGAGAAGGATGTTCTCTCAGTTTTCATTTTTTACAATTGAATGCTGATAGATCTGGGACTTCTCAACATTATGAAGTCCAAAACTTTGTGAAGATGCACTTACAAAGTGAGACACGAAGCTGGGAGGCCAAGTAACAAAATCTTTACTGCTGGATCTCTACAGGGGACAGAAGTTAACATAGATGCTTTCAGCAAAATATGGCTTATACAGCTCACCTCATTTGGTTGTCAAGCTTACAGATCTCTCCTCATTGGGTCTCAAGGTCTCCCTCTGCCTTCTACTTCCATATCTGAAAGCAAACATAACCCTGGGCACTGCAAGACAGCACTTTTAAAACAAGTTCTGCATTAGCTTCTGCTGCTCTGCAAAGACATTGAGAGAGCTTGGAGGGGGGTTTAGTCTAGAACGATCCCTTGGCGTTCTAATTAACTGCTCGCACTTTGGAGTGGGCCTCCTGTGTGCTCTGGACCCCACTGTGTGACCCTTCTCCCAGGGCAGGTGACAAATGGAGCAACAGTGCTGCAGAGGCATCTTTTACCATGCTGGAGTGAGGTGGATGTGTGGTCAGTGAGGATGTTATTGGTGTCAGCTGTTACTCAAAGCATCTGAAAGAGATGGGTCCCTGCTAGAAACCTTCATAAGAAGATGATTACATCAAATACATGTTAAGTCGTGGTCCTTGTGTTGATTGGAAATGGCCTGTTGTCTGCATGTTGGAAACCCCTCAACTAGAAATGCAGTTTACCGTGCATGCCCAGATGTTTCTCTTCACTGACATCTACCCTTTGTAGTTGATAATGGCCACATGGTAGATGCCTTCATGAGATGTCTCATCTAAAGGATATAAACTTTGTTAGTCCAAATTGCTGGACTAGCAAAGTTGTCATTGCTCCTGTTAAAACCAAGTCTAATAAATACTATTAATTAGAATAGAGCAATAGTATTCATATCCTGCCTCTGAAAACCCTATGCTTTTGAACAGTTTAGGAAAGAAATAAAAGATGTAAGTTAAAAAAGGCATCTTTTAATAAGGAAGCAAAGTATTTCTGACTTCCTCAGAAGGAAGCTTTTATTGATCACGATAACTTACAGTTCTTCATTTCAAATTGCAAAACTCTCATGATAAAATTATCATGTTATTTGTGATAAAAAGAAAGACAAGACTTAAAGATAGTTGATTCCAGCTGACTTCACGTGAAGATCAGAGGTGAGAGATGTTCTACATAATGCCAGATATGGGATGCTTCACGATAGTGGTAGTTATGAACAGTGTCATTTTGAGGACAACGTTTTTTTCATCAGCAAACTTCATTGAAACGTAGGGTCTCATGGATAGTTTTGCCCTTGAGAAGGAAACAGGCTATCAGTGAAGTCCATTTTTCTAAGAAGTAAGAGATAAACTTGTATGCCTGCTATTGTAAGTGCTTCTATAAACCACTAGAAAGTCTTGGATAGTATGAAGGGAAAGACCTAAAACTCCTCTTTCTTTGACTTCACAGGTGGTATCACTTGCTAAATGTTCCTCTGGTAAAATCTGAGAGAGCTATGTGTAGCAACACTACTGATCAATATCATATTTAGTTCTAACCCCTTCTCTTCCTTCTTCCTCTGTCCCTTTTTCAGACCGATCTTGAGAGATTTTGTTTACAAAGGGTTTGTGTCTCTGCCCCAGTTAGGAAGAAATGAGACGCTCTGTGCTAAAACACACTGAGAGGAAATTGCGTGTGGCAGTTTTCTCCAGCGTTAGCCTTTTAGTCTCAGAACAGGGCACAAGCACAGAGCTGGTGTATGCAGAGGGAGTGGAAGCTCCAAACAGAATTGTTGATCCATGGTGCTTTCTGTGCAATACAGCGAGACAGAATGGAGCTGAAAGAATTCAAATTAATGCTTAGAAGTATTTTTCTTAAGAATTTGAATTTTATGGAAGTACCCAAGACTACTCTTTGCTACTAAATGTCATGAAAAACTCTTGTAATAAGCCTGAAGTTTTCAGTCAGGAGACAATAGCTAGGCACTTAAGTTAATTCTTGGTAATGCTGAAGAGCCCTGACTCATTTGGCTTGATATACTTTTTGTAGCTGTGGTCCAAAGGAGTCATACTATGGGAAAAAAGATTATTTCACAGTTGTGTAGCTAAAGTACTGACGCACGAGACGTGATTGTACGCGTTACATAAAAATGGAAATACACATTTAAAACTGAACTCTATCCCCAAATACAGCAACTTTAAATAGTTTCAGCAGACTAAAACCTCTAAAAATTAATGTATATATGTGTATGTTCTGTTAATACAATTTCATAGAGGTAACAACAACTACTGAGGTGATAGGGTTACGAAGCAGGTAGACAAAAACTGTCATTAAGAGAAGAGGCAGTCTAGTGTGTTTTTGGGGTTTTTTTTTGACAAAAATGGCTGTTATATGAGTGATATGAAGACAACAATATGAAGATAATATGGAATGATTATTCAGTTTATCAAAAATAAAAAGAAGAGAACATCCACTGCAATCATCAGGTTGCAGGCTTAACAGAAGTTTGTTTTTCATGCAAACGCAATTGTGAAACTAATGGCCACAGGTTAATGAGAAATTCGAAAGTATAAAAGGAAGAGATAAATGAATTCACAGTAGTACATAGTTTCATCTTTTTTTTTTTTTTCTTGTAACATACGGGACAAATCTTTCATCTGCTTTTAGAGAGTCTATTTTGGGCTGGCCAGGCCTTTTGTCTTGCTCCAGTGACACTGTTCTTGTGCAAAGCAGTGCAGTAAATTTACAGCTAGTCGGTGTAAGGAAAGATGTGTATTAATTACCAGTACTAGCTAAAGATTTAATTTTTGTTAAAAATTAAGTTATACCAGTAAAAGCATAAAATGGACGCAGTTAACTGATAGAGACGGGCCTAGGCCACTGTATCCTTCCACAACTAAAATGAAGCTTAGCATACTTTGCAAGTTTCAGCAGATTTAATCCTGGTAATAAAAATATGATCATATTTAATTGATGACCAGCATAATAGTGCCAATAAATTTTCTAATGTAGATCCATTTATACTTGGAAAGGCAAGTATGGTATCTTCAAAAGCCATCTGGACATGGCCCTGGTTGAGAAGGGAGTTGGACCAGGTGACCTCCCGATGTCCTTTCCAACCTCAGCCATTCTACATCTGTACTGTGCTTAGCTCTTAGAATAACCTAGTTACATTAAAAAGGCTTAGAAATGGTGCAAATTAACAAACAAAAAGTGCTCTTTCTCTGTAGCTTTCTCTAGACCCTGGGCAAAGCAGATTGTACTGTTGGAGTACTTCTGTAGCTCTGAAAATGCACCTACAGTGTACGTTAAATCATAGAAGTGGAATTTTTTAAAAGCACTATCAATTATATAGTACAGAAATGTGACACAGGTCTGATATAAGTTTAGACTAAATACAATAAGTAAATTAAAAGAACCTTAAAAATATTGCTGCAGTGTAAGTTTTATGAATAAAAGTGGGCTTACATCAATACTTGCATAGGAATCAAAACTTTCATTACATTAACTAGATCAACATAGTTGCTTCACCAAACTTTCTAGTGTAAGTAGGGTTTCAGATGATAGCCTTGTTAGTGAAATGCAGTGAAGCCTCAAAGCATCCTCCTTTCTGTGTAAATTGATCCATGCCCATTCCTGCCTGTTACACACATGCACTCTTTATCTGTTATATGTAGAGTGAGAATTTGTTAATTTCTTTTAATACCTTCAAGATCTTCTGAAATCCTGACAAAACAATAAAGTAGCGCTTAATATGCATTCTAAAATAAAACTGAATAGAATAGTTCAGTTGGAAGGGACCTGCAAAAATCATCTGGTCCAACTGCCTGACGGCTTCAGGGATAACGAAAAGTTAAAGCCTGTTACTGAGGACATCGTCCATATGTCTCTTGAACACTGACAGGCATGGGATATCAACCACTTCTCTAGGAAGCCTGTGCCAGTATTTAAGCAGAAATAAAGGCTTCGGTCATACACGGGCTTTCCTTCAGTTGCAGTTTCACTTTGAGGTAGGGTCAAGTTTGACGTGCTTCCTCAGAAAGATGGCGTTTCCCATCTTGGAAAAAGACATTTCTTCCCCCATAGCTTAAATTATGACTGAAAGGGTTTGGGAACCAGCACTGATTATAGTTTGCATGTAAAAACGTGGAGATAAAAAATGGGCCAAGATTACTGATATTTGAGATGATTACATTTTGTAACAGAGACCAATGAGTTTTTTCACCAGTGTTTCTAATCCTTTCACCTGTCTGTAGATTAGAAATAGGTGATTAGGTTGGGCTTGCTGCTGAACTTTTTCAAATGAGTTATGCCTTTTCATTGCCGCTTTTTGTTTTGTTTAGAAATCATAGCACAGAAGCATTACTTCCTTGCCATTATCTGTTTTTCAGTGCTCAACATAAGAAAATAAATATTACAATTAATAACAGTGAGGAATCTGGTTACGATGGCCCCCAGTAGTCCTTCTCTTGTCCTCCTGTTACTTATCAGTGATTCCTGTCATAGATGCACAGTCTTTGATTATTTGTGCTGAAGTCTCTTTGCTGTGTTTGACAATGCTAAGTATCGTTGAAGAGTGTTTATTTTAAGGCCACTACACAAGAGCTGTGAAAAAGGGCCTCAATCTAAATAAGAATCAGGGCCTGTATTTTTTCTTTTCTTAATTTACTAATGTTTATACAATGCAAATGCAAAGGATTGGTGTATAAATCTAGTTAAGTGTAGTTTAATATCTCTTTTATATTTTAAAAGGTTCTTGCATATATTTGTCCAGTCTCCAAGGATAGATCCAGACTTAGGCTGTCAAACAAATGGATTTTTAACACATTTCTGTGTAGTTAAATCTAGGTTGGATGTAGCCGAAACTTCAAAATACTGAAGGCTTCCAATCTGCATTTCCAAAGAACTGTGTGGGATTCATGTCATTTTGTGGGTATCTGTTTTTTCAACATAGAAATTTGAAGAGGATTAAAGTCAGAAATGTATTTCCTTTTTAATGTATTTTACATAATTCTGTTCTTCCCTGGTGTTTTTTTCATTGTTGTCAACTTCTGATATATTATTGATAGTGATATTTTAACTCGTTACTCCTACAGCTGTTGGAAACACATATTTGCTATAATCGAGATGTTGTTCTAGTTTGAATCATACTCTTTCTTTTCTTCCATTTGTAATTTATTCCAGGTATTTATGTAAACTGTCAGACCAGGAGTTGAGACAAAGCGCAGCCCGGAACATGGCAGATTTAATGTGGAGCACAGTTAAAGAACCATTGGATACAGCCTTGTGTTTTGATAAAGAAAGTCTTGATCTTGCATTTAAATACTTTATGTCTCCAACTCTAACAATGCGATTGGCTGGGCTGAGTCAAATAACAGTAAGAACTTTTTAAAAATATAAATATTTAGAAAAATAATGTTTCTATTGTGTTTTACAATACTGACTTATTTGGGGGCATTTTTAACGTGTGAAACAAGAGAATCCTTGTATATACAGTGTTAGGAAATTACAGTTGTGGTTCTGAATGTAAGGTGTACTGAGAGATATGACTAAGACATGTCTGTGTTCTGCAGTATGTGGAACTATAACACATTTCCCGAACAATTTACCATTCCAAACAAAACTGTATTATAACCATGTTTTGCAACAAGGTATGTAAAATTAAGTCCATTGACATGGCTACAGTTGTTGCTTACAAACACTTTCAGTCTGTTTGGATTTTTACCTTTACAGTGTCTTGACTGTAGGGTAGACATTTCTTCAAATTGTAGGTACCTCTTTTTCCTGTTTGTTTAGTATAGTCTGTTTCTCAAGGAAGTGCATCAATTAGCAGAAGACTGAATTGAATAGGTAAATGTAAATAGTATTAAATAGAAATAGATTAAAACCAGAACCCCCACTCTTCCCTTTCCTATGGAAATGCTCCACATGGCACCAGCCAAGGTACATTGGGCATCCTTTGTCTGTCATTGTTTCCTACATGCGGATTATAATCACAAAGGGATAGAAGTGAACTTTTAAACTTTTTTTTTTATTAACCTGAGCCTTTTCAATTTTGTGTTTTGCTGACACTCTTGTATTTAAGATTTATAGGTCATATTGTCATGTCTGCCTTAATGCACAAAATGATGAATAGGAACAAACTACACTAAAATGAATACACATGTTCTGCTGAAGTTTTTTAGTCCTTTCTGAGCATATTTAACCATCTCTGACTAACAGATTACACAGTATCCCTCAGTGATTCTCTTCATCACTGAGTGTCAGTAAATACAAGACAAGTTATCTGAATCCACTGTCCATTCAGTTTTGTATTTATATGAATGAAAACATAATGCAGTTTGTCCAGCGTAGGCAAGCTGTAGAGAAATTTAATTTTTGGAAGAAATAGTGACAGCATGTATTTGTTACTCTATATGCAATTTAAATACATTTTTGTGACTTTACGTAAGTGCTATATTTTGCACACTCAATGCCTGAATTCTAATTTTCTGTCTTAATTAGTGTAAATTGAATTTTTGGAGTTTTTTTGTGTAAGAAGATTTGAGTTGAGTTGATGAAGTCTAAGGTGGAAATATGGCATATATTTTTGTTTTGACTTTTCATTTCCATGTCCTTTATTATTTATACAGTTACAGATCTCTCATAATATCTGGTAGATGTATTTTAAAATATTTCCATTGATTGGACATAGAAGTAATCCTTCCCTCCTCCTCTTGTTACCGTGTTACAATTTATAAATATGTTACAAACTTGCAATTTATAAATATTATGATATGTAATGTAAAAATGAGATTTTTATTAACAGGTATGTATTACCAAAATCAATATTCTACAGTAGTTTCAGATAGAAGATATAGGTTTCAGCTTGTAAAAACAACCAAAACACACACACACATACAAAAAAAAAAAAAAAAAAGGTATATTGTTTGTTAATAAGTTATTAATTTTTTGTACAAATAGTCTCTAAAACTACTCTGGAACTCTGAGACAGTTCATTATTCTTTCTCATTCAAATAAAAAATTTCTCTTTTTTGGTTCTCTTTTTAAAGATCTCAGGAAGATGTCTTTGGAAGCATCATTTTCTTTTTCTTGTTTGGCTTCTGAATTTTGCTCTACTTTTTTTGGTATGCTTTGCCTGGAACTATTTTGATTGCCAGATTTGTGCAACTTTGAGAGTGAAATTTGAACCAAAATTTTCAGAAATTTTGTCAGCTTCTTTACTGAAGTTTTGTGTCCTCTTTGCAAGCAAGGATCTGCTTACAAATCATTATTGTAGGTCAGTTTAGTTAGGTAGTATTTTCAGACAACCTTATCTATTACTGATGTACTTTCATTACTACTTTTCTGATTTTTTTCTATTCATATCTTTGATGGCTAGAATTTGTTAAAGTAATTCCATTGAAGTGTTCTTCTCAATCAGCACAATTTCAGCCTCCTGTATGTATTTAAGACTTTAGAACCAAGATAACTGCAACTGGAAAATATTTTCCTTTCCTGGACTTCCATTTGCCTAAAGTTGAGAATTTAGCCTTGAAGCAATTTGTCACTTCATTTCTCAAATAGATGTGAAGATTCAAAGAAAACTTGCGGCGCAGTTTTATGCAAAATATTCAAAAGTGTGAACTTTCAAATACACATTTTATTTCAAAGAAGAATATCTTCTCGTTATTTATATGGAAAGTTGACTCGGATATGCATTTCTAACTTCACTCACAGGATCAAGAACAATACAGAGCTGGTCAAATAAGCTCTGTGGCATGTCTAATTATTCCTTTTGCAAGATAAAGATACTTTTGCCATCATTATGGAGAGGGAAATTTTTGACCAAAATCATAAATGAATCTAAACAGATGCATGTGTTCTAACATGGAGGTGTTGATTTGTGTCTGCCAAGAGATGTTTTTTTCCCGCTTAACAGCTAACATGACCAGTCCTAAAATTAAACCTTTCAGTTTCGTGAAACCTCTTGAGACTCACAGAATACGTGCTGTATGGCATACAGGGATTATATTTGCTTACCACCAAATATAGACTTGCCTCTCTTGAGGGAGTAGTGTATGCATAATGTGTCATATCATCTGACTTAAGTTCTTATTTACAAAACAAGGTTGAAGACAGACACATGTAGGTTAATTTTAGCAAAGTGGAAGCTTGACTAGGTTGAATATCAAGTTGGAAATAGCTACAGAAAACTACAGCAAAGTGTAAACCAAGATATACCTGGAATTTTATTTTTGTTGTTACCTTGGTTCTTTTTGATTTCATCTCCCAGTCATCCATCAGTTGAGGAGATTCAGTTCTAAAATACCCTCTTCTCTCTTTACTATTGCATCACAGATGGGACTCATTTTTTTTTTTCCATGTCCTTCCAGTTACAGATGAACTTAAATATGTGAAAATGAATTCTCATAACCGATCTGGGCATCCTTCCTTTTCCAGGTTTTCAACACATTTTTATTTCTGTGAATTAGTGAAAATACAAAGGTAACATTGTAGGGTTTTCCCAGAATAAATTCGGTACAAACTTGCACACTGCTTGTTTATTCTTCCTATGTTGATTTCTAATGTAAAAAGTGTAATTTCTTTTGATGCCGGGGTCTGGAGACAAGAGTAGCTAGGGAGATTGCTTTTTGTTCTTTGCTGAAACTTCATTCTTCTGTTGTACTTTGCAAATAACATGTTTGTGTTAGATTAAGTAGTGTCTGGGCAGAGGCCTCTTTATTTTCTTGCAATCTTTCATATATCTTGCAAAATCTTAAGAGTATGTTACTCTCTTTGCCTTTTCATAGTAACCAAATGAAGTTAAAAAAAAAAAAAAAAGGTTTGGAGGTGAGTGAGGCTAAGGTGGTGCGGCACTATCCCACGTGTACTTTGTATTGCACTGTTGTGCTGGTAATCTAAGACCAGTTGTATAAATGATTTGAACCTTAAAATATGAAAAAGAAAAGCTTTCATCAGAATTCTCTTGGGTAAGGATTTTGTATTGGAAGTTTGGATCAACACATGGCCATAGATTTAAAATCAATAAGGGTCATACTTTGATGCTCTTCCACTTTTTGATACCTTTGAAAACATTTTCGGATGGGGCATGAGCCTTCAGAAATACCAGTGACCTTTCACTTCTTTATTTGACCCAATTCTAATGAGCCGTAACAATTTGTTCATTAAGTTCTGTTCACATATTTTTTCCACTCCTAAATGTATTTCATTTGAAAATATCTATTAATAACTTATCTATAATAATGGTGTAATCAGGCTCTTGTGTCTCACTAATTTTAATTCATTTTCGATTTTACTTCTTCAAAAACATGTTTTCACTTTAAAATTTTTGAGGTTAGGCACAAATAAATCTTTCTGTACAGTCTGAAGGAGATTAACTCACCAGAATTGTAGAGCGTGTGAGCTTGAGATGTTTCAAGAAAGAAACAAATAACTTTTTTGAAGAGGTTATGCAACAACTTTAATTTGAATTTCAAAAGCTTCATTCCTGTGTCTTTAATGTTTTGATGACAAGATGACCAAAAAGTTTCATTATGTAATTTTAAATGTTTAAAAATATCATATACATTTAAAGAATTGGAAACAGTCATCTATATATCTGGAAAGTTGGTTCTGAGGGTTGAAATTAGTATTTTCTATGAAGACCCTGTAGGCTTACAGATGTGGAAGAAAACAGGTGTGATTTCAGCCAATTGTATCAAGCTGCATAGTGGAGAGTTAAAACAGTTTCATGGTCTTTTTTGAGAGCACATCTCCAGAGAAAGTGCATATGGAAAGAAAGCCTTTCTAAGTACTAGAGAAATTCTAAATGTTTAAAGGTGCATATATTTTTTTTTATGTTTTTTAAAATTTAGATCCTGTAGTTTCAACAAAATGTGAATAAAATTTTTGTCTAGCTTTTATTTTAAAATCCCCAGTACTCCTTGTTTACTCTCACTCTCCTCCATCATAACCTTCAGGTATTCTATCGGTCCAAATTTCTCATGCTGCCTTAACCAAAGTTTGAAATGATGATAAACATCTCACTTTTAAAGACAATTCTTTTATAAGTGGTGATGCAATCCCCACAAGCTGTTCTGTCTCATATTATTTGAATCTGTTTTAGTTAACACTAGTAGAAGATTGAAATAGCTGACAGTGAGATTAATAATTATTATTAATGCTAATGATATGTTTAAGTCACGTGGATTTCCAAAGCATGGAGTTCATACACTAACATAGTAAATAAAGTTTCTTTCCTGTAAATAGAGTAAGGCACCGAATTTAACAAAAACCAACCAACCAATGAGCCAACACCCCCCCTCCCCCCCCCACACACACAGAGGAAAAAACACAACCACTATCAGCTACAGCTTTTCAAAATTTTGAATTTTCAAGGATATTAACAAGGAATTTTGGCAACCTAAACAAAATTCCAATTAGTATACAACCACAAAAATCTGGGGTTCATGAATTACTGAGGTGTTGTGTAAACATGGGATGATTAGTGTGCAAGATGTAATACTTTAACAGGGTTTTCATTTCTTTGTGACATAGTGAAAAAAGTTTCATTATATATACAGTCTTCTGTAATTTTCACTCTCCAATTTTATAGGCTTTCTTTTGTCACATTATCAGTATTGAAATCTTTGTTGTAGTAAGCTTTACAGTACAACAATGGGGGACTCAACCCCACTCATTACTTTCTAGAGTGTGAGTTTCATGTCTCATAAGAACCTGTGTGCAGAGTTACTGCTAGATGCCTTGCTTTGATTTCCATAGAGGGCAGAGTTTCCTAACATTATTTAATTGGTTTAATGAAAGAAAGGTTGATTTAAAAAAACAAACAAAATAATCCTTCTTGCCTACTAGAATGCCTGTTGTTTCAATTTCTGTCAAAGAATTGTATTTAAAACCATTGAAAGTATTAGGAAGAATGTTTAGTGTCATTAATATTATTTATTAAAGAGAACTACCTCGCAAAGTATTTAGATAAAATTTTAATTATTTTTTCCTTTTTCTAACTATAGAATCAACTTCATACCTTCAATGATGTGTGTAATAATGAGTCATTAGTTTCAGACACAGAAACGTAAGTAGGAACATTATTATGAATACTTTAAGTGCTCTGTCTGATTGTGGTTCTTTAGTATTGTTATGGATTTAACCCAGTGGGGAGTAGTGATAAGCTGGGGTGTTATCAGAAATATTCTAATCAGGGTGTAATAAATTGTTTTATAATGGTAACTTCAAAATATTTCTAAATGTTTCTGTTTTTTTTACTGTTTTTTGTTTGTTTTGTTTTTTAAAGATAAGAGATAAAGCAACCTTTAGAAAAATGTAGATTATGAAATAATAAACACATCAGTTATCATGTATAAATAAGAACTAGCTAACTCATATGCAAGTAGTATTTTTGCCACCTTAACAATGCTCCAAATAATTTAGTTAAATAAAGCTTGTTTGGCCATCACTGGCACCTATCCCTGTTATTAGTTTTCCATGAATTCTCTGAGGCTGTGCTTTTAGAACTGTGTGTTGTTTTTCTTCAAAATCTGTGTTTGTGTAATTCAGGTGTGTTTCACAATTCTAAAGAAGACTCCTATAAATCTTTGAAGCTTCATGTGTGGGATTGTATTCCAATGAGGAAATGTATTATTTTTGTAACAACTCTAAAATCAATGTTAAAACTGCTTAGGATTTAGACAAAATTATGTCTTTAGGAAGTTGAAATAACCATTTTTTTGAAATAATAGTCGAATTATCTAAAGGATACCAAGGATTTTATTTGTGATATGCTCTTTATGTTTATCTTGGGGGTTATAGCCATGCGCATTATCTGTCTCACTGGAGACACATTCTCCTGTAGCAGCAGCAGTTGGCTTGCTTTTTATGTGGGTAGTTCTACTATAGATGGTTTTCTTTAACACCTGCTTGTTCAAATGTAGCAGCAGTCAAGACCTCAATGCTGTAGATTTCATGTAAATAGCAACTTGAATGTTTAAAGTGGTAATAGGTTGATATTTTTAAAATAAAGAATCGGAATGTAGCACATTTTTGCTTCCATAAAAATATGAAAATACCTTGAGAATACAGAACACATAACTGCTTGAAATCAATTTTTTCATGTAATTCATCATTAAGTCAATAGGTGAGCGTGAGTCCATGCTATCCATTTATTTAAAAGTTAATTTTGATACATAGTGTCCAAAAAAAACCAAAAAGAAACAAAGAATTCTCTGCAAGTATGATGGAAATACCTTATTATGATCTGGCGAGACCTGAATGTAATTTCATTAAGCTCCTGTATACTTCCAAAGATTTGCATTACTAACAAAGATTATTATTTGTTCCCTGAGAGGTGTGTTTTTTTTTTCCAAAGCCACTAGTTGTGTAGCAGTAGAAGTAAATATTAGAGGAGTATAACTATCTTTTAGGCTATGCAAAATGAGCATTTTAAGAAGTGCATTGAATATGAGAGGTGGCTTGGTTAGCTGGGGTATTTTCAGTATTGTACTGCCAGTTGTGGTGTATTGTTACAGTGGTAACAGCCAAATCTCAGTTTTATCCATTTTTTCCCATCCTTCCTTTACGTTAAAACTCTGAAACTAGGGTGATTCTTGGTTAATTTATCTTCTGAAGTATAGTGTGAATGAAATCGTTTTTAACAAGTAGTAACTAATTAAGGAACACTAACAAGAAAAACACTAACAATGTACTATAAGTTTCCTGTAGAAGAGCAGATGTACTATGCAAAAAGATCAGAGTTATCTTAAAGCTGAAGGAAATTGTCAAGTCCTCATTTGAGATACTGCTTTCTTGGCAAGGGCATCTGTAAACAGCCTGTCATTTGAAAGGAATGCATCACGAACAGAAGACCTTCTTTTGCACTTTCGTAGCATGTGATTTTTAAAACCTGAATTCCAGTCGTTCTGATGTTTTACCTGAAAAGTTGGGAACAAATCAATATCAAGTGTTGCTGCTTGTCTTCACGTGTCTTTTGCAATCAGTTATCCTGGTATTTTGCTGGCCAAATAATGGCAAAAGGCTGGTGCAGAGGGATGGGGAACATGTCTTACTTCTGCAGTTTGAACAAACTGCAGTACAAATCTTCCTTCTCATTAGAGACTCTCTTCATGAGAAATTTTTGGATCAGAAAGCACTTACAGAGCTGGCAGTGATTGAATGAGCAGCAAAAGGAAAGCTTTTCATTCCTTTTTTTTTTTTTTTTTTCTTTTTTACTTAGTCAAAGGAGAAAGGAAGTCTAAGATTTATTTTGTACCTTTGTAGCCTCTGCAGGTTTGTCAAAGGAAGATGTTTTCCATTATGTCTGGTCATCCCCATTATGTGTTTTGACTTTTCCAGATGCATTTGGAACTGTCAACCTTTGGGATTTCTGCTTCTGTATCTTGATAAGGTGGGTTTGCGGGAGGTATCTTTTTGTATTTTTTCTAAAAGAGCTATGAGTTAGTTCTAGCTCTTCCCTTTTGTTTAGAAGTATCATCAGAATTTTTTAGCAAATGTTTTGCAACAGTAGCTTCCCACTTTTATCTGCATGGGTTGCAAATTTTTCTGTGGAAAGGCAGCTAAAGCATTTTCTGTCTAGGAAAAACACTGGGTTTCACAACTTTTCATTTGAAAGCAGCAGAAAGCTAAGATAGGGAAATCTGTTCTCTAGCTGTAGGTATTTGCATGTCTTTTTAGATTTAGTTTACTTGACTGTCTTCTGCAGTGCTGAGGGTTTCTGCTGGCTTAGTAGGCATATTGTCCAGTTATGTGCAGTGTCTTAGGGCTCAACTTCATAATATCACAGAGACAGATACCTTTAATTTAGCTGTTCCTGGCTCTTAAGTTTGGCATCAGAGCACTATCTAAGGTACTGAAGAGTATGAAATCTACTGAAGCTAAAAATAATGAGATTGAACAGAAGAGTCTTCAGGTCTTTGAACAGTGATTACTAAAACTATTTTCCTGATGTCAGTTAGTGAAAAATGATCATTCCTTTCATAGACAGAAAGATTTTTTATGCTATTTAGACCATAAGAAGAAGAAATATTCTTTTTTCTTTAATGAGGAGACTGCTGGTCTGTGAAAATAACAGGTATAAAGAGAGATTTTGTTTTGCGTTTGCACTTGGCAGGCAGCCAAGTATTTGAGTTTCAGGATTCAGGTTGATGCTGAGATGACCTCCCTCCTCATTTGAGAACCTGGCTGCCCTCACTTAAAAGCTTTCTACAGAGTAATTTCAGGTGTCCAAAATTCCTTTCACCTGTGAACAAAAAGATCTAGGTTTTCTTCTTTCTCTTCCCTCTCTTTCCTCGTATATTGAGATATTAAACTACAAGTTTTGTGTTGTTTCTTTTTTTTGTTTGTTTTTTTTCCCCTTCACCTCTGTTTTCTTAGCTTGTGTTAAGTCTTCCTTTCTGATATTTTGTCTTAGCTCACCAACTGAATTTATGGCAACACAATTTAAACATCCCTTCCCCTCTGTTTCCACGTTCCAGGAACCTTCTCAGATTTTCTCTGAAAAAAGTGCAGTATTTTTTGAAACACTAATTAAGACACAATTGTTTTAGAAACACTAATGTTTCTTTCTAGTGGTATACAGCTATCTAGTGGCATAGGTAGTAATTTAACAAATATGCAAGATGTTGTCTGATTGTTGTTTTTGGAACCTGTAGAGTGTCAAATAGGAAAGTGCAGGATGGTAAACAAAACCACGGGTATGAATGTTTTTTGGAAGGTGTGTGGTGTTATCCTCTTTGTATTTCTGATCCTATATAATTAAGATCAGTGCTTCCCATGTGTAATTATTGTTGTAGACACTATTTCAGTGACTTAGTCAAGAAATGTTAGTGTTTGTCCTTTGCAAGGTGCTCCTTCTCTTGCTACATGCTTTGTTAAAGGTTTTACGTTATTTTTTTCAGTGATGTTGCTGACTTGCTGTTGCATTTCATACAGTACAGAACTAGTGTGTTTTTGTAGCTTCATGGTGAATTGTGCTGGGAATTGACTGGCTGGATAACAAAAGGTTTTATTTTGGGGGGTTATTTTGCTGTGGGATTGTTTCCTGGATCTGGGTGATCATGTGGCTACCAAGTATTGCGCCACAGCCTTAGATTAAAATGTTTCTAGGACTTTAACCCAGTCCTCCTTTAGGGAGACACTCTTTGAGCTACCAGGAAAATGTGCACACTGTAGTTTCCTTCTGGATAGTTTTATTTACAGTAATGAATGGAATTCAAGCTCTGACACTCACCTTTCATAAATGCAGTTCACAAACATCCAGTTATATCAGAAATTACTTTGCTTCCTCTCCCAAAGTCTCATGGAATGCCTGGGGAAACTAATGTCAAAAATGCTTAAGTTTAATTTCTTGGATCTAAACCAGGTAGTTTTGAAAGATGTGGATTGACTATGAATTCTATTAAAAGTATAGGGAGAAATTAATGAAGTCTGGAGACCATCTACCCTAATACGTTGTGTAGTTTTCCAGCATGAAAAGGATTTAGAGACAATTAAACTGGAGTGGCTGCTACCTTCACTTGTAGCACCTTCACACCTTCATGATGTGTGTCTTTCACTGTTTACCTTTGTATGAAGAGGAAAATTATTCTAAAACCTTTTCAAGAACTTTTTTAGAAGAAAATTTGAGCATCTTTTCACTGAAAATTTAGTTCCTGCTAAATTGCCTGACTCATAGAGTTATTGTATAGTAATAGTCAGACAATAATTTGCAAATCGCTCTGAAAAGTACTTCTGAATTTTGAAGAATACAGATTTACATGAAAGGAATTTTAAAATAGCTGAAAGCCAAAATGAAACCGTGTTGAACAATGCAGGAGATAATGCTTTAATTCTTGTAGTAAAAAGTAATTCTGGGTTGCCCTGCTTTTTTTGCCTGTGTGAAGTTCTGAAGCTGCTTGTGAGTTGAGATGTTCACTCTGAAGGTGAGGAAACATACTGAGGAAAACCAATAGATAAAAAAAAACTTTTTCTGAAAAGGAAGTGTTCAGGAAGTCTGACATACAACATTTACACTGAAATGAGCTTTTCTTGGTAAATTCTTGATTCCACTTTCATGAATATATTTCTCAGTATAGCAGAGAACAAAATAGTGCTGGTAGTAGCTTTGTCATTCAGAAACCCAATATATTTAGTGATCGGTGTGCCTTCAGCAAAACTTTCTTGTAGGAACAATTCTTGCAGGGAAACACAAAAGCTGCATCCTGTCTTTCACAAGGATCCTTTTGTTCTTGGTCATCCTCAATAAATCTATATCAAATGGATGTTTACTTTCAGAAATCTGAGATGTCATTTTAGCACAGTCTAGCTCACTAATAAAATAAGAAAATTTTCTGCCTTTTGAGAAGACATGTTAAAAAAGGTACTGATCCTTCAGATGAATAATCCATTATTTCTCAAAAGAAAAAAATGTGCTGATTAGAGATGAATTGTCATACGCATTTAATAAAATATGTAGGAGCTCACTCTGCACGGAAGTTTTTATTCTTTCTTTTAGAGTAGCCAAAATGCAACATACAACTCCAGATACAATGTCTAACGGACATTGTGCCACTAGCAGGAGTATTCAGCTTAAATAGACCCCGAGTAGTTACGTCCTTTCATATTGGCAATGTGTGCTGAATCTAGAAGTGTTTATTTAGGATCAGTTCTCAAAGATGCAGGTTGGAAAATTCAGGTCCAAGTAGAAACTTCAGCGGTCCTGGAACAAAATTAAGACTTAAATTGGCTTATGACTGGTGTTAACATAGTTGCCTCTTATGGAGATGACTTTTTTCACATATCCAGAAATGCCTCCGTTCAGGTCTCCTGCATCTAGGCGGGTGTATGCTCAGTCATGTGGCCAGATCTGTACCTTTTCTATGAGCAAAATGCAAACTCGGGTGCTTTCTGGCTATATGGTGGTCACGTAGCAGGAGCCCTTCTGCCCACAGCAGGGGAAGGCAATATCAAGCAAGAAGAATGAGCTGGGGGCAAACAGGCTGTAAGTGCGGGAATGTTTTTGCAAGCTCAATTCAGCTTTCAGGACTATGGGTTGGGAAATTGTAATTTAAGACAAATTGTAGTATTTGATGTCGAATTCCGTCACAGATCTTTATGACTGCTTATACGCTACAGGTTTATTACTTCCCAGAAGGTAATGTAATCCGTGTGGTGGTTGGCTCTGCTACCATGAAGACTGTATGTGAAACAGAGGATAGAACATTTTCTTTAACAAAGGAATTAAACTGGTTGCTCACTTCTTGTAAATAAATCTATCTGAGAGCGCTCTGTTTTCTTTTATCCCGACCTTGCAATTGATACAAAGTCTACCAGCAGTCTGAAAAACTCCCTACCGCGGCAGTGCCACTATGGTAATTTCTGCATGGAGGCAGATGGAAAAGAGCATTGTTTAAAGCCATTTTGGTGTCTAAAGGAGACTGGTAGTATATATTCATATGAATGACAACTTCAGCTGTAAAGTCTGCAGGATCACTACACCCACGTGAAAATGTGTTTCTTCAGATTTTGTTAGAAATCCAAGTTCTGAATGAGTACGTAAAATGTATACTCCAAAGTTTGGTTTGGAGTGGGTGTCTTTGAAGTGCTGGGGGTAGTAGTTATTTTTTCCTTTTTTTTTTTTTTTTTTTTTTTTTTTTTTTTTGAAATGAGGTTGTAGGAAGTGAAATAGATCTTGATTTTGTGGAACAGACCTGGCTTATCTTTTTCATCCTTTTTGAGCAGATACCCATGCTGACTTTACAGTACAAGAACTTATTATCAAATCATAAATGATACTGTTGGTAAATTGTTAGGTCTTGTAAACCAGTTACTTCTTAACTGTTCACAAAAGAACATTTGATTCCCTATGTCCTGGAATCAGAACAGAAGTAGATAGTATAGGAATGGTGTTGAGTACAGGAACTTTGCTCTTGAGTTCATCCATAGTGATCAAGCACTTTAAAAGAACTGTAGAACTGGCATTGTGCCCCAAAAATGTGAATTCTGCTTGGATAACTTACAAAGGCAATCCCTTTTTACCTAAAGAATCCTGTTTTATTATTGTGGATAATAAAGTCTGGCAATCCTGACTATAACAGTGACCATAAATGCTGCACAGATAGTCGTGGTAAAAATATTCTTCCTGTAGTCCTCTAAGACGCCCCTTCCCTCCCCTCCTCTCCTTGTGAAACAGAGCACTTTTATTCCAGGGCCATTTAAACGAGAGGCTGTGCTTTAAATACTGAAATGTCCTCTAATTGCTTCTGGTGCCAAAATCTGGATAAACAAACGTTCGCTTGAAAGGAAGGAATAAAAAGGAGCTTATGCACTAGTTTCCAGACAGGGCAGCTATTTCTGGAAGTTCAACTTTTATTTTGGAAAATTCGGCTTCCTTGCCCTGCTCTGTTTGAATGTTTGGTTATGAATTTGGCAGTAGGTGAACTTCCCTTACTGCTGTGGCTGAAACAAAATTAAAATTTGGAAGTATCTGTACGCTACATGTGAGTGAGTATGAGCATGTAACACATAAGTTTTTAAAACTATATGAATTGTTATTTACTCGAGAGAATTAAAAATATTCAAGTGCTTTTCTTATAAAACCATTTCCGTCGCTCTCAGCTTTTGCTACATTTGCAAACTCAATAGTTGTTTTGCGATTTCATGATAAACAGGTCAAATAGCAGTGTTTATCAAATCTTACCTCTGAGGTCTCTGGAAGTGGTCTGCAGGTGGTCTGTTGAACTGTATTCAATTAAAAAAAAAAACAATCGTAGTATTGTTGTTTACATGTTTGCTAACAATCCAGAGGGATAAGTGGGAACTGATGTTTGGCATTTGTCTTCCATTTGAACAAAAAAATACAGAGAACATTTAAATGACTGAATGCTTTGTGTTCAAAAAGTTTGTGTATGTTTGCCACAATTACACATATTAATTTGAATTAATTTGAAATACATGCTGTACTAGGGAAAAATCCTGTATGTGCATTATAGAAATACAATTTTACATATATTTCTGCTCCTTTTTCATCTCTAGATCAATTGCAAAAGAGCTTGCAGACTGGCTTATCAGCAACAATGTAGTTGAGCACATTTTTGGACCAAATTTACATATTGAGGTTTGTATAAAATTATTCCTATTATTTTTACTATAAACGTGGAGGAGTAACTTCTTGTTCTAGTAAATCTTTCCTCAATATGTTCTCACTTTGCAGATCATCAAACAGTGCCAAGTGATTCTGAATTTTCTTGCAGCTGAAGGGAGACTCAGTACTCAACATATAGACTGTATTTGGGCTGCAGCACAGGTATATACTATACTTTTAAATGTAATTGCAGGAGTGGTACAAAACAACTCAGAAAATGGCAAGTTAATTTTGTTTTACATTCATAAAGTTGAGTTTCTTGCATTTTACTCTGTGTTTGTCTTAGTGTTTAGCTCACCAAATTGTGATCTTAGTAATTGACACAATTACTTTGTTTCATTAGTTGCAAAATTCTCCTAAGCTACTTCTATGCACTTAACAAATGAAGTTGTTTATTGCAGACGCGGTGTTTTCACTAAGGATAGGGATGGAGAATCTAAAGTAGATGTAATTTTTTTTTTTACTGTTGTGGTAAATTGCTTTGCTCCTATGTAGTATAGATTCCTCTTCAGTTTGTGTTGGTGGGGACAAGGTAGTGAAAATTACAGCAGTGAATTTCATAGTCGTGCTTTAGTGGTGGTGGTGATGTCTACAGAATGCACAAAGATTTTATTTTTCACATGGTAAACCTGGAAACTCTGATAGGCTTTTTTCCTTCAGAAAAATATATTTGTTTACTAATCTGAATGTGTATTTGTGACACTGTTTATTTTGGATTTTATTTTATTTTTTATTTTAGAAGATTTGAATACAGTAGATATATTGATTTTCTGCTGTGGAAATGTTTTCCTTGGTTTCATTCTGCCTTTATCATTCATTAAAAACAAACAAAACAGAAACAGGCCCATTTTGGAAAAGAAAGAAACCTCAAGGTTTCAATGTCAGTTTTTCATAAAAATTACACTCAAAATGAAGGTCAGCAAAATAAAATTGGTCTTTTTAAATAGGTGCAGGGAACAGACTTTTAAACCAGTTACAGTTTGAAAGGTTTTATTTTTCCTGTGTTCAATGGTGTTCGTCTCTAATTTGTTTCATTCAAATACTACTACCGTGAACATACTGAAAACTTTGTAGTCCATTGTCATTATAAAATGCAGCAGGAATGTTAATAAATGCTCATTTTAATAGCATTCACTCCAACAGGCTCAAAATATTTTCTGTATCAGATTAATAATTACTTCAGTTATATTTTTAAAGTGATCATTTATCTTCTTGGATGTTCTCACACTATAGTAGTTCACACTAGTGTTAGAGCTCTAAATTTTTCTCTTCTACACTATTAGAACTTAATATAATTATCAAATGTGATAATTTCTTTTACAGTTTGCATTCTTATTTTAATGTATGGATATTTTCAAAATTCATGTTTGATATCAGAATTAAGTACGTCCAGATTAATTCCTGTAAAGGGTTTAAACCTCTAATGTTGTTTAGAAGGGTGACATCTTCAGAATAAAAGGCCTCAATTTTTTTTTCATTTTTTTAGCTATCTTTTTGACAAAAAAATATCTTCTCTGGATTGAAGTAGATATCTAAACTTCTGTAATATTCAAGGTGTTTTATTTACATTAAAATGCAAACTTAACGTTAGTTATTTTCACCAGATCTCCTAGAACCGGAACTAAGGAAAATATGTGGTAGTTGTAACATGATTTTACTGAACTTCATCTGGTTTTGAATGTAAAAATTCAGTTGAATCAAAATTGCAAATCTGATGTAGTTTAGAATTATTGGACAAATGTTTCCTCATATTTTGTGGAAAGATGGTGCATAATTGCTGCAATTTTATCCATCTTTTTATCAAGGAAACTGTTATAACTAACTATTTTACTGTTCTTGTTATTTTCTGTTTGTTTGTGCTTTGTAGCTGAAGCATTGCAGTCGTTACATCCACGATTTATTTCCTTCCTTGATCAAAAACTTGGACCCTGTCCCACTTAGGCATCTTCTTAACCTCGTTTCAACTCTTCATCCAAGTGCTCACACGGAACAGGTAAAGATGAACAAAATCACTGCAAGAAGTTATTTTAGTATATTCATTGTTACATGTTTGTCTTTCTAAAGGACTGCATACAAGTAGTATTCACTAATGCATAAGAGAGGAACGTATATGAGTAAAATTGTAATGTTTCTTCAAGTAGGCCATTCTGGCTTTGGAATTAGTCTCTTTCTGAGGCTTTGGAGAACTGAATAACCACCATTAGAGTATTTTAACATTATTTCTGAAGTTAGTAAGTGTTCCACACAATATTTCTTAATTTTGTGCATGTTTATTTTGATGCATTTATTTTGATGAACTGTAGTATTGGCACACAGAAATATTAGCAGTGTACATTTGCATACAAAACCTACTGCTTCTTCATGGCACTGTTATCTGGTTTTGTTCACAGACATTATATTTGGCATCAATGCTTATAAAAGCACTGTGGAATAATGCACTAGCAGCTAAGGCTCAGCTGTCAAAACAAAGCTCTTTTGCATCTTTACTCAGTACTAATCTACCAATGGGAAACAAAAAAGGTACGTATTTTTTCCAATTAATATGGTAACTAAATTTTTAATTTTCATAGTCTCCTCATTGACTTTGGACATTAAGGCTGTATAGAACCTTTTACTTAAAATATTTAAAAATACTTCATTTTTAAATGAAGGGTGTAATGCTGGCATATTTTTCAAACAGAACGTGAAATAAAGCAGCCTAAGGATGAAAGCACTAAAACTGTGAATGAGTTTGGAAAGCCTTTTGTTTCAGAACAGTTCTCTTTGTATAAATTAGTATATATATATTTTTACTTTAAATCAAAGGATGATCTATTACTGATCAGTTAACTATTTCTGTTCTGATGAGCATCTATAATTTTATAGATACATAATATCATACAAAATTTTATCTATTTTTTACCCTGTTTATGGTATTACATGCTATTTCTGTTTTGTTTTTGACTTAACTATGTATTTCCCCATGGTCATTACCAAAGGTGCTGCCAAGCCATTATACTGTAGTTCCCCTTCCTTTTCTTACTGCTGATTTTTATGAATCACGGACAACTATATGCTGGCAAAAAGATTTTTAGTAACCTGTTTTTCCATCCTGTTTTATTCCTTTAGAAGAAGAAGAGCTCAGAAGAGCAGCCCCTTCACCTTGTAAGTATAGTTTTAGAAGTACACTACAATCTGATATGTTTGATATTATAATATAGGGAAAAAACTACTACAAGTTTGAAATTATATTTTCATAGAATTACGGAATGGTTTGGGTTGGAAGGGACCTTAAAGATCATCTAATTTCAAACCTCTGCCCCAGAGCTTAAATGCAGAACTCCAGTGGGGTCTCAAAAGAGCAGAGGGGGAGAATCACCTCCCTCAGCCTGCTGGCCATGCTTCTTTTGATGCAGCCCAGGATATGGTTGACTTTCTGGGCTGCAAGCGCACATTGCTAGCTCATATTGAGCTTATTTATGAGAGCTGAGCTTTTTATGAGAGTTAAATGAAAATTATATTTATTATAGAACCTAGCCAATTGATATATCTGTGTTAGATACTGGCACAAAGAGACATCAGAACACAAATTTTATTGTACAATGAACAGTATTAAAATAATTTTTATTTTTGAAGTATTTGGGTTGTTTGACTTGTGTCCCTTGTTCAACTGTTCACAGTTAGAATGCTGTTGAGCAGATGCATGTAACAAGTCAGATTTATGAGGCAGATGTATGTAATGCTGTTACATTCCAATTAATATATAGCACAAAGTAACTGGGAACTGTCATTTTGCATTAGGGTCACCAGCAGCTAGCCCTCAGAGTAGTGACAACAGTGACACCCATCAGAGTGGAGGCAGTGATATTGAAATGGAAGAACAGCTTATTAACAGAACAAAACATGTACAGCAGCGACTTTCAGATACGGAGGTAAGAGTGTAAATCTTACTCTGTGAATTTTGTTACTGAGTTGTTTGATATTAGGTATGGAATTTATTTTTTTTCCCATAATGGTTTCAAAAGCTGAACAGGTACATAACATGCATGCTTATCTGCAGCAGAACAGTGGATAGCTAGAATCTTTGCTTCTGTTCTGCATTGTTTGTACAGACTGTATTGTACCTTGCCTATGAGCATCTGCTCTGTAAAAAAAAAAAAAAAAGTGGGGGTGTGGAGGGAATTCCTGGTTTTAATTGTATTTAAGTGAGATTCATCTCATAAGGGATTCCGTGATGTATTGCTTGTGTTAGTGTCACTCCGTCTGTTTACATTCAAAGAGTATATCTGTTATCATAAAGGTAATACAAAAATTAAATTCTTAAGTCCTTATCTTTCTTGGAGTATTTTGTTATTGACAACCAAACTGAGAGAAAGTGAATGAAAACTTGCATTGCTGACACATTTCCTTATAAGCAAAGAATGGCATTTGAGTGATGATGGTGTTCATTATGCATTTTCAATGGTGTTTTATTTTTCCTCCAATCTTAAAAAAAATAAATACATTTCAGGAGTCCATGCAAGGAAGCTCTGATGAGACAGCAAACAGCGGTGAAGATGGCAGTAGTGGTCCTGGTAGTAGCAGTGGCCACAGTGATGGATCCAGTAATGAGGCCAACTCTAGTCATGCAAGCCAGTCTGCTGGAAGTCCTGGCAGTGAAGTGCAATCTGAAGACATTGCAGATATTGAAGCCCTCAAAGAAGAGGAGGATGAAGAGGAAGAGGATAGGAGTCATAATCCCCAAAAAAGCAGTAGGAGCACAGATCTACGGAGCAGGAAACTGGAATCTCAAACAGGCATTTGTCTGGGAGATTCACAAGGGGCATCAGAGAGGAGCGGTGCAAATAATGGGGCAGGAAAGGACCATGTTTTTAATACTGACTCTGTGACACCAGTGGATAATCGAATTAGAATGCTAGATGCCTGTTCCCATGCTGAGGATGCAGAGCATGACATGGCAGGGGAAATGAGCACTGCTCACATTTCACAAGGGTCTCAAGATTCTTGTATAACTCATACAGGGGACTTTCTGGGGGAAACTATTGGAAATGAATTATTTAACTGTCGGCAATTCATTGGTCCACAGCATCACCACCACCACCACCACCACCACCATCACCATGATGGGTAGGTAGCTTGACATGTCTCCTCATTCCTCCTATAACAAAAATAAAACTGGTGGCAAAATACTTGGTTTGATCAGAAATTTGTGTTGATGTTTTGCTATACTTGGGATAATTTTTCTTGACAGATAGTTATCTCAAGTAATCATACAGTTATCTTTTTGGTTAATGTGATTAAAGTCTTTCTTTTTTTAAATTAAGTTTTTAGATTGAATCAGTATGATAATATTTAACAGTGTTAATGTTGCTTTGTAAAATGCTGTTCTTTAGCTTAAAGAAGTCAACACAGTTATCATGATAGTGAGACCTTCGGCTTATCTATAATTGTTTTTCAAATTGATATAAAGGTCTGTTGTTTAGACAAATGCTTCATCCCGACTTTAGCTTACAGAGGTGTGTGTTTATTTGGATTATATTAGCTGTGTATTGAAATACATGTATAAGCTACGCATTGAATAACTTGACTACATCGTAATGTTTCAGTTGCCTTCTAGTAAAGGCTTTAACTCTCATTTATCAAATTAGTCCACTGTAAAAAAAGTTTTCTTTGATATTATCTGTTCTAATGTTCCTCTTTTACAGACATATGGTTGATGACATGTTAAGTGCAGATGATGTCAGTTGCAGTAGTTCTCAAGTCAGTGCAAAATCAGAGAAAAATATGGCAGATTTTGATGGGGAAGAGTCTGGCTGTGAAGAAGAGCTTGTACAGATTAATTCACATGCTGAGCTAACATCCCATCTCCAGCAGCATCTTCCTAACCTCGCCTCTATCTATCATGAACATCTTACTCAAGGTAAGAGTAATCAAAAGAAAGCAGAAAAACATTGTCTGTACTTCTCAGTTTCATGTAATTTTAAAGTATTCTTCAATGGAAGAGTAAATAAATAATAATAAATTGAATAATCAAATTACTTTAACCATACATGTGTGAAGTTGTATGTGAAAAAGTAGTTGTCCAAAGAAACCACAGTGACTAACTACAGAGATTTTACTGTTTCAAGTAATTAATTTCCAAGGCATTCATTTTGTATCACATTATATGTAACTGTGTTTACCTTTTAAAAAAAAAATAAAATACTGGAGCTTTTAATACAAATTAAAGGCACTAAGAAGCCTAAGAAATGTTTTTGTTTGTTTGTTTGTTTTCCAAATCAGTTAATTGAAATTAAGAGAAAAGTGCTACAGAAATGCTGAGTATTTTTTTCCCTGAAACCTTATGTGACTTTTCTTCTGGTGGGTGGATCTCACTGTGATTTCATACATTTATCATCTTAAATGAATTAACCATAATGGACCATGCAACGGATAACTTCTGAAAAATGAGTTAAAATACAACTTGATATCTGAGGGAGCTTGCCTTAAAGGGCATTTTATGCAATTTTATCTTTCACTGCCAAATCTTCTACTTTTCTTCAGGGTGTAATTTAATATGCTATTGTAATGCTCCATAAGAATTATGGTATCTTTCCATATGCTGCTTTGACAGCTTTGTTTTCTGTGTTATCCTCCTTTTAAATATAACAGGGTGTATGGTTAGTGAAGGGTTTGATGTTTTTCTTCACTGGTCCAAGAGAACCATGTTTGCTATCTTCCAGCAGACAGTAAAACCAGTACTATTTATATCTTTTCCTGAAACACGGTTTAGTGTTTGTTCCTCAGGCATAGTATTTCTTGTTATCTGAAACTGAATAATAATTTCAGCCTGACACTGAAAATTTGGAATGATGTATTTAAAAAGCTTTGTATTTAAAATATTTTGTAAATTGGCATCATTTTTCCATAGATATTATACATATATATTTATACATATTGTTTAGAGAGATTGGAGTTACTGTTTGAGCATGAGGCAAATTACTTTTGACACACCTAGTTTTGAACGTGCAAATGATTACAGTGTTCTGCACACATTCTAAAATTTTTACTTGACCTTGCTGCAGTATGAAAATAGTATCAAATAGTAGATAAATGAGTGGTGCCAGCTGTGACCACATGCAAGAAGGAAAACGTATATCCCTGTTCATGAAAATATGATGAGTTTCTAAAATCATGCACTTTAATACTCTATCATATGTAAAAATAGCGTTTTTTTTTCCTGGTTTTTGGTTAGATATAGAATATCATGCGGTATGAGAGGAATTTATTGAAATGTGCTTTTTACTTTCCAACCATTGTAATTAAAAAGATACCTCCCTTCAGTCCACAGTGCTAAGAATTATGTATAACTACATATATGTTTATATGAATTAAATCTAATCAAATGAAAAAGCAATTGCACCTGCATCTGCAATTCTTAGGTAGTGTTTTTTTTGCACTTGCAGCTAGCCAAAAACAATGCAAATATTACCTGAACTGTCCTGTCAAATTCTTGCATGGTTATAATGTTTTGTCTTTTGTTTTTAATGAAATCATATGCAGAAAAAAATCTGCAACTGTAATGTTATTGTATGCACTTTAAATAGCCAAATGTATAAGTAAAGCATGTTCTTCATGCACTGAGGGAATAATATTCAGTTTAGCTTCTATTATTTAATCTTCTATTTATTTAATAATGGTCTTTATATTTTGTTCAGGACCAGCAGTTCATAAACATCAATATAATAGCAATGCGGTGACGGACATTAATTTGGATAATGTTTGTAAGAAAGGAAATACCCTTTTGTGGGATCTGGTCCAGGATGAAGATGCAGTAAGTTGAATACAAGAAAATAATATTTTTTTAAAAGAAAATAAATTATATGCTATTCAGTGACCTTTCTTTCTATTTGCTGTAGATTCATCTCTCTGAAGGGTTAATAAATGAAGCAGAGAAGCTGCTCTGTTCTTTAGTATGCTGGTTCACTGACAGACAGATTCGAATGAGATTTATTGAAGGCTGCTTAGAAAATTTAGCAAACAACAGGTAACTTAAATTATCTGTTTTTACGTTCATCTTTTTTCAACATATAAGAAACCCAAGTTGAATATGCCAGTTACTTAATGTTACAGGAAGTCAATTTAAAACAGACAAAAGTTGAAGTATAAAAGTAGTTTTAAAAGTGCTATGGATGTGTCTGATGTTCCATTTTTCTTTTCTGTCAGCATCCTGAATTTCCCATCTTGTGCATTTGTCTTTTCTCCCTTCTGCCAGAGCTTGCTGCCCTCCCACCATTTGGTAAACTTGGGTTCACATCTTTCTCAAGCAGTTGAGTGCAAAGTCAAGTGCCTTAGCATAAGCATTTTGAGCTGAATATTTAGATTTTACCTTTAAGTGACTGAGAAACAGACAAGTTCTTACCCATCAAGTCTGTTGTGAGATTTAATTTCTATGAAGTAGCAGCTGGAGGATGAAGATGTACCCTGACTTTAGATAACTTTTAATACCAGCCAAAACTGTGAGATTGTACAGTTTGAAAATGGCAATATTGAGTCTATTTTGACAGTTTGAGATTGATTTCTGCTGTCTCATCTGTTTGCAGAAAAAAAAAAAGTACCCATTTTGGTGAAATTTCAAAAGATTATGAACATCAAAAATAAGAATGTATACGTATATAATTTAAATACTTTAATGGTTGCATTTTAGTGATTCTTTCCTTTTTCCTTTAGATCAGTAGTAGTTTCACTTCGTCTTCTTCCAAAGTTATTTGGTACGTTTCAACAGTTTGGGAGCAGTTATGATACACATTGGATAACAATGTAAGTATACCCCCCCACAAACACACTAAACCAGCAGAGGTGATGACATTTGGAGGACTGCTTTGAGCCTTGCTCTTCTAGTGTGATCCAAATTAACAATGACCTACGATTATCATGTCTGTTATCTGTCCTAGTTGTATGAATTTGCCTAATCACTCAGGCCTACTTTTAATCCTTATAAGCTCTGCTGTCGTAACTGAGGTGAAGACTAATTTTTTTTAACTGTTTCCCCCCAAACCCTGTCAAAGACTTGTCAGACAGTACTAGACATCCAAGAATAGCATATTGTGAAAGGTTGCAATAACTTGATCAGCATGCTTCTGTTCTGATTGTATATCAAATGCAGCTAGGTAATAAAATGGTTTGTAAGAAAACCTTTCAAATGTGAAAATACGTAGCATAGCATTGCTTACTAGAACAACCAACTTAGCTAGTTGATCTAACTGTAGAGAATTGGACTACTTGAATTTCTAGGAAAATTTACACTGCTTATTAGCAATCCTTCTTGTTCATTTTGACGTGGCATTTAAAGAAGAACCCAGTTCTGATTTTTGGCGTGGGTTTTTGCTAAATTAGGGCCTTTAGGAACAGCTTTCATGGGCTGCAAAGGGAAAGTTCTCTGTCGGTTGTGTGCCTGACCTCGTAACTCTGTTATGGAGCCTTATGGATGTAAATAAAGAAGAGAGTGCTGTACTGAAACTTGAATTTATGGTAAATGGAAAATGCAACATTTGATTTATTTTTGTGCATTTTCCTGTAATAGCTGTCTAATTCCTGTGGCTTTTCTGGCATTTTTAAACAAGTCCTAATGCTTTTTGCTTTCTGAATTGAAACAGGTGGGCAGAAAAGGAACTTAACATGATGAAACTTTTCTTTGATAATTTGGTACACTACATCCAGGCAGTCAGGGAAGGACGACACAAACATACGTTGTAAGTGCACAACAGACTTTGACTGTTTGATACTTTATGTTTTTAAACATATCTTTTCTGCTTTTCTTCTGGTGCTTCTGATGCATAATTTTAAAGTAAATAATTTCTGTAATGGCATTACATGCTTAAAGAGAGAAAAGTCTATGAATGTAGTTGCATTTTAAATAGTTTACTTTTCCTTTAAAAAAAAAAACAAAAATAAAACGCAGTAACTTTTTGTCGTGGTTCTGCTCGAGTGGGCAGCCGAGCTCCACCACAGCCGCTCTCTCACTCCCCCTCCTCAAAGAGGAATGGGGAGAAAATATGTGAAAAGGGCTCAAGGATTGAGATAAGGATGAGAAAATCACGCAATAATTAGTGTAACGGGCAAACCAGACTCAGCATAAGAAGACAGATAGTAAGATTTATTGCTCATTACTAACAAGCTAGAGAAGTGAGAAACAAAGGAAAGAAACCAAAAGCACCTCCCCCCCCCATCCACCCTCTTCCACCTCCTCCCCCTGAGCGGCGCAGGGGAACGGGGGAATGGGGGTTATGGTCAGTCTACAGCACTTCTTCTCTGCCGCTCCTTCTCGGTCACTCTCGTCCCCTGTGCTATGGGGTCCCACCCACGGGATGCAGTCCTTGATGAACTGATCCGGCGTGGGCTTCCCACAGGCAGCAGCTCTTCCAGAACTGTTCCAGATATGGGTCCGTACCACGGGGTCCATCCCTCAGGAGAAAACTGCTCCAACCTGGCTCCCCTACGGGCAGCAGCTCCTGCCAGATCACCTGCTCCTGTGTGGTCTCCTCTCCATGGGCTACAGGTCCGGCCCGGAATCTGCTCCAGCAGGGGTCTTCCACAGGCAGCAGCCTCCGTCGGTGCAGGGCCACCTGCTCCACCGTGGTCTCCTCCACGGGCTGCAGCGTGGAACCCTGCTCCACCGTGGTACTCCATGGGCTGCAGGGGGACATCCTGCTTCACCATGGTCCTCACCACAGGCCGCAGGGGACTTCTGCTCCGGCGCCTGGAGCACCTCTCCCCCTCCTTCTTCACTGACCTTGGCACCTGCAAGGCTGTTTCTCACTCCCTTGACTCTCCCGGCTGCTGTGTGGCGCAGCAGTTTTTTCCCTGTCTTAAATATGCTCTCACAGAGGCGCAAAACAACATCGCTTATTGGCTCAGATCTGGAAAACAATGGGGCCCTTCCCAAACATGGGGCGGCTTCTAGATCTTTCTCACAGAAACCACCCCTATGGCCCCCTGCTACCAAAACCTTGCCACGTAAACCCACTACACTTTTGTACTCTTGTGTCATCTTTGTTAGACATTGTTCAATGTTTCTTTACAGATAAAACAAGGATTTTTTGTATGCAAATTAATTTAAAATTGTTATATCATGAAACTATTACTCGAATATTTCTGTTTCAAAATTCATCCAGTTTCCAATATATATGCTTAAAATTAGGTGTTTTTTTTTTGTTTTTGTTTTTGTTTTTGTTTTTTTAAGAAATGATACAATTTCTAGCTCCTCAATTTCAGAGGACTGGATTGTTCAGGTTTTGACATATTTTTAATTCATTATATACTGTTATATTGAACATTTCTCTAATGAGAAACTACTTCCAAAGCTGTTTGAAAGTGGGGTGAACTGCTTTAAATTCATGCAAGACAGTATACTGTTCCACTCCTTTAACCATTAAGCTTATAAATGGAAGTAAAGTCAATAGTTTTATGTAGGTTGTGAAAATATTTTTGTAAAGAAATTAGGAAAAAATAAGTTCAGTTCCTGCAAGGTGCTAATGACAAAATACTGCATTTGACTGTATGAAAATAAAACACACGCAAAAAAAAAAATCTTAAACTCTTCACCTGATCTACTAATGAATGTTCTCTCATTTCACTTTTTTGATGTGGTTCTTTAATGTATATAACTGGAGTCTAGGCTATATACTGGACTGGATGTTCATAGAAATGTTTATATGAAAAAATAACACTGTTGAGGGGCATATGCATTAATGAAAGAACAGAAATTAAATATTGCTCAGTTAAATAACTTTTCTTTTTTATACAAATTTAAATTTTAGATACAGTCACAGTGCAGAAGTTCAGGTTCGTCTTCAATTCCTGACATGCGTGTTTTCAACTCTAGGATCACCAGATCATTTCAGTAAGTATTTTAGTTTAACTTACCAGAGAAGCACCTCACAGTAAAACTTGCATAATTCTTAATAATCAGTGATATTTTAATTAAATATGTCATTTTTAAAATACACAATTTTAACGGACATCACTACCAACCAAAAACTCACTGATTGTCAGCTCTGAAAAGGGAAAAGTCTATGATTTGTCATTGGCAGATGATGCATTTTTCTTCTGCTGCTTCTGAAAACTTCTTGTCCTGACAAAACCTTTTCTAATTTCTCTGTGTGCATTCTTGGGTTTTGTAGAATATTGCCATGTATTTGATGATATACTGAAATAGCTAAAAATGCTTCCCTAACTTTAGGGTTGAGTTTAGAACAAGTGGACATATTGTGGCACTGCTTAGTAGAAGATTCTGAATGTTATGATGATGCACTACACTGGTTCTTGAATCAAGTACGAAGTAAAGATCAGCATGCTATGGGTATGGAGACTTACAAGCATCTTTTCTTGGAAAAGGTATGTAGATAGTAAATCACAACCTTAGTAATTCTAATGAGTTTCTTTACTTACCAGCACAGTTTAAAATATTTAAAATTATTTCTATGAAGTGTATCTCTTCAGTACTCTGGGAGGACCCCACTTGCTGTGTAAATGATTTTTTTTTTCTTTGTGGAGGGATTAAGGGAAGGGATTGGCATGAATTCTTTTCACAAGAATGTTTACTCCAGTGCTTCTGTGCATATAGCCTGTGTGTTGTATCTGAAGCTATGTAGCACTTCATTTCAATTAAAAAAGCCAACCAAAACTATATTTTCCCAAGTGATACACAATTACCTGCCAAAATAAAAAGAGAGAAAAAAGAAAAAAAAGACCTCACTTTGGGAGTACCATTTAAATCTCATCCATGTATCCACTGAAAGTATGAATGTGCCACAGTAGGGCTTTTTACAAGGGGTCCCATTCATTTCAATAGACTATAGTATAGTATAGATTATGTTATTCAGTAAATTAAGCATTCTAGTTCTTTTTCAATATTACACAGTTTGTCTACTTTTTGTAAATGTATTAAGCTGTTGAACTGAAGTTTCATATGTGCCAGCACATTCTCTTGCTGTTTTAAGTTAGGCAACTAATGTTACAATACTAATTTTTATACCTTCTGTATCATTACAGTCCAAATCAGTGGTAGAGAAAAGGGGATTGTTGAAGCTGATTATAGTAGATTATTTATATTGTGTATACAATTCAGTAATATTTTGCAAGAACAAATTTTATTTGTAATTTATTTCTATTTGAAATTTGTAATTTCTAGCTATTCCACCACTGAATTTTATTATTTTTGATACTAAAACATGTTTTATTTAGATGCCACAGCTAAAACCTGAAACTATTAGTATGACTGGCCTCAACCTCTTCCAACATCTGTGCAATTTGGCTCGGCTGGCAACTAGTGCATATGATGGTGGCTCAAACTCAGAGGTAAGCCTACACTGTGTGCTCAAGTTCTTCTTTTTGAGGGAAAGGGAAAATTAAATTACTTACCTGCAACTGTATTTACCTTGAGAACATACTGATTTGAAAATCTCTCAAAAAGAGAGCTATCTCTCTCAAAAGTTTCAAATGTGGGATGGTAAAATGGAAGAGGCCTGCGAATCTCGACCTTTCCTCATGACTTTGGATGTCTTTTGTCTCTAGAGACAGAGATAGGAAACCATGAAGAAAGTGATACCTGTTGCCTGTGCTTCTTTGTGTAGTTTATCATACTCTTTGCATAACTGAACTGTGTTAGCTGTTGTGTTTAAAGAATAGGCTTATAACATTTACTTCTGTAAATAATAAGATTCAGACTACATGAAAATCTTTATGTAGAATTAGGTGTATTTCATTCTGACTACAAATTTGTTTTAAAATATACCTCAGTTTACATATGTTGCGCTTCAGAAGTTTTTTTCTGTAGTTGGTTTTTACTGGGAAACTGTCATAGAAATAAAGTGATAAGTAGGATATTTTCCTGTGAATTAATTTGAGGCAATGATTGATTAAAGATTTCTGTTCTTACAACGAATACCGATAATAGTTGTCATTTTAAGGCTTCATTTAAAATCATTCCTCTTTGTCAAAAATTAAATCTCACTCTTGAATTTTAACCAATTGTCCTAACACTTCAAAGTATGAACATATTTCTGTCAGTGGTAGGATTTTACAATAATTGGTGTTTGCATTGACGAGAACCTGAGCAGAGGAGATACTCTTAGGATTTGGATCAAGAAGAAAATAAAAGCTCTCAGGTCAGAAGGGCTTTACTCCCAGTAAAATAATAAGGCAATGTTCTGTTTGTTTGTTTTCCTTTTGTCATAACAGTTGTGTGGCATGGACCAATTCTGGGGTATTGCTTTAAGAGCACAGTCCGGTGATGTCAGTCGAGCAGCTATCCAGTATATCAACTCTTATTATATCAATGGTAGGAATTTTCACTTTATTTTATTTTTTTCTGTGTAATATGTTCTAAAGAATATCTAACATTATCCTCCTTTTATACTCAATATTAAAATGTGTAGTCTTAATTTTGCGCTTATATAAATTTATTTTAACATTGATATTACAGGTAAAACTGGTCTTGAAAAAGAACAGGAGTTTATTAGCAAGTGTATGGAGAGCCTGATGATAGCTTCTAGTAATCTTGAGCAAGATTCTCACTCAAGTCTGACAATTATTGAAAGAGGACTCTTAATGCTAAAGACACACCTGGAAGCTTTTAGGAGAAGGTAAATAGCTTCTTTCGGTATATTTGGATGCAGAATTTCTTTCAATTTCTCTTATAGTAATGATGAATGAATTACGAGTTACAAAATTACTAATATAAATCATAGTTTCTTCACTTTTCTTTGTGTAAAGTAAGGACAGCAGTGGATATTTTTGAAAGATAATCTATGAAGTTTAAACAGTTACAAAAGCTGACCATATAAAGTATAATGTTGTATGAAGTATAAAGTTGTATGGTTATGGTTCACATTTCTGCATCCATCACAAAAGAAATATTTTTTTCACATTTGTTCAAATCTATTTTTATTTAAAAACATGAGAATACCAATAATCTCTTCTTACTTTGAAAAAAACAAACAAAAAAAAAAACAGAGAATAAGGGGCCAAGTTTTGCTTTTCCTGTAATTGTTTACTGACAGTTTGTGTTAAATAGATTTTGACAAAAATACTTTGTGAATGTTTTTACCTGCTTCTTAAGGTTTGCATATCATCTGAGACAGTGGCAGATTGAAGGTACTGGTATCAGCAGTCACTTGAAAGCCCTGAGTGACAAACAGTCACTACCATTAAGAATTGTATGTCAGCCAGCAGGACTTCCTGACAAGGTAGTTAAAAAGCCCTTTTACAACTACATCCTATGCTGTTAAATTCTAGTAAGTTCATTATGTGCTTCAAAAACCAAAATACGTATTTGATTTCAGATGACTATAGAAATGTATCCCAGTGATCAGGTGGCAGATCTACGAGCAGAAGTCACCCATTGGTATGAAAATTTGCAGAAGGAGCAGATAAATCAACAAGCACAGCTTCAGGAGTTTGGCCAAAGCAGCCGCAAAGGGGATTTCCCTGGTAAGCTATAGTACTCATGCATGTATTTTTTGCCCATATGAGTGTTCATCCATTTACAGCTTAGAAGATCGTCAGTTTTTCTTCCCCAGATATCCTCAGTAATCAAACATTATTATATGCTTTATTTTTCCTGTAGTTACAGTTAGCATCATCCTCACTTAATTAATAGCATTTCTTCTTTAGTGCTATAATTTTTTTGAAATTGCAGAGAAAATGTAGATCTGCCAAATGTCCTTAGATCTGGCCAAGATCCAACTCCTAATAGACTTACTTCTCCTGCGTTGGATTTATTTTCATTGTTGTTTTAATTATGTAGTTTTCTGTATTTTAGATATCCTTTTACATAGAACCTTATTCTATATTTTGTTATACGTACACTTTTCTGTCTATGCAATTGATTCATAATATGAATTAATAATTTAAAGTCCTAATTTATACCCTGCACATATGTATTCCAGTCAGGTGTTGTATTTTCCTTACTCCTGCAACTACTTTTTAATTTATGATCATCCTGTAGCTAAATTGATCATTCATCCTGTTTTTATATTCTTAATTTTGAAAGTCATCTTGTTCCTGAGATGGTCATTGCTTGTTTACAGTGTGATGAATAAGCTTCCTGTTGTTGTTCCCTTTCTTTATGTGTTTCTGAGTGATTTTTTTTATTTTTATTTTTTAGTTTATCCTTTAGGAGAAGGACATTTTCTGAATCATATTGTTGCTATATATTGTAGCGTTCTTAGTGGCTATTGCTGTTTGGAATGTTCTTGTTCTCTGAATTATTTTTCCCTCAATATTTTCTTGTTTTCTTTCTAACTCATTATGAGCAAGAGTTAGTGTGCTTGGGTATATTATCTGAACAAATTGTGTCCATTAATACATCTCTTTCCAACAACACTGACCATTAGGAAATGTGTAAATGTTAATCTGACTTTCTTTTTGTAGCTTTACAACTTAAAAAAATGTTTTAATGAGACACGGTGTCAGTATACCAGCCTTTGAACACTAGACATCTTAATTACCTTCTTGATGAAGTCCGCTTTCTAGCCACTTCTCAGAAGCGAGATACCAGATTCTTTTAATTTTTTATTTCAAAATCCAGCAAATTCAGAATTGCAGCCCTACAGGAGCTGCAATTCAGTCTTGTTACATGTACACAAAATACACAAAATTGACTGTTAGACTTAGGAACCTTAGTCATTCTGCCTCACAAGAGACATCTTCTGTAAGGCACATGGTACACTCTTCTGTCTCAGTGATCTTAACCGTGTCTATTTAAATATACTAGTAGTGGTCAATCTGTGACAAAAACAAACAAACAAACAAGTTCCTGGTTAGGAACTTGAAATGGCTGTCATTCCATTAATGTAGGTAGAAATCGAAACAGAATTTATCAAATTTTAGTAAGAATTAAAATCTTTTTGCTCAGGAGTACAAATTTTTCTCTCACCTTTTTCTTATAGAGCTAAATCTTCCTGTCCTTAATTAATTTTTGTTTTCTCAGGTGTGTTTTCATCTACCACAAAATTCTTTTGAGGTCCCCAAACCTCTTATAACATCTCTTGTTTATTTGAAATTTACAGTGCTGTGAGAAGTGTGAGATTGGTTTTGTTTCTCGCTCAGGTTATTTCCTGTATTCTTTCTTCTGAAACCTGTTACTGGTTTGCTGAAGTGCAGAAGATGGTAGATCTCTGTATTATTTTTATGGATGATGTGTTTGCTCGCCTTTAGCTGTTTGAAATTATTTTGCCTGACTGCATTGATAAGTTTTCAAAGCAGCCTGCTGGGGACAATGAGAACAGTGAGAGATAAAATTTTATGCCCAACTCCATCTAAAACATTGATGGTTTTATTGTTCACTGACGTAACTTTGAAAGACTGACAAATACCAGTTTTCACAAGAACGTCTCACAAATATTTTGGGGTGCAGGATTTGAGGATCGTGTTTTTGTCTGAGATTTCCATTTGTCTGACAGTCAAAGCTGCGTTTACATCTGACTGCAGTGCTGTTGTATGGAAGAGTCAGCACGTGTGTGTGTATCTGCTGTTTCTGGGAAGCATCACCTGAATTTATTGTGTGCACACAGCAGCAGTGGCTGTGGCTGCAGATCACTTTCAGCAGTTACCAGAGGAAGAATGCTGACTGTGTATGCGCTACACTATGCTTGTTCTTGAGGCAGGGAGAGAATAAAGTTGGTTTTTTTTCGGTTTTAACCCATGTCTTTGAATACTGTGTTTCTATAGGCAAATAACATTATGTTTGGAAGCATTTTCAGGCAGCACAACTCTGAGTACTTCCTAGGATCTCTGAATGAGGATCAAAAACATAGGCTTTTCTGAAGGATCCTCTTTGAAAATCCAGTGCTGAAGTGTAGTGGCAGGGTAGGGTTGCTCTTCACTGGTGTGCAGGATCAGTGCCTAGAATCAGGAAAAGCTCTGCAAATTTTAATCCACAACAAATATCTTTGTGCACTGTAATTGGTGATTAGAACTATACAAGTAGTCTGAGATTATAAATTCATTGTAAAATGCACAATGAATGTATATCTGTGGTAATAAGGTTTCTTGCTGGACTGTCTGCACCAAATTAAATTCTTGATCTTTTAATTGTTCAGATTTGTTCGTTGTTCAGAATTCTGTGGAGGGTATTCCGAGTTTCTCCTTTCTGTAGTATTTAAGATCTTCAGTTCCAACTTACATTTGAGTAAGATTATTTATTTTGTCTTTGCTTTTGCTGTCTTTATCACAGGTGTGTGTTACAAAGCAATTTTGTTGATGGTCACAATCATTTTCCCACATTCTTCTGTGTGCCATAGTATAACTTAGTACAAAACATGGAAGTCATGTTTTAATCTGTATTGTAGACACTTCTGTCTGCGAGATTGGGTGAACTCTTACTGAAAATGCTATTTTTAAATACATGCAAGGAAATTTAGTTTAATGTAATAAGCAGTTTTCGTAAGGAAATTGCATTGAGTTTTTGTCTGGTTTTAATTGCTGCTGAAGGATGTACTATTAAAAATGAGTCTTAACAGCACTTTCATTAGAAAATGAAACTATATATTTTTTTAATTGTAGGTGGCCTTATGGGACCTGTGAGAATGATTTCATCTGGGCACGAACTGACAACTGATTATGATGAAAAAACCCTTCACGAATTGGGTTTCAAGGATATGCAGGTATATAGTCACCAACAAAAGTTGCTTGATATGTTACCTTTTTTATGCTGCTGCTGTGTGTGGTGATGGTAGAGGGCACATTTTTCTTTGGGAGCATCCTACAGTTTTCTGCATCTGGTTGTTTCTTACTATCCAAAATGTGCCTCCTGTAAGCTCAAAGTAGTACTATCTGTCCTTTCTGCTGTTGTCAGTCTTTAAAATGGTTAATAATTTTAAAAGCCTGATTCTGGTTATGGATTAGCTTTTGTGCTATTTTATTAGTTTACTGAGAAGTCAGACTGGTACTAGAGGCTTGCCAGCCTGCGTACCAAAATAAGGGATGGATGGGGGAAAAGGAAACAGCAGTATTTACTATAGCCAAAGCAGGCAGCATATGCAACTATATCCTAAATGTCTTAGTGAAAGCAAAACCAAGCTTTAGTTAAGGCAGTTGCTCAAAATGATGCTCAGTAAAAATTTGACAACACAGGTATTGATTTATCTTGATCATTACCATTAAGGTCTTAATTTAGATGCTGCTGAAAACATTCTGTGACTTTAGCAGATGCATTTTTAAAGCTGCCTCTCTCTTCCTCATTGTTTCTCTCTGTTTCTAGATGGTGTTTGTATCCTTGGGAGCACCAAGGAGAGAACGTAAAGGTGAAGGCGTTCAGCTTCCAGCATCTTGCCTACCTCCTCCTCAAAAGGACAACATTCCAATGCTTTTACTATTGCAAGAACCTCATCTTACCACCCTTTTTGATTTGTTAGAGATGCTTGCCTCTTTTAAACCTCCTTCTGGAGAAGTGGCTATGGAGGATAGTGAGGTAATTTAGAGTAACTTCATTAGAATAATTACATTTAAGTCTTACTTAATTTTTCCTATCTAGCTTATTTCTTGTCTTGTGTATGCAGTTGCCAGATATATGTGTTGTATTTATATGTGTATTCATTTTCATGTGTGTTATGGTCAGTCATTACCATGATCTTTCAGGTTTTCATAATGTTGTTATGATATCATTCAGTGTATCCTAAATATTGTAGAAACTCTAAAGAAATAATTTTCACAAAAGAATACTGAGTATTTAATTATAGTGACTAATAATGCGAATTGGTTTGAAGAAAGGTTAGTAAAAGTTTTATTGCAAAAACTCAAGTTATCAAAACTCAAATATCTCTTATATGCCATCATTAGCTTGTGTGAAATCAAACAACCATTAGTATATTTTAACTGGTAGATTATTTTTAAGTTTTACTTACACTCAAAAAATTTCATAACATGTTATAGGCTATATAAAGATAATGCAACTCAGTTTCTTCCTGGTTGAGTGAGACTTCGTGGTCTGTTGATGGATTTACATTAGATAACTTCTCAATTAAGAATAAATAAATTTTTGGACTTTAAATCTTAGCTAGGTTATTTTCACTAAGAAATTCACAGTAAGAAGAGTTATTTTATGATTTGTCAGAGTGCAAGATGTGAAGAACTCCATCTCCATGCAGAAAACTTATCCAGACGTGTTTGGGAACTGTTAATGCTTCTACCAACGTGCCCTAATATGTTACAGGCATTCCAAAATATTTCAGATGAGCAGGTAAAACAGATTGCTTGTTTTATATTTTTATCTTTATTATACATGGATATTTTAGTGTTTAGTGTTTTAGTTGAATTTTTGTCAAAGAAGAAGAATGTTTAAAAGTATGTTAATACATTTAGACACAAGTAAACCTAATAAGCAAACTTAATGATTCTTTCAAAATTAAATTAAACAGATATCATTTTAGTTCACAAAGTTTGTTTTTATGATTTCTTAAAAAAAAAAAAAAAAGAACTTAAATGAATAGTGAATGCTAGTTATCACAATCTTCTGGTTTGACTGAAAACAGTATGTTCTTCATCTGCTGCCTAGTGTGTATAAAATATTCAAAATGTACTGTTTCACTTTAACATCATGGGTGTTATGATAGCAATCCTTTTTGTGTGGTCTTTCTACAAGTTCAAAACATGGCCACTTACTTACTTGTTTTCTTGCCCAACAGAAGGAAAGTTTGCCTGTTTTAAAGTTCTTGAAATACCATATTATTGTTCTTAGGTATTATGTTTCTTAATAGACGCACTGAAATTTTGCTGGAAATTATAATTCATCCAAACAACATTTGGCTTCCTGTACTTTAAAATTGTGTATACCATAGTTTTTAGTAATGTCAGTGGTCTAATCAAATTTCACTGCTACATTCACATTATTCAAATTGAAATTAGACTATTTAAAACATATTTCTATAAATGAATAACAAATAATAGATAAAGCTAAAAACTAAAGTACTTGTCCATTTACTTTAAAAACCCTCTCATTGCCTTTCTTAAGATCAGCATTAAGTTATGTTAATTGTTTTCTGTCTTCTTTATTTGCTAAGGGTAATGATGGCTTTAGCTGGAAGGATCTTCTGCGAATAAAAAGTGCCCATAAACTTTTGTACGCCCTGGAAATTATTGAAGCTCTGGGAAAGCCCAACAGAAGAATAAGACGTGAATCTACGGTAATAGGATTTCTTGCACAAAATATGTTTTTTCTATGAACCAAAGTATATATTGATAATTTGGTTTACAGTATTTTTAATCTTAAACTGTGTTTGTTTGTTTGTTTTTTTGTGACTTATACTTGTTTGTCTTTAGGGAAGTTACAGTGATCTTTACCCAGACTCAGATGATTCAAGTGAAGATCAAATAGAAAATAGTAAAAACACATGGAGCTGCAAGGTCTGATTTTCCTACAGTATTTTGTGATACATATTGTAGTTTTTCAAAAAAAGATGTAAAATGTAAACCCATTTGAAACATTATCTAAGAGTTTCTGATCTCAAATTTAAATAGAATATTTTAAAATTTTTCTGTGTTACCAGACCTGTAGGTCTAACTGAAGTTGGTGATATTTCTGCATTTGCTTTTTCTTACATTGGTTCCATAATATACTTACAGTTTGTTGCTGCTGGAGGGCTCCAACAATTACTCGAAATTTTTAATTCTGGAATCTTAGAGCCTAAAGAACAGGAATCATGGACTGTGGTAGGTGATTATTCACCCTTTTACTCCAGAATAACATAGCTGTCCGTTATAAGACATATGTATATATATGTATGAAATTGGCAACAGTTTCTCAAATGCTGAAAATACAGCAGGCATACCTTTTATTAAAAGGTTTTAAACAGATTTTTAGGTATTTGTTCTAAAATACATTCAGTGTTAGAAACAAATTGTCATTCTTACTCTGTTTATATGCAAAAGATTGCATGATGACTTCTATTGTTCTGTCCAGAAAACTTGGACATCACCATGAAAATAATTACAAATTCCACAACTAAGTGCCTTGTACAGGTCACTGAACTTAAGCAGATCATTTACGTATATAGGTGCTAGACAGTTACCTTCTCCATGTGTTGCTGTGAAATGGTGCTCTTTTTTTGTTGTTAATTTCATTCTCACACTGCAAGTTTTGCTGGTGGAGCTGACCATGTGCTGTACTTGGCCATAGCTGCACAGCTGAGAGCCATGTAAACTGATCTCAAGGGTTACTAAATCAATCAGTGGGTTTTGTCTCTGCATGTGATATTACAATAGAAAATGTTATTTCTGAAGTACTATCTGCTGTCTCCTCGTGGTTAAATGTATTCAACTTGAAAGCATTTCTGTATACCATACCTACTACACTGTGCTATAATTGAATGCAATGCAGGGAAAGCTATTAACTGTAAAGATTAACCTCCTATACTGTTTCCTCTGTGGTATTTCATGCACATAATAACAGAATGTCTTGAAATGCACCTGCTAATAGGACTAGATAATAAGAATGTCCTTCTTGTAAAAAGTAATTTTTTTAATACCTTTCCTCTTTAGTGTCTATTCTTGTGAGGTTTTGCCAGTTAGAGTTCTAGTTGTTTATCCTTTGTAGCTTACTTAAGCTTTTCTTGTCAAATTCTGTAGAAGACATAGAATTATTTGTAAAATAAATCCCTGCAAAAAGAAAAATTCATTTCCTTCTTATTCACAGTGGCAGCTGGACTGCCTTGCTTGCTTGCTGAAGCTGATATGCCAGTTTGCAGTTGATCCTTCAGATCTGGATTTAGCTTACCACGATGTGTTTGCCTGGTCTGGTGTAGCAGAGAGTCACAGAAAAAGAACGTGGCCAGGCAAATCAAGGAAGACTGCAAGTGACCATGTGAAGGGCCTTCATATACCTCGTTTAACAGAGGTAAGAGATAAACAGTGCGTCTGTTTTGTGAATTTAAATGACTCCTTTGTTGTGTAAAGCTTTTATTTTGGTAATAAAATAATATAGTGGCAAACTTACTAGTATTAATCTATATGTTACATACTGTTCTCAAATATAGTTTGTTTTTAAACCTGCCAATTTTAAAAGCTGGAACTGAAAGGTATTTTGATGAATGTGAGCATGTGAAATGTGAATTTCAGAATTCCAGTTTTATTCCTATTTCTTACATTTTGTTTTCCATATTATTAACTCTGTTTTTATGGTAACCTTTCGTAGTTGCTGTCCTCATCCTTGGCAAATACATTTTTATGTCCTTGAGTGCACACTAAGTGTGAAGTAGTTTACTATACTAAGGATATCTGACCAAGTGTATAAACATACTTAAACGCGTAAAACTTCCTCCCAGATTCTTGCCTGCTAATTTCCAAATATAGACCAAGCCTGATATTTAATCAATAGCATTTTGTCATCAGATGGCTAGAGATGCATTCACTGTAAATTGATTGCTCTTGGGCACAGGACCAGTTGTGATTGCAGGAAAGGGCAGATTTGAACTGTAAGCTGGAGCCAAACTTCCCATTTGTCATTGTTACACAAGGAAAGACCCTAACTGTTCTATAGGGATAAGGTATTTTTGACAAAACAGATTCCTAAATTACCAAAGCTGATATGATACAGGGAAATTATTGAATGTATTAGCTTTTTTAATTGTCATCAATAAATATTTTTGATTGCAGTGGATTTGCTATCTAAATACTTTAAAAAACTTCTTTGTAAGGTCTTTAAAGACTTTCTCTTCAGACTTCTCAGATTTGAAAATTTTGTATAGCCTGTCAGAGGCTCTTTTTAAGATTAATAATTTAAGTGAATGTGTAGTCAGTCAAATGTGTTGATCACAAAGATACAAGCGAAATTTACATATCCAACTTCACCCACAACATTGTCCCCTCAAACCTATGATTTTAGAAACAAAGTTAATGTTTTTGGTTTTAAGAAATACACTGGTTTTTTTTACTAACAAGGTTGAGAAGATTATTGATTTTTCTATTCAGTTATGTTGCCTAAGAGGAATAGAATGAAATTTTAGCATCTAGATGTACTCAGTGAAACACAGGATTTTACATTTGCTTTAATAAAAAACAGAATATGACTGTTTCAACTGTAGAGATGTTATCATTTCTCTTTTGCTGTTCCTCCCTCTACACAGGTGGGTTTTTTTTAGATTCACACAGTGTGTATAATTTAAAAAACAATCAAAAAGCTTGTTGTTATATTAACTGGTCTTTTTTTCTTTTGACTTCAATTTTTAAAGGTGTTTCTTGTACTTGTCCAGGGAACCAGTTTGATTCAGCGACTTATGTCAGTTGCTTATACATATGACAACTTGGCACCTAGGTACAATATCTTCTTATTTTTGTTATAAAGCTTATAAAGTGTGCACATTTTCCTTGGCTGTTTTAAATAGAATGAATAGCTCTTTCAGTTGTAGTTCCCATTAACATCCATATCAGAAATTTAAGTATATAGGCATTAGATTTGCTTTTCTTAGTCACATCTTTTTGTAGTTAATCCACACTTACGAATCATGGAGAGAACTCTCAGTGGTCATCAGCAATCAAGCAATCACTGAACTAAACAAATTGCCCGAAATAGTAATAGTAAGAAATAAATAAAATAGAAACAACAACAACAAAACCTACATGTAAAGTAATTAATCACCATAGAATCCCTTATATAACCAGTTGTTCTCCAAGGTATATGACGTGGAGCAACAAGATATGGACAGGATGCTGTCAGAAATTCTCGTACCAAAACTGATTCTTTGTCTCTTTGTAACAATTAGCATTGTCAATTTCAAGCGAATATAAAGGAAAATTTGAAATAAATTCATTTTTAAGCTGCTTATTTATCTGCTGTGTTTGACTTATTTTCCCCATCCTAATGACATTACTTTATTGCTATTGAAATTCCTCTTCGTTTTATAGTTAGTGTGCATGTACTGCAGGCAAAATTTTACTTTCAGAAAATGGTTATTAGTGGTTTTTGTCCTTTTTGCCTTTTTTCCTGAGAAAAGCAATTCTGTGTAAGACTGTATAGTGACAGAGTTGGACTGATTCTGGGGCGGTCAATTTTTTGACACATTCAGTGTTGTAGAATTACTTGATTCCAAATAAGGTATAATGTGTTCTACCATATTTGTAAAAGATTGATAACGATATTTAGAGCATTTCCAGCCAGGTCTACAACTGTGCCTAAATGTAACCTCTAGCTGAGTTCCAAGAATGATTTTAATAATATACAATATATTTTCCATTTCATAAACTTCTACTGCCCTTTTCAAAAACTGTAAGTAAATAAGTACAAGCATTTACAGTAGGTACAGAGTTCGAAAGATCTGCTTAAAGTGTGGTTCCCCATAACAAATGCTAGCTTTCTTCTGTATGCGTCTGTTCTTGGTTCCATTTTATATCATCTCTTTCTTGGGTAATATAAAGTGGTTGTGATTATTTTTTCTTTACTTTTTATCTTGTAGTCTGTAAAGCTTTAGGGGGGTGATTTGAAGTTCCTAATAGCTTTATAAATATTGCTAATTTTGAATACTGCAAGAAATGAATCTTTTTAGGATTACGGTATTAGTTTTCTTAGTTGGTACTTAAGAATAACTTTGTTCTTACTGGCATATGCTTACATTTCTAAGTGGTAATCTGTTATGATCTGTGATAAAGTTCAAATGGCTTTATCTTCTTCCTGTTCAGGGTGTTGAAAGCTCAGTCAGATCACAGATCAAGACACGAAGGTCAGTGCTGCAAATTACTTCTATGCTATGAACTAATAATATTGAAAACATATTGAAGATAACAGGTTATGTGTTTGATTTATTCCACCTAAAACACAGAGAGGTCCTAAAAGACTTGCATGGCTTTCCTTTTCTGGTAATTATTTATATGATAGAAGTTTTGTATGCTAGTTATGCCTTCATCTCCAGACTAGCTGTTTTTGATAGGAAAACCAGCAGTATTATTTTCTGAAGAGCAGAAGATATATGTAGCACCATAATATAGTCACCAACAGTCACCTTTATTCGTGTTTACAAAGATAATTCTGGGCCCAGAATTCCTTGGAGATCCCCAGTCCAGCCTTCCTGGGGAGGATTCCTACAAAAGGTCTAAATGACCTGTGTCAGGTTAGGTTTGTATGAGAGTAACTGCCAAAAGCAGAGCATAGGTGTGCATAAATATAGGTAGGTCTCCTAAGCTTGTACATTGCCTTTGTTTTTTTTTCCACTTTGTTCTGGCCTACAGATGTTCATGGCTATGAACCTGAATTCTCAGTATGCTGTGCGTCACATACGAAAGTCTTACTCTTGGCTGTTAAGAAGAAAAGAACTGATGTGCTAGTTAGTTCAGGGAAATGTTCATGTTAAGAGCTGATGCAACCCATCTCCAAAGTACCAGCTCACTACTTAAGAAGGAGAGATGCAGGAAGGGGTTGTGCTCCAGATTTTGAGTATTTAGTCAAATTAAACTGTGATCAGTAGTACAACGATCAGTATTTAGTAAGCATATTGGTGACATTCTGAGCTGAAGTAGTGGCTTATGTGCCAATAAGGACTTAGTCTTGTACATTAAGATAATTAAAGTAAATGTCGTTTGTGCTAGAACTATGCAACCCTTCAACCTAGAAACCTTATTCTGTTAGAATAATGATACGATTTACTCTCATCTCATTTCCTATTAGTTACTCATTATTCAATGTGGCTCTTGGTGAGTTGGGCTCACTGCTGTTCCTCGGTGAAATCCAGTCTGGCAGACAGTGATCATTTGCAAGACTGGCTAAAGAAGCTTACCCTTCTTATTCCAGAGGTATGTTAAAGAAGAGGTTGTTACTAATTTGTGCATAATATGGAACAAGATTAACTTTGGTTTCAAGTTTCCATTAATTTCAGATCATGTTGTTTCCTGCTAAAAGTAAGCAGGTTCTCAGTTACTTGCAGTCCTGTTTAAGTAATCATTTTTGGTAAAAATACTGTGTAAGATGGCACATTTGTGGTTGATTGCAAACCAGTTTATAAACTCCCATCTTTGTTCTTAGCTTTTGTTTGAAGGTAATTCTTTTGTTGTAATTTGTTGGAATTTCTGGATGATGCCCTCCAACATGGATTAATCTAAATATACTTCTGCCATTGTGTTATTTTTTCAGCCGTACTTTTTATCGCAAAATGGGGTGAATAAGAGTTTAAATAAATATTTGTCATCAGTGAATCTTTGTCTAGTTTTAAGTATTTTTTTTTGTCTAATATAAGACAAACTTGGAAATTGCATAATATGCACAATGGATTTATTTATTTTTTTTACTATCTATTGCTTAAAGGTGCAACATGGACACGATGAGGTGATTGTTATTATCAGCTAATTATTACTCAACCACAGAAAAAACATATGTACTGTCTCCATTTAAAACACTGGAACTAAATGAGGGCAAACTTCTGAAGCTAAATTAGAGATAGTCTAGATTATTTTTTTCCTTAGGAATAAAAGAAGATAATTTTTCTAGTGAAATTAAGTTAACCATATAGTTTCATATGCGTAAGTATAGGTTGCAGCATTACATATATGTTCATACTTTGCCCAGATGTGGTATTTTGGGAGCTGGCTGTACTCTTTACTATAGAAAATAGGTAACTTGGGAGACAAGGCTTTTTTGTTACAAGGGTATCGTCAGCATAGGTGTTTTTAGACGTATTCTGCCTTGATAAGCTGGTAGATGTTATTAGAGGAACTTAATTATGTATATATGGAAGGAAAGTCAAAAAAGAAAAAAAACAAACTTCTAAATAATGTGTGCAGTAATTTTATTTTTTTATTTTTCACACAGACTGCCGTTCGCCATGAGTCATGCAATGGTTTATACAAGTTATCTCTCTCTGGTCTCGATGGGGGGGACTCAATTAATCGGTCCTTTCTGCTGCTGGCTGCATCAACATTACTAAAATTTCTTCCTGATGCTCAAGCTCTGAAACCTATCCGGGTAGGAACTTAGCAAATTACAAGACATTGTTAAAGATATATTTTAACTTATTTCTGTTAATATAAAAGGAGAAAAATGGTAGCATATGCCATCATTTTGTCTGGCATACTGTTTCTGATCTGCTAAGATACTAAGACTAAGATATTAAGGTTTAGATGTTTCGAGAAGCTTCACAGAAGTTACAGCTGTGATGCTAAAGTAATTGATACCTTACTAGTGCTAGGAGAAAAGTACAAAATAGCATTTTGAAAGTGTTGTGGTTCTGGAATTTTAGCATCCACATAAGATGCCGTTAAGGAATAACAGTTGTGTTTTCAGTAAATGCCCCATCTTTCCCTTTTTAAGTCCATAAATAAATCAGTAAATAGTTTTATATTTTATAGGTGTCCTCTGTTGTTGCAGTTAAGTGTTACTGTTCCCCAGTCAATTGTTTCTGTTTTTCTTTTGGGGTATTATTGTCCTCACAGTTTCACTAAATAGAAGAGATTCTACTTTCACACTGTTAATGTATGGAGATTAATAGAGATGGTTTGAACTAATCTGGATGATTTTCCCTAAAGTCAATTAGGAATTGTAGACATACCAATGCATATCAGAGAAGGCTATGCTCACTTCAGCTGTGTAGATCTGAAGAAGACTACTTGTACGACTGTGAAATGTGAACCTTGATTCAGGGGAGATTCTGAGAAAAAAAAAAAAAAAAAAAAAAGGTTGCATTAAAACAATCTGCAGAAGATTTGCATTATTTCACTAGTTTTCAGAAGAGTTCAAAATGGGATTTTAACCAACACATGTCAAACTGATATTCATGCAAATTTTCTTTTGTTTTGCCCAGTCTAATATTGAAAATTTTGCAATTTGCAGTTCTAAGTACAGATTTAATACTGTTGTAAGTTTAAGGCTCTGGCAGATCATCCTGACAGTCTTTCAAGAAAATGAATAAGTATTTCAGAATTAAAATAGAACATGCAGTGTTACCATTGTAAAATTCATTGTTCTTGTAAGGATCTTATCTTAAATAGGGACATGTAGAAAGTAATATTCTTGTAACATTGCATTTATTGCACTGCTTTAATACAGTTATTATTACAGTTAACAAAAGAAATTTTTTCTTTTTTCTTTTTTTTTTTCTCAGGTGGAGGATTATGAAGAAGAACCAGTGCTACGACCAGGTTGTAAGGAATATTTTTGGTTGCTGTGCAAACTGATTGATAACATACATGTCAAAGATGCAAGTCAGGTATGTTTTGCTTTGCAGTCATAAAAATGTTTGTGTTTTTAAATATCTGTATTCATATAACTTTTTTCATTGAACGTGATACAGTTTTACTTAATATATAGTGAACTGCTACAAACTGCTCTCCAAGCATTCCATCTCTTGACTTCTGCTGCTGTTGGTGTTTTTAGTAGCTCATGGTCAAAGGAAGCTTCAGATACACACCCTTTAGAGTCAAGAAGGGAGGGTGCATATAATGCACAAATAGAGTGGGCTATATGAAGTTAAGAGGCATGAGTATTGGAATCATTTAGGAAAGATTGACTCTTGGTAATTTCAGTGAAGGAGGAGGTGAGCAAATATCTGACATTAACTGAAAGAGACGAGAAAAAAATTCAGTTAGAAGCCAATTAGCATAGGTCAGAAAAAATATTCACTCTTTCAAAACATCCCAAAAGGGTTAAAATTAACTTTTTATGCACCTTCTGCAGCTATCTCTGCTGGCTGGACATGCTACATAAGTATCTCTAATTTATTCTCAGTGCTCTGGCAGGAGTGTGGGAAGGGAAGGAAGATAAAGCTATGAACCTTCTTTCTGTAGTGTTGAAAAAAATCTTGTCTGCTAACACCTGATGGTCCCAGTAGAGGCAAAAATTTTGGCCCGTCCATCTTTCTTCCACACAGTTTCCTACCATTTCCATTGTATTAATTCAGTTTCTTAGCTAGGCTACAGTTCTGCATAGTTCTTCTGCATGTTGCTTTCAAATTTCTAATGACAAGCTTCTGTGTGTTCCTGTGAGAAATAACAGTTAAGTATTTAAAATAGTAGTATTCAATTTTTTCAACATGATAATATATTTTTGGCATCTGGAATTGAAAGAATAAGTGTTACTTTATTTGAACTGTATATCATTGATTTTAAAAAACAGTTATATCACATTTATGAAAATGTATTAAAATACTGTTGCAAGAACATTTGAAAGAGTTTTAATTGTTCCTGTTTTTTTTTTTGTGTACAATAGCAAATTTCCATCCAAAAGAATAACCGTAGTTTCTGGCTGGATTTCTAATTCATGACGTACATAATTTTTTTCCATTTATATACCACTTTCTTTCTTTTTGATCAGACCACACTCCTTGATTTAGATGCACTAGCAAGACATCTTGCTGACTGCATTCGGAGGTAAGGTTTAGTAAAGTAATTTCATCTGTAAGTTGCGTTAAATTTATTGTTAGTGGGACAGACAGAGTTTTAACATTTCTTTTATATGTATGTATATATATAGCAGAGAAATCCTTGACCATCAAGACGGTAATATAGAAGATGACGGACTTACAGGACTGCTTCGCCTTGCAACAAGTGTTATTAAGCACAAACCACCTTTTAAATTTTCTCGTGAAGGGCAGGTAAGAAAAGGACCCTGACAGAGATCAAGACAAGGTCATATCTTTTTACTGTACTTTCTTCATTACACCTTTTTACCTAATATTTTGACTGCAGGGCTGAGTACGTGACAGTATGTCATATTTCTAGCTCTAGGTGATTGATGAAAACATGTCTCATTCCTTAATTAATAAGTAGTATGTACAGTCCCTTCCCTTTCTAACTGTATTTAATTTCTGGATAAAGTTCTTACATCCTAGAGATTTTATTTATTTTCATTTTTTATGTCTGAATTTTTTCAGAACAGATCAGTTTTAATTACTTTAAAAAAATAAAATAAAATAACAACAGCTGCTTTTTGACTATCCTGGGACAGTTGTGATCAAAAAGTAGCTTTTAAGCTCTGCACCTACCCAGTGGCAGACACGTGTAAAAAGAATACTGCAGTTCACCCATCCACAAAAAGTTACACATGATCTTTTTCTTCCCTGCTCCAACATGTCAGAATTCAATCAGATAGTGCAAATACAAGATTAAGAGTATTAATTGGAAAATGATAGATCCAGATCTCTGACATTACTTCTTTTCTAGTCTATGAGACTGCATTTTAGGGTGGCCGGTGTGCTAGGACACCTGTTTGAAAAAGGCTGCACCGCAGCACTAGGCTGTAGCCCATAGCACAGTCCAGAACTCCACATACTGGATACAGCTGGTCTGCTGATGAGCTGTAACCATCACCTGGCAAATATGGTTAGGAATGGAAACCAGTCAGATTGCTGCCCCATGAGCACTTGTGGTGCAGAGTTACTACCAAGAAAACAGGTATCCGTTTGTTTTTAATTTCATGCATAGTGGGATTAAAATATAACTCCAAAGCGTGGAGAAATCTGGAAGAGCTTTCGTTAACTATTTTGGCCAGGAGAAGACCCCTCAATATTATTCAGACATAAACATGTGACTGTATTTATAATATTTCGTACTAGTGCTACAGGAATTTCTCTATACATTGGAAAAAGACTTTTTTTACAGTGATTTTTTTGTTTGCTCTGCAGGAGGCTATCTTACATTTAGATTTTATTTAGATTTTACTGCAGCCTGACTTTTTAACACAGGGAAATCCAAGAAGAACATTTATTTAATTACAGTCTAGAAATTGCAGAACAAAATATAATAGTTGTATTGGTAGCTGTACCTTGCAAATGGGAGAGAATTCTATCCGTAAAAAAAACAATTGAAGAAGATATCATGTAGGGAAAAAAAAACAAATGAAGATTCTGTAGAGGTCAAGGATAGAGGGTTTATTGTCTGATCATGTAGACTACTACGATGATACACTACTAGTATGATTTAATTTCAGTTTGTTAAGATTGCAGCCATTTTGTTGATGCAGTGAAGTGAAGGAAGTAGATCATGTCATCAGCCCTGGGCATAAAAGTTTTGAATGAATTGCTGATTGTCTAAGGGATTTTGCTGAAATACCGCTTTCTAAATCAGTTAAATTTCTTCCTTCATGTTCTTTCATAATAGCACTTGGATGACTAATTAGTAATGTTCACTTTAGTAGTTGAAAGGCTGAGGAAAGCCTTTCACCATCCTGTACTTCTTTGAACATATTATAGCTTCTGGAAGAATATGACTCCTTTTCCTACAGACCTAGACAGATTTTGATTTCTTGTTGTCTTAATATTTTACATTTGATACAATTTTATTGAATTAAGTTGACTAAGCAGGACAAAGGTACAGAATTTTAGACATACGCAACTCCACTTTTTAGTGTATTAATCTGGAAAGATAAATATAAATAACAATGTGTTACGAGTCTGTCATCCAAAGGCAACAGGACTCGGTACAGCTGTGCTTTATGCCTTTTATAGTTCAGTTAATATTCCAACAGAGTAGCAATACCAAAACATACTTGCAGTACATATGATACATAAATCAGTGCATGTTTTATGGTTAATTAGTGATTCGTAAAACTCAGACTAGTAGAGCGATTATGTACTATGAGAAACCAGCCTTAAATTTATTAAAAATACATGTGTATGGTTTGTCAAGTTGAATTATCAGTCATGAATCAAGCATAATTTGCCATTCTTTTTCACTGGACATGTTTCTCTTTAGGTTGTAATATAAATAAAATTGTTGAAATTTGCGATTTAAAATGTGTATATGAGTCAGAAAGTTCTATACATGATAGTGGTCCAGAAAGTATACAGAAATTTCTAGAAGATTGGAAAAACATGACTGTCTCATGTGTTCAAACTGCTAAATCTGCTGACGGAATTGTTTTACAGGAGTTTCTGAGAGACATCTTCAATCTTCTGTTCTTGCTGCCAAGTTTAAAAGATAGACAGCAGCCAAAATGCAAGTCACATTCTTCAAGGGCTGCAGCATATGACTTGTTGGTAGAAATGGTGAAAGGGTCCGTGGAAAACTACAGGCTGCTCCACAACTGGGTTATGGCACAACATATGCAGTGTAAGAACCTTCGTTCATATGTAGCTTTTGAGTATTTTGTGGAAAATTAGTCCTTTTGTATCTTCTGTTCATTTTGGTTGTTTTGAATTTTTTGATTTATCAAGTTCAGTAAAGTAAATGGGAGGGTGGCCATTATATGGACTCCTCTTCGGAAGATTGCATGTTTGCGACAGGATTGCTAGCCACCGTTGTGAACAGTACTGCAATGGTGGAATTTGCTTTTCCTCCTCACAACTGAGACACTGATCCTGCTAACAGTACTTCTAAAATTCCCTTTGTAGCTCTGCTAGTTATCCAGCATCACTTAAAGAAGCATACAGCACTAATACAATTTTGTTACGCCTCTTGGCTTTCATGCTTCCTGTTTTTTGGAAACTCAGTTCCTATGTAAAATATGTAAATTACCAAAATCTGAAGCCAGTTAGTATTTTCTCTTTGATTTGCAAATACTTATTATGCATTTTTAGCTTGATAGATTTCCTTTTACATGTCCAGCTTACATTCTGGTAACCTGAGGATTTGTAATTTATTATAATCAATGGAATTGATTTAGTGCCTTACAATTCAGGAAGCAAAAGAGAAATCTGATCTTAATGTTTTGAGTTCTGTAGTTGTATGCCTGAGGCCTTCTGAAAAGCCTCTAAAATGTCATATGCTTAGGGAAAATATTATGAAGAATATGATGTATGAAAATACCTGATATTTGTGTGTGCTGTAAGTGCATCTGCTGCTGCTGAGCCTGTCAGTATCTCTCCAGGTGCAATCATCCATTTTTTTACAGTTAGTATTTTTTAACTCCAAATCCCAGTAATTCAAGCTACTGAAATTTTCTGTAACATTTACCAGTTGCTGCGTTCTTCCAAATATTCTTCTCTAGATTGTTTGTTCCTTTCTGAGTTCTCCAGAATCATGTGGTCCATGCTCCTTCTACATATTCAGTGTATTTCAGTTTCTTGAATGTTAATCTTAATACAACTGGCAGAGTGCCGTTGTCTCTTTATGTGCTATTGACCACAGGACTTCGGATACCTCACTTGTTTTAAAGTCTTGTTATTCCATTGGTGTGAATCAAAGACTTAAAACTGGATTTTTCCTCATTGCTTATCTCTGTAATCTAACTAGTCTTTTAAAATCTTAATCTTAGGCCTGTTGTGCCATTTTACGTAGGAGATGCATTAAGGAAGATGTTAGTAATTTCCATCCTCTCTTTGGTTTTAACATTTTGGTTTTGTGGTTCACTGGAGAAATTTTCGATCCTGCAGCTTGTACTGTAGTCGTCATCTAGTCTGACCAGTTGCTGTCTTTTCTAGTCTACCCTTTTTTTTCCACACCTCTAGCCGATTGAAGCCAAGATGCTCTTAAAAGATTGCTTTAATTTAGTGTAGCAATGCAAGGTACAGTTTTCAAAATGAAATCGTATCTTTAAAGGATATCTAGTGTATTTTCCTTGGGACAAAATAAAGGATTTTAGGATTCTAAGTAAAAATGAGATGTTAAGACTCTATTCAGGTAGTCATATAAAAACGTACTACTGTGTACTGTTCTTCAGACTTGAGCTAGTGTGAGTAATGTAAAATAGTTGTAGTAAAGTTTTAACTTCAGCAGCATTTTTTGGAAAGTTTCCAGTAGTGTAGCTGTCTTTGCTGATGGATGCAAAAAGATTAATGTGTGTGCTTTTTTCCTACTTCACAGCATTTACAGCCATACAGCATTTTTCTGTGTTGAACCAGGTGGTGAGATCTACCATTGTGTACATCATTCCCAAACATACAATTGTAAATTCATTTGCCTTTAACTTTTTGGCTTCTCTTTCTGAAGATCTGATGTCTTCTCTTTAGTATGCCAGTCCAGTTCTTTGAGTGAGGAAGAACATCTTAGCCATTACCGTTAGTGGCTTAAATACCTTTCTAGATAAGGTGCTGGCTTACATTGCCACCTGGCATGCAAGTATTGACCAGAAGGGATGTAATGTTCTACCAGCAATGTCCTTGTCCTCAGCAGAAGTGAGTTGTCCTGTAAGACCATGTCCACGATTTAAAAAAAAAAAAAAAAAAAAAAAGTTAGAATACATAAATTGATTGAAAGCAGGTGGAGGAAGAAACTTAGCTGTATAAAATGGGAAGGAAATAGTCTATAATTCAATGAAATGATGTCCCTCCTAAACCAGCACTCCTAAAGGAAACAATGCAGTGTCTTCATGGATTTTCAGCAATTTTCAGGAAATTAACTGCTAAGAAGCTGATGTCAGCTGACTTTTTTTGCTCTTCTCAACAGGGAAGGCTTACACTAAATGCGGACTTTGATCTTCTGAAGATGGGATTTAGATACCCTCTATTATTCATAAAATTTCTTGTAGTGTTTTGGGGTTTTGCTTTCTTTAAAGGCCAAAAGTAATAAAAACATTCGGTTCAAGGGAGGGGAAAAAAGACCAGCTGCCTTGCTGGGAAATTCGTTAAGATAATATCTGATGTTATGTTTGGAGCAGAAGCATTATCAGAAGTTGGAATAGAGAAAAATGCACAGTCATTGAGGGGAGATAAATTAATTTTACTTAAAGTAGAATGTGACTGCTGCAAGTTTGGTTACAAGTTCCACATTTCTTCCTGAGAAAAGGCAGTTTTCTGTAATGACAGAGATGAGTAATGAAGATAAGACATAAATGAGGCCAAATTTAACTTTCTAGTTAAAATCCATATGGAAAAAGGAAAGCATTTATTATCACAATGAAGGTAGTTGCTTAAAAGTCCCAGTACAGAGAAAATAGGATCCTCCTGAGAAAATTATTGTAGAATTTTTGAAAGCCCTCTGTCATATATAAGTGGGAGGAAGATACTCCAGCTATTCTCATGAAGTATAAAGAAGTTGTCTGATTTCTCTGCAATTAATACTTGATGAGCCATAAAGAAAGCAATAGGTGTTGAGTCTTTCCATCAGGAAGGGTGAATGCAGATGCTGCAGTTTAAGGATTTTAGTTAGGTGAAGGAATTTAGTGTTCTGCCACGCTAATGACTTCTGCTGGGAGTTTAAACATTGAGAAGAGCTTTGTTTCAAGTGGCTGGTCAGGCCAATTTAACCAGGTAACGTTAGGTCATGCTACTGAGATTTGTTAAAACACGAGAATTAAAACTCTTTCCTTCCCTACTTGAAGCTGCAGGGCTAATGGTAGTTTTGATGCCAATGCCAAAATGAAGATTACAATAATTACTTGTTGTGCAGCAGAACATCCTGTGGGTCTGGCATCTGAGGATCTGTTTAGAGGATGCCAGATAGTTCCTTGAAATTATAGCAAGTAGTATGAATTTAGAAGAATACTTAATAAACCTTTAATCTTTGACAAAGTAATTAAGGCTTTAAAATTTGAATCTTGAGCCCACATAGCTTTCGTGGATTGTAAAAAAAAAAAAAAATAAAAATAAAATATCACACCTTGACTACTCTTTTTTTCCCCCCCTTTTCTCTACATATCTGAACAGAGGTGCTGAATTACTTGTAGGTCGTTCTACATTTTTGGAGAATGACATCCTTGGGAATGAATAACTAAGTTATTGTAAGTTTTTGTGTCAAACCTCTTGCATACCAAGGAAGACAGGCAGCAGTGAATATCTTTGTATGCTAGATTAGCATCTCTCTGATTTAGTGCCTGTGTCATCTAGTTACTTCAGCAGGTCAAATAATTATTTTCCGATTCTATTCTCCTGTGTGAGACATGGAAAGGAAAGTCTGTCAGTGTCTAGAAGCAGTACAAATCACTTAAAAGTGGTTTGTGTAGTCTGGATACCATCTTCTTGAGTGGCAGGTGAGAACTTTCCCATTCTTCCCATTTCTTGGCAGCCATTTCAGAGCAAGGCTTACAGAGAAGAGTCTGTCAGACTTGCTTAACTTGTCTACTGCCATGCTGTTTATGAAATAGATTGTTACGTCTGGTGTAAAATTGAGAGGAAAAGAAAACTTACAGGAAAAGAAAATGTCTTTTCAGTCTGATTCTTTAGTCAATTTACTTCTTGCTTCTCCTATTTTTCTTACAGATTACAGATTTCTTTGGCTTTCAAGTGCAATAACAAACATTCCTTTACCTCCTGTAAAAGCTGTTCCCAAGTTTATTCAAGCTTATGTATGGCGAAGCACTCTTATCTCTGATAAGCATCTATATGTCTTTGGTATTGGTCAAAAAGATCTTTTGCTAGCATGGCATCCATTATAGCAGATACCATTCTGAAACCAGCTGCTAAAAATGAAAGTCTTGCTTCATGTGGGGTTAGCTTTGATAGCAAATGTGTGTTTTGCTATGTGAAAAGAAGGTTCCCTAACTTAAATCTCTGGGTGCAGAGACTCTGTGTTGCTTTCTTTCAGTGTGACACAGCAGTGCATGGGAATGGCTAGGGGAAATGGCGAGTAATTTTGTGTGCTGGGGGAATGACTGGGGTACATTGGGGAGCCTGTAAGTGTTGCACATTACCAGTTATCAGTTATCAGTACGTTGTCACTGCTCCTGATTTAGTCAGTGCTAGTGTTGTGGGGGAAGGAGCGTTCACTATGGAGCTCCTAGTTCACTATGGAGTTCACTAAAGAGCTTTGGTTCCATTTTAATTAAAGCTTTTGCACAATTGTGTAACAGTAGCACTTATTAACATGCATAACACAATGCATTTAATGGGAAAATAAGGTGGACATAAAGAGAATTGAATGAAAGATGAGGGAAGGATGTCAGGCTAGAAGAAGAAAGATTTAGAATGGTTTGGGTTGGAAGGGGCCTTAAAGATCATCTAATTCCGACTCCATAGAATGAGCAGGGCTAAGCTCTTCAGAAAACTCAGTTCAGCAGAAAGCCTACTTTTTGAAGCCTGTGCATCACTTTTCACATCACCTGTTAGCTGTCACTGGTCAGAAGACAGAATTCTAGATAATAATGTAGATAACAGGGTTGCCACGAAGTTGCTACAGAACAAGAGTAATTTTTTTTAAATGCATTTCAGGTTAAAATATTATGAAAATAACTTTATTTATAAAAAATGTGTAGCAACCACTATTTAGAAAATGTGGATGCTCTTGATGTTCAGTTTTAATGAAGAGGCCAGATGACCATTACTCCATGTGATACTGCCCCTAGATCAACTGCAGGAGCTGCCACTTGCCACGAATAATGCATGTGAGAGCACAGCGTACTCATGTAAAAGTACCAAATCATTGCAATCCAAAGTAGCGTGTGCTGCCACACTTTGTTATGCAGAGATTGGAGATGAAATGCATGGAACTGCATTTCAGAGTACCACCTCTCACTTTCTCAGGGGTCTGTTTCACCTTTGTAGAGGCATCTAGAAAGGCTGGCTTATGTATCCAGATACCAAAAATGCTTTCCTGATGTACCCATAATGCATTTTCTTAAAGAGCAGGTACAGTCTGGCTCATGTTTGAAAATCCAGAATGCAGAAACAAGATGTATTTCATTAATGTAGGCATAAAGCTTTGAAATTAATTTATGTCTTTGGAAGTTATTATTGGAATTGATTTTTTGTGCATATGTGCTTACGTACTTCTTCCAGCTTCCCATGCACCTTACAAGTGGGATTATTGGCCCCATGATGATGTTCGAGCTGAATGTAGGTTTGTGGGTCTGACTAATCTTGGAGCAACGTGTTACTTGGCATCCACTATTCAGCAGCTCTATATGATACCAGAGGCCAGACAAGCAATCTTTACTGCAAAGGTATGGTTTGCAATGTTACATTCTTTGTTATTTTGTAAAAGTTTATATTTAGTTTAAAAATATAATAATTAAGTGTAATTAAAAATAAAAAGTTTAAATTCATTTTTCCAATGAAAAGGCTAATAAAATACGGATTTACTTTTAGGACTTGTTTCTGTGTAAAGAATATTTCTTCAGGACTTTAGTTTGCTCTGTGTTAGGTTAAATTCTTCTGCTGATGTCTAAAGTGATTTTTAAAAATACATATTTGTAATGCAGTATCGTCTTAAGGTGGCATTATAACAGAGCATGTTCTCAAACTCATATTTCTGTTGCTGTCAAATAGATTGATTCAGGCTTGTTTTTATATGACTTGTTTGTTGTTATCTCCTAATCTGTCATTTCATTAGAGTAAATGCCATCCTTCTTGAATGTTTATAAAGTCCTTGAACGTGTTACTGGAAGTATTGCAAGTCTTGTAAATTATTCATTGGGTATCTTTCAGAAATATTAATATTATTAATTCTAACTATTTATTGTAACAGAGAAAGCTTCATTTTAGTCCTTGATATCAGTAGTGTACATATAACGTGTGAAACACCCTGACCGGCAGTGACCTCACTGTTTTTTATTGTCACTTAATTTCAAATAGAATATGCAAATCATGAATAAAAATAAAAAATAAAAAAGGAAGCTGCTGGTCTACAAGTGAAATACACTGTGTAGAGGATTGATCAGAACTCCCACCATGTCTATTAAATAGAAAAAAGTATTGCAAAATTAGTACAGTCTTTTCTGATACTTCCCCAAAGTTCCTAGCTGCTGCACATTTTTGGAAAATAGAGTCACCTTTTGCCACAGGTTTAGTGTTAGGCCAAAAAATGAGCAGGAAGTGCTATGTATACATGCAAAATAGTGAGCGTGCTGTGTATTCAACTATGCAATTATTTTTCTTAATTGTCCATAATAAAGGTGGATTTTTATAATAATTATTATTATTATTTTATTTAAAAAGATGATTACTTCATCTTCTGAAGCTCTGCTTTTGGAAAGTTATAAGCATAAAGGTTAAAATCTTTTTTTTTAAATGAATTTCTTCTAGTATTCAGAAGATATGAAACACAAGACCACTCTACTAGAACTCCAGAAAATGTTTACATACTTAATGGTAGGTGCTGGTTGGTGTGAAAGAGGATGTTTTATAATGTGCCCTATTTTTCTTTTAAAAAAGGGGGGGGAGGGAACAAAATACAAGAAAAATGTAGATACCATTCTATATGTGATTCTTGACGTTGTTCAAGACAGTTCACTGATGTTAAAAATGTGAAACATTTCTGAAAAGGTGATGATCCTTGTTGGGTCATCACCTTTTGATCCCTTCTGACTCAGGATACTGTATGATTTTTAGTATGACATAGAAAATTAAAAAGAAAACTGTGGAGAGCTGAGTGTTTTTGTTCTTGGCACCGGCTTTTGTCAAAGAAAATCATAACCTTTGAAGACAAATAGAGAAAAGGAATTTAAGCATGTGGTGCCTGACATGAATCATAGGAAGAATAAATCTAGGTATTTATGTAAGAAAAAATCACAAAGGAATATAAAATAATACGAAGATCTATTATTATTAAAACCTTTAAGAATTACTTAATTCCAAACCAGATAACATTAACAGTGTCTTGTCACATATTGTTAAAAGCAAATAATATGTATATCATGGCTTAGAAGGACAAAGTTCCCTTTGCTGTAAGTTCTGCATTTCCAGTGTTAGCATTGGAATGGGTGATGTATTCTAAAGAAACGTAGTATAACGCAGGTTCCTTCCTCAGACTGAACACCTGCAATGGAGAGCTAGACAGTGTCATTTTATACAATAGAGAAGTCTGAATGAGAATTAAGCTCTTGTCAAGACCCACGTCATTACTGTTTAGAAATACATAAGGACAAACTGCTGTTTGTCATACCGTATTTTGTATCTGAACATATATGCAAAAGCTGGCAAAAACTGGATGTGTCGCATCTTCAGCCAAGTTCTTTTAATACTGGTTCCTTTCATTAAGAATTATTTAATTTTTTTTTGCTAATAATATTTTATAATGAGTATTGTAATAATGATGGTTAAAAATTGCTTCACATTTCATCATTCATCATTAAGGCCCTTACACAACTTTGTTGCCTAAAAGGCACGTGGAGATACTGTATGTGTATTTTTAAATAGACCTTTATATAGCTATGTTCTGTATATCTGTGTAACTTAAAAGTACAAGGATTTGTGGTTGATTTGTTTTGCTTATTTTTCATTCATTTATCTATTTATTTTTACCTAAAGGAAAGTGAATGTAAGGCATACAATCCAAGGCCTTTCTGTAAAACCTATACCATGGATAAGCAGCCATTGAACACCGGAGAGCAGAAAGATATGACTGAATTCTTCACTGACCTGATAACAAAAATAGAAGAAATGTCTCCTGAACTGGTGAGTTACTGAGAGGGAGCAAAAGGGAGCTTGAAAAGTTACAGATTTGCTCGAATATCCTTGACAGAATTTATTAATTCATTCGCAGAAAAATACAGTGAAAAGTTTGTTCGGAGGTGTTATTACAAACAATGTTGTTTCTTTGGTAAGTATTTTTTCCTTATTATTATATATTTAAGATACTTTTTAACCTCTAAAAACAGTTATTTAATTGCTTTTCTCTTTCATTGCTGTGATTCAGGACTGTGAGCATGTAAGTCAGACTGCTGAAGAGTTCTATACAGTAAGGTGCCAGGTGGCAGATATGAAGAATATTTATGTAAGTACTGCCAGACTGGGGTAGATCAGATCACAACTGTAAAAGAAATAAGTCTTTTACATAAGAGACTATACTGTACACTGTTGTATATGCTGATGCTTTTTGTATCTGTACTCTAGTTTTGGTGTATTTCTATGATGATATTAATAGGTAATTCGGTTGAACTGGTCTGTGTTTTCTATACAACGTGTTTTCTATAGCAACATGCAATACTTGTGGAATTAATTAAAAAGTTACAGACAGTAATCATTATTTAGTCCCTTCTGTGTTTAAAAAATGGTCATGTTTTATATGAGATTTGTAAATGTCAAAAGATTTATATATATACATGTATTACTAAATTAATTTAAAACTTCTATAAAATAATTTTAGGTTATCTTTTTTAAAAAAATACTAATCCTCACACGTGGGATTTGGATTTAGAGCACATAAATTCTTTAGGACAGCTCAGAATATTGGGTACCATTTCTCTGAATTGGTTCCTGAAATTTGTGTTTGTTACAGAAAGACCAGATTCTAGAACCCAATCTCAAACTCTTTTCTTAGTTCAATTGCATGCTCTTTCTGCAAATTTTCTGGTAGTTTTAACCACCTTAGTTTCAAAGCTTACAGATAGGTATGTTGATTAAACATGCTGTAAGACTTAGAGAGAGGGTCTTGTAAAGCAGGCTATGTAAGCACAAGATTTAAATATCTAACATAAACGTAAGTTCCTTCTGTATTGTTTGTGATATGTAGGAATCTCTTGATGAAGTAACTATTAAAGATACCTTGGAAGGTGATAACATGTATACATGTTCACATTGTGGGAAGAAAGTGCGGGCTGAAAAAAGGTATGATTAAGAGGAATTAAGCGTTCCTATTTTTTTTTGTTTTGTTTTTTGTAAATTACTGAAATCACTATTTGAATTAGAGCAATTCTTTAGATGAAACAGGACCATGGTTTCATTCAGTTCACTAATGTGAAGGCCTGTGAGGATGTGATCCCTATAGAAATGACCATATAACTAAATAATTGAATTTCCAAAACAAAGACTATAAAATATCTTAGGGAAAGATCACCTAGACAGCAACGTGTTCAAGACCTTTTTTATATAAACAAAAAAAAAATTTAGAAATCAGTAACTTTTGAAATCTATTACTTTTCCAGTTTTTGAAAGAGCAAATTCTTTCAGAGTTTGTTCAGAATGTTTATTATTCATTATGCAGGATAATTGCTAAGGTTTCATGCATAGCCCTAAATTTCTTAGTCTAAAATTGGTAGTTCTGTAATTGTTTCCTTATTTTAAAAAGTCTACTAATAAAGATAAATTAAAATTTTACATCATCTCTTTATTGTAAATAACATAATTCTTAAGAGATGAAAAACCTTGCAGTTGTTCTTATAGCTGTTATAAATAGCATGGGTGAAAGTAGCCTGTTAAAATAATTAATGTGAAGTTTATGAGATATAATACAAGATATGTTCTACATTGAAACTTGTCAGTTACAGGATAACAACTCCATCTAATGAGGGGATTTGCATTGGTAAATTCCTTCATGACTCATACTACTGTATCATTTTAGAAAGCTGTCACTCATGACAAGCAAATTTGGTCTCCCCTCCAAGGCATAGTGATATGCTAAATGGAATTGTTCAGTAGGCTAAATCTGACCTTTCTGCTGCTGGTTACACTACCATACTCTAAGACATTTTGATTGCTGAATTTTATTTTTATGTGACTTTGTAACAGGTTTCCAATTTTATATTTGAATAAATGTGTTGAAAATTGTTGTGGAAACACAATTCAACCAACTAGGCTCTTCATAAATCACAACTATTTTTAATTCTTCAGGGCATGTTTTAAGAAACTACCTCGTATCTTAAGCTTCAACACAATGAGATATACTTTCAATATGGTAACAATGATGAAGGAGAAGGTCAATACTCATTTTTCATTCCCTCTGCGTTTGGATATGACACCTTACACTGAAGATTTCCTCATGGGAAAAAATGACAGAAAAGAAGGTATGCCTCATAAAATGAATTGCAAAGGGGTTTTCTCTTACATGTTTGTACCATTTTCTGTATATGTTATGTATGCAAACAAGTAGTGATTTTTTACAAGAAAATAAAATCAGTTTTAATTGACTTATATTTCCAATTTCACATATTTTCTTTAATACAAGAAAATTGGCCAATTATTTTTTGTTTTCCCTTGCAGTTCAGTTTGAATTATTCTTAAATTCGTTTTTAAAATATGGGAGATAACAAATAGTTGTATACAGCTTGTTACTAGCCTATTTTGATTTTGCTGAGTAATACTTGAAACGGAAAAGGGCTGACTGACTGCTATCATAAATAAGATGTGCTAACTTAGTTATTAGTTCTGATCTCTTCAGTAGAGATGCTTTGGAAAAAACTTAAGGTGTTTTACAAGAGTTGGGATTTCTGTGCCCTTTGTTCTGAGTATGGACTTTCTGGCTCTCATTGTGCACTGATGAAAAGAAAAAATAGAAAATGTTTTAAGCGTAACTTCAGGGGATGTGTGTGTGAGACATACTAATGTTGAAAGCCATGTGTTTATGAAATAACTAAATACTGTGTTAAATTACTTAAGGTTTTAAGGAAGATGGTGAATATTTGAAAGAAACCGAGAGTTACGAGTATGATCTGATAGGTGTAACGGTTCATACAGGAACTGCAGATGGTGGACATTACTATAGCTTTATCAGAGATATAGTCAATCCCCATGCTTACAAAAACAACAAATGGTGAGTTATACAAAGCAAAATTGTATCATTTTATATCTTTAAGTAACTAAAAACTGTTGACTTTGTCAATAACATAGAAGCTATGCGCTGTAGGTTCTCAAGAGCACAAGATTTTGGCATTTGCTAGGTATGCATATATCAATTTATACATCTGTTTTTGTCTGCTGTAGCGGTAATAATTGTGGAGAGCCTTGGATGCAGGCATCAGGAGAGTACCAGGCTCACCTTACAGTGCAGCAAATACTTGATTCTTGGCATGAATATCAAATGCTATTATATTTCATATTTCAGTATATATGAACACTAAGATTAAATAGATCATCCTTCATCATAAAATCAGGTTACCTTTGACAAGCATACAGCAGCATTAATGATTGTGGATTTCGGTCCTTTTCATTTTCTCCATTTTCAGTTATTTCAAACAACAATTTGACTTCTTCCCTTTAAACTCACTGCATCCTGTGTGCCAGATAAGCTGTTACAATACGTAGGTTATCAAGATCTGTTCTCACTGTACTTTTTATATAGTGAATTGTATTCACATTTTAATTTTATCCAGCTAGTGATCTGTCTTGCTTTCTAAGCCACCCTTACACCACCACCACCCTTTTCTTCTTTTTTAACCTACAACATCGCGCTTCTAATTCGGGAAGTTTTGCATACATTGGACATACAGTGGTTGTGAGGAGGGAGAAAAGATGGGGAGAAGTAGCCTGAACAAGGGATGAGACACAGGCATGGGAAGGAGGATGGTCTTCCCAGGTGATGAAACAGAGCAGAGAACTCTCTCTCCCATTCGTATCTAGTTTCATATCTCAGATTCTCTGCTGAAGCCATGCATAGGAGATAAGATTTCTTCTTTTGTTCTCTGTAATATCTGCCTGGAACATTTTTGAAGCTTTTTCAGCCAGTAGGCTAATCACTGGTCCGAAGGGAATCTGTAACAGCGTACAGTGTTCCTTTGCACCATTCCAGTTGAGTTCTACTGATACATGGGATGGATCTCCTCTTTTTAATTTTATTACCGCTTCACACAGATTGAAAAGCAAGAGGGAAATCTACTTGGCTGCATTAGAACTTAATCTCTACCACAGTCATATTAGAAAAATGGGGAAAATAATGTTTCTTGAATAAAAAGATAATATTTTGTTAAAGTGCCGACTTCCTGATTTTATTGAAAGAAAGTGACTTTTAGGATCACTTTTGAGTTTGCTGTGGTTCAAACAAAGCAATAGGAATTAAGATAAATACTTAATCTGAAGAACAATTTTAAATGCTTGTTAAACATTTGTTTTGCCCTGAGAGACAAACAACAGTTCTTTCAAAAGCTTACTCTTTTACAGGTATCTTTTCAATGATGCTGAAGTTAAACCATTTGATTCTGCCCAGCTTGCCTCAGAATGTTTTGGTGGAGAAATGACTGTAAGTTATGACTCTTGTTTTTGTCATGTTCCACCATTCGAATATCTGTTTTGAAGACTTTCATGAACAATTCCAAAGTGTTCACCTTTGGTTTTCCATCTGTTGTGAATGTATGAGAAACATATGCAAGTTTTAGATGACTCTTATTAAACTTTTGACATCTCTGTTGTGCAAGTGATACTTTATCTTAGTTAGATCAGTCATTCTTCCACTACTGATCTGCTTGAAGAGTCCCCCACTCCTTAGGGGAAGAAAGACGGCAGAGTGCTTGCAGGCTGGTGATTCAAGCTGTCTAGTTTTTCTACGCTATCTGTAGGACAGAAGTTGATCCAACAAAGAAGGGTCCTAATTCCTCCCATACTGACTATCGTATTACTGATTTTGTGCATATGAATCCAAATGTTTATATGTGGTTTTGAAAGATAGGTGTCAGAAGCATAGGATAGGTACTATTAATGAATCAAAATGAATTAGTGAAGTCTATAGTGAAGTATAAAGGTAAAATGCTGAAATAAAAAAACAAAAACAAAAAAAAAACGTCGGTTTGTTAAACAGATTACATATACTTAGGTGCCAAAAAGGAAGAGGTATCAGTGAGATAGATGAGACAGGAACTTGTGTGAGAAGGTCAAGATATTCCATAGCAATTCTGAAAAATCAGGATAGGTGACCATAGAAGAAGAAAAAGACTATTTTGAACAAGAAAGAAATTGTCAGCAACCTCTCTGCAACTAACTTGAAATAGTTCACATGCACGTTTACATCAAATTGTCAGTAAATCATTTTTAAAAAATCATTTAAAAAGGTCAAAATTAATGGTGTTACTTTCTTCTTGACAGACAAAAACATATGATTCCGTTACTGATAAATTTATGGACTTCTCCTTTGAAAAGGTATTTCTCTTCTAAACACTTCCTATATGATGACATTTCTACTTTGATAATTTATCTCTCAAAGCAAAAATTATACAGATGTTTTTTTCTTCAAGACACACAGTGCTTACATGCTGTTTTATAAACGGATGGAACCAGAGGAGGAAAATGGCAAAGACTACAAATTTGATGTTTCATCAGAATTGCTGGAGGTACAAGTTGATTTGTTTTAACACATCTTAAAATACTATAGGAAATCCTAAACAAATCAGGAATCTGAGTAAACACAGGAAAACAAGTATAATCTGAATAAGTAGGATGATAATCCTTTCATTGAGAGGAATGTTGTTGATAGAAAGTAATTTAAAATCTCCATAGTACATAAATTTCAGACACTTTCTCATTCTGTCCTGTGATTTTTAGTTCACATATCTAAATAGCTTCATATTTGTAAAAAATGGTAGATCGTTTGTTTTTATTTTTATGAGCACTTAGCAACATTTTCTTAATAGTTGCAGTAGTACAGGAAGTGTTCTCATTAACTGTCATCCTTTTTATCCTTCAGTTCCTCAGCAACTTAGTGTTTTCAGGAGGGATGTAAGTTAGTATAGTATACTATACACTAAGAGTAGCTCCAGCTGCTTCTTTGCACTTCTCCTAGTGGGTTGCGAAACGTAGTTAAACTGTGCTTATTACAAGGAAGCATCAGTCAAAAGACGTTCCCTTCCTCCACGTAGTCATGGAGAGAATAGCCTGAATATGAATAAAAGGAGTAGGAGGAAAAATAAAAGCCACTAACAAGAAAAAAAAAAAAAAGAAAAGAAAAAAGACCACTTGTTCTCCCCAGTGTTGACTGCTCTGACTGAGGATACCTGGTTATTAATATAAAGATACCGTTTATCCTTGTACGGTCTGAGGAACTGGAAAAGACAATGTAGAGGAGCAGAGCATTATACTAGGGATCTCAATGTGCTAAACATATTCCCAGTATGGGACTCACGAGTGGTATCTCTCTTTTTATTATCTGAAAGGCCAGTCAGTTTCCCGGCCCCCTCTGGCCAGAAGTATTGCTTTATCATCTGTCACATGTTTGGTTCTTAACTTAAAAATATCCTTCATCATTAGCCAACAAATCAAATCGTGTTTTTTATCTTCCAGTCTTGACAATAACAGATTTTATCAGATTTAAAACTGTTTTTACAGGAGAACGAGTACCTAGTGTGAAATCCTCTTCTGGTTAATGGTGGAGAATGAAATTTTACTCTCTAAGAACTTAGCAAGAGGTTAAAGAGCTTATCAGGCTTAGGGTGAAAATTTAAACTGTTAGACCTACCTAGCTAGCTAAGCTGCTGGCGCATCTAATTGATCTCAATTAATGAAATGCTTAATGCTTAAAGAGATTTTATTTTGTTATATTATTTGTATACTATTGTAGATATCAAAGTATTGTCTTGAACTGCATTTCTTTTTTTTTTAAGAAATTAGACCAATTCTGAAAATTTCAGCCTGAAAATGTAATATAAGGCATGAGATCACAGCAAGAGGGGAAGGTTCAGAACATTGTTTAGCAGTCATATGGCAGGCAAAACCACCATCTGCTATAGTATCAACAAAGTAACTTGGAGCTACGCCTTTAAAATAGAGGATATGTTCCCAGAAATCATTTTTCATACAAAAAATGTTGGTTTCCTAGCCACAGCAAGCATTTAAGTATTCTTAAAATCATGCTTATGTAGTGAAATAAACTGCTTTCTTGTATCTGATGTTAGCATTTTTTCTTCAGTGGATATGGCATGATAACATGCAGTTTCTTCAAGACAAGAACATTTTTGAACATACGTATTTTGGGTAAGTTTCTTTAAAAATGTAAATTAATGCTTCTTTTCTTCTTGCAGATTTTCATGATTTATTTTAATTAACAAATAAAATTACTGACTCTAGGTTTATGTGGCAGTTGTGTAGTAGCATCCCAAGCACACTACCAGATCCAAAAGCAGTTTCCCTGATGACAGCAAAGGTAAATATTTCAAAAGTGTATTTTGCTTATCTTAAATGGACGTTTTAATTACATTGTAACTGAGGCATTCTGTGATTAATGGTGCTTTTTTTTTTCCCCCCTCAGTTAAGCACTTCCTTTGTGCTAGAGACATTTATTCATTCAAAGGAAAAGGTATTCTATTTACTTGTAAATTTTCATTAAGTAGCTGCATGAATATAGTGAAAAGTGATTGTAATTTTTCATTTCAAAAGTGTGATTTTGAGATGTAGTGAGTACAGTAGACAATACAAAAACATTTGAAGAGTGTCCTTCAACACACTCGTAATAAACACCACACAATGGAAAAAATGTGGAGGTCAGGATTTAGCTTACTTTGCAGAGCACTGGGAACAACATGTCTTGTGTTCTTTTCATTTGAAGATTGTTGGATGATTCAGGTTTTAGCAAGTACTTGTTAAGGTCTAATATAGAGGACATTGTTTACTTTGTTGTGCTCACTAGTTTTAAGCTACAAATAACCAGTGTGAACAACAAGAAAATTGTATTCTATCTGACTATCTGTATTTTCAGTTGACTTTTACTTCTTTCTCATCAGTGGTTCCTGTCCTGGTTTCAGCTAGGATAATACTACTAGTTCTAGAGTGCCTAGGATTAGCATGATTGCAGTTACAGTCAAACAGAACTAAATGGATAACAATTAAATTTTATGTGTGACTTGCATTAGTTCCAACACAAGTACTGTTATTTTTGTGTAGATGCAACACATTTCTAGTTCATAAAACATGCAGTGGTTTGTAGTAGCTATTATGCTTAATCTAACTGATCATATAGATTTTTTAAAAAGATTAAACCATCAATTATTATTTTAAGTTATAGTTTTTTTTCTGTATTTCTTTTTACAGCCTACAATGCTTCAGTGGATTGAACTGTTAACAAAACAGTTTAATAACAGTCAGGCAGCTTGTGAAGTAAGTGACTTAGGAACTCAGCAAAGTACAAACCAACTTTCTATATATTGTTTAACTTTCCTGGAGGTTCGTATCCCTGGAATATTTTGGACTATGAACTACTGTATTTGGCATATTTGTGCTCTATGAGATGAAATTCATCCTCTCTGAATACTGCAGATTCTGGGGAATGACTTAACTTTTATTTTCAGAAATGTATGGTCAGACCACAGGTTGTAATCAATTTGTCACTGGACAAAAAAAAGAAAGACCCTGTGGCGTGACAGCCTTTGTATTTGATTAATTATGCCATACTGATTTGTGTGATTAAGAGGTGTTGGAATGAAATTGGACCAGAGAATTGGAAAGACTGACTAAGGTTTAAGGATTGGAATGGAAGGGACTGCAGCTGAATCCAAGGGAAGAAAGAACAGTGTGCTAAAAGGCTGTGGCATGATGAAGAGGCTTAGAAAGGGAGTTAAAAGCAGCTCATGTCTGACTTAGCTGGAAACAGATTCATGCATCACCTTGCTTGTGAAGCTGAGAATCTTGAACCTCTGATGTGTAGAAAAACTGAAAACTCCTAAAAGGAGGAGGAAAATATGGAAGAATGTTTTTACGTTAAGAAAATCAGGAATCTGCCTGAAGGGAGTCTGGGAAAAAGTAAAACAGGAAAAACTGAGAAACCCCAGACAAAGAATTTACTGTGGTGGTGGTAAAAACAGTTTTGGGATACTGAAGAAAAGTTTGTGGTAGACTTTCTATGACAGTTTGAATGTACAAGGATCCCAGTTGCATGCTGCATCCTGCAGTAGACTTGATTCGATACAAATGAATAAAATTTATTGCTCTTCTACAAATGGATTCTATGTTTTTAAATCATTACATAACAGACGGGGATCGGGCGATAGTTTCATTGGTATGATGTAGTCTTAAGATGCTTAAAATGAGTGAAGGTATTTCCTGTAGTAAATAATATTCACGTTCAGTTAAATTAAAAAAGCAACTTGGATTCTTTAAACTTCTTTTCTTGTGAATAAAATAAAATTCTGGGAATCAGAATGTTATTTGAAGAGTCTAATTATGAATGAGTCATTCTCTGTTGTTGCTACACATTTTCTGCCACTGGAGATAGTAAGACTTTTTAGTAAAGCTCCACATTTTAAAATGCAAAAGGGATCTAATTCAGGAACTACATTCTTGTTTAAACCTGTCCCTGCTCTGCCAGATTCTTCAGCTGATGCTTCATTGTAAGCATCATTTGTTACTCTGTTGACATCACTTTTCAGGATAAATGTTTCCTTCCAGATAATTGAATAATGGCCTGCAGAACACAGGGATAAGAAGATACTGGAAATAAATCTATATTAATGTTTATTGCTGTTGATCCTTATTCCTTTCTTCTCATGCACAGAAGACATTTATATTTCCCTTGGATTAATACTTCCTTATTCCTTAATAATAGTAACATCAATTTCTCTTCAGACTTTAGTATGATGCAAAAAGAAGATTGGACTAGAACAAGTTTGGAACAAAACTAACAAAGTATGTATCTTCTGCAGTGGTTTTTGGATCGTATGGCTGATGATGATTGGTGGCCAATGCAGATTCTAATAAAGTGTCCCAATCAGATTGTGAGACAGGTAAGAAAAGATGTTCCTATATAAATCAAGTGACTGCTTGACCAATGAACAGAAAAGGACAAATATTATGACGCATACAGTGATTCTGAAAGGTTACATTGATACCTTTAATTGTCCTATTCTTTTACATTTTTGCTTAGTGTTTAGAGAATATGGTTGTCCATGGGGGCATTATTGTTTGAAACAAAATCTGTTTTATTGCAGTGCCTTAGTTGTACAGGCAGGATCACAAAATAACACAGTAGATACATAGATACAATTTAAAGCTTATAGAGCTCCCACATAATCTCTACAAATTCGAACATTCTACGTTAAAAATGCTTTTCATTACTAGCTGGTTCAACAATGTTTGAAGATAAGCCTTCAGAAAATAAAAAGTAGTTAATCACGTATTTTCAGTGCTCCTAATGGAAAGCTTCAGTTCTAAACTCTTCTGCCTTTGTGTGTAGGTATAGTTTTAGGACATCATGCCACAAAGTTTTGTTAATATCCTTTTCTGGAAATGTTTAAAATTGGAAACAAAGAAAAAAAAAATAACCTATGTTAGTAGCATTTGAATATTTCCAGATACAACACTATTAATAGTTTAACATATGTGTATATTTTCTTTGCAAGTTGTTCGATTAAAAACTAACTGTACCATTACTTTATCTCACTTGAACCCTTCAACTGGTTTAACTTCTTGAAGTATTAAGGTATTTTTTCCATTTAGAACCAGTCATTGTTTCTATATGCAGCACATCATTAAAGGAGCATATTTCGTGGGAAAACTATGCAAGATCTTAGGCAAAACTAATCCTTGATGAATTTTTCTAAATTTAATTTAATTTAATTTAATTTAATTAAAGAATGGCCTGAAGGAGCTTGCTTAAAATTTTTTGGAAAAAAAATCTCCTGATAGCCAGAGGCAAAATAAAAAGTTTGCCAGAATTATCTAAACATTCCTGAAAATAGAGATAGAAGAAAAAATAATGTTTATGAGCAGTGGTCCTAAGTCATGTTTCTGTAGTATACAGTGCACACCAATATTAAAACTTGTTTTTAGGGTTTTTCCATAAAATCTGTTCATAAAAACCAGGTTTGACTATTCTGTTGAAATACGTGGTGTCAGTACACTAATAAATGGAATGTGGATGTCTTAATCTCAGCTTTAACTTTAAATAATGTAGAGCTGGAAATAGTAGTAGGAGGCAGAATATTCTTTGCTGCAAATATCTGTATTGGCATGTATGCAAAAGAATGAACATGTGGAGCTCATTTACTTATCATTTGCAGATGTTCCAGCGCTTGTGTATTCATGTGATACAGAGACTGAGGCCAGTGCATGCACATCTTTATCTCCAGCCAGGAATGGAAGACTGGTAAAATAATAACACCTGAAAATTTATATATATTACATGAAGTACAGCAACCACTTTTGTCTAATGAATTACTCAAAATGGCCTTGTAAGCTTAAAATTGTGCTGTTTTAATTATTTTTTATTATTCTACCCAAAATGCTCCCATTCATTTAAAATACTACATGTACTGTGGTTGGAGAAGACAGTATCTGTAGGTACAGTGTTTGAAGTATTTGTTCCCTTAGACTAGATTTTCTGCCTGGTTTTCCTTTCAGTATCACTGAAAAGCTGCAAGTGTAAGTTCCTCTACTTACATGTGAGAATCTTGTACATTGGATCCAGAGGCATAGAGGTGGCAGTTAAAATTTGTAAACCAGTACAAGAGGGTGGAGGTTAGAGTCCAGTCATGTGTCGTATAACTAAATCACAGTTTTCAACACAAAACTACTGGATTGTATTTCATTCTGCTAATTACCAAGGAAACTGTCACTTTAAAAATATTTATTCTTTTGATACTTAATGGGAAGAAGAGAGTGTTTTTTCTTTCATGTCTTGGGTTAAGCTTGTGATCCTTACATGTATGATACCTTTTTCTGGAAAAAAAAAATGGAGCTATACTGCCATAACAAAATTCAGGACACGAAAATACAGTTTTCATATCAAAATACAGAATTCAGTTTTCTCTGGAAGACTAAATTCTACATCTAGGCTATATTTGGCATAAGAGAAAGTGTCAGAGATCTGAATATTATAGTAGGGAAGAGTGGAAAACGAAGTTTTTCTGGGGGAAAAAAAAAAAAAAAAGGACAGGGTCAGATGATTTTATACTCCATGTATTGTGTGAAATGTCTAAATCTGATTATGTTTTCAGTTCGGATGACATGGATGGTCCCGTGGAAGACATCGGCAGTCGCTCTTGTGTAACACGTTTTGTGAAGACTCTCTTGTCAATTATGGAGCACGGTGTTAAGCCTCACAGTAAACATCTCACTGAATACTTTGCCTTTCTTTATGAATTTGCCAAAATGGGAGAAGAGGAAGTGAGTATAGCCTTAGATATACGTATGCAATTTATAAAACTACATCTGTATTTTCAAGTAACTCAATATGTACATATTTCAGAGCCAGTTCTTGCTCTCATTGCAAGCCATATCAACAATGGTCCATTTCTACATGGGAACTAAAGGACCTGAAAATGTAAGTTTGAGTATCTTTTGTAATGAGAACTAGTCTTTCCTATCTTTATATATGAGATCATTGATGCTATGTCTCATGAACTATCTTTCAGCTGTTAAATTAAAATTGCTTTAATCATGCAGTATTCTCAATGTTCAGTTGAATCTTATATATAAAAAAGATGCTGAATTGACTATTCTATAAACTACAGTTCTCTGTTTAGTACAAAAATAGAAATTAGGCAGAAGCAATTAAAATTGCCATCGTCACACTGTTAACAACTGATTGCATGTTTGTTTTGTACAAATTAAGCATTTAAACTTGTTTAAGCATTTAAATTTGTATATATATATTATTTTTTTTCCTTCAGCCACAGGTTGAAGTACTTTCTGAGGAAGAAGGGGAGGAAGAGGAGGAAGAGGAAGATATACTTTCTTTAGCAGAAGAAAAATACAGGCCTGCTGCACTTGAAAAGATGATTGCCCTGATTGCTCTTCTAGTGGAACAATCTCGCTCAGAAAGGCAAGAGCTTCTGAAAACACAAAAGCAAATTTTAATATAAGTTAGTTCAAAATGGGGATAGATGGTTTTGTTTTGTTTTGTTTTTTAATTGGTTTAAGCTTTTAACAACATAAATGAGCTTGTACATGGGTCCTTTAAGCTGTTAACCATTTTAAGATAAATATTTTGTCATTGTTGACGAAACAAAAGATTGAGGCTAAAACACTGAATACATTCAGTTGCCCTGATTTGGATTTCCTTTTTTTTTTTCTTTTTTTCTTTTTTTTTAATTTGGTCTGTCGAATTAGAAAATATTATTTTTTTTAGTTTTATGCCACTACTTGTATTTTTCTTGTATATCCTGATACTGAAGAGCATGAACTAGCATTCACAGTCCTGAATTTCTCCTTAACCTGACTTAATAATCTCTGAAGTAAAATGATGAAGGTTTTCTTGTTTTTTTAGACATTTGACTTTATCACAGAATGACATGGCAGCATTAACAGGAGGAAAGGTAATTAATTTAAGTATGAATACGTAAACCTCAAAAAAACGCACATTTGTGTACACAGGTAATTGTAGACAATATACTAACATCTTCATATTTGTTTTAGGGTTTTCCTTTTTTGTTTCAACATATCCGTGATGGAATCAACATCAGGCAAACTTGCAATCTCATTTTCAGTTTGTGTCGGTACAATAATCGACTCGCAGAACATGTAAGTATCAGCAGCTACAGCTATTTGTTGAAGATCTTATCTAATAAGTGTAATGGGATTATTTATTATTTTAACTGAAAAAGCACAAGTCTAAGTGAGTTTTGTTTGTTTTGTTTTTAAGATTGTGTCCATGCTTTTCACATCTATAGCAAAGTTGACTCCTGAGGTATGTAAACATACTACCTGTATATTAAATAATTTGTATTAATATTTTTCTGTTTTAAATTACTTAAATAATCCTTTGCTAATCAAAAATCTTGCATGGAAGATGATCCATGAAAGTTTTTGTGACATAAAATAAACTCTAACTGCGCTGTATATTAAGTTTTCTAAAGCAGAAATCTGGTATGCAGTTTCAGATGGAAGTTTTATTCAAAGCCAAACATGCTTCTAGATTCTCCACCTATGTTAATTAACTTTAAAAAAATGGTAACAGTAAAATGTGTATGTTAGAATAAGTGGAGATAAGGAATTACCATCTGTTTGTTCAAGTTTTGGCTCACTATTCTGCAATTCTGTGCATGTAAACACATTTCTCAGTCAGAATAAATTCCTGCCCTGGTAATAACAAAATACTGAGAGTTCCAAATGGATTCCACATGGAAAAAATATATACAGAGTGGTGAAGTGTATGCTCACACAAGGACATTCTTGTATACTGCTGTCAGAAAAGAAAAAACAATCAGGAAAAATTGAGGGCATGTCAAGCAGAGGTGACATGATTGTGGATGGAAAAGAAGCACATGCAAAATCATTCTCATGACAGCTTTGCTTTGTGTGATAGAATGGGCACTATCAGATGACAGTCTACTTCCCTCCTATCATGCTAACATTTGCTACATTTTTATGCTTTCTTTGCTTTGCACTTATACACATGCACAAGAGACATTTTTGGTGAGGTGCAAAATATAAAATAGCAATAATAACCACTTTACTAAAGCATTGTTAAAAGCTGGGTGACTTAGCAAACTTAAAAAAAATAATACTATATCACATTAGAGTGACCATGTTAGAGGAGACATGTTGCTGTTTTCAGAGGGAAACTGTATGCCAGTAATAATGATCAGTGTCAACCCTCAGAAATGGTGATGTTTTAGATAAATTTTTCAGGATCCATGTTACATGTTCTGCAAATGCTTAAAAATTATAAATTTCTAAGATAGTGATATTACACACACACATATATAAAAACAGAGTCAGCTGTTGAATTCTTAAATGTTGCATAGCTTGATTTTTTTCCCATTGTTCAGAGTAATGTCTGGCTTAAAATACCTATTGTTGTTTCCTTGTAACTATATATTTCTACTAGAGATCCTATCTAATTTGATAATGTTGCCTTGCAGTAGCTATAACCAGTGGGTTAGTTCCATGCATAGCTGTAGTAGAAATAAGATATAGATACAGACAGATGGATTATTTACAGATTAAGTAATAAGGGATTAAAAGCAGTTAAAATGTTCACATCTGAAGTTAGTAGATTTTTTAAAAATTGAAATATTTCGGGATGCCTTTTTGAGTCTATAAAAGAATTAATAGAATAAATGAAATAGATTAAAATGTTTATTTTTATTTTTATGCGTTACAGGCAGCCAATCCTTTTTTCAAATTGCTGACTATGCTAATGGAATTTGCTGGTGGACCCCCAGGAATGCCCCCCTTTGCTTCTTACATTCTGCAGAGGATATGGGAGGTACAACACGTTAAAAAGAAAAACAATTAGAAGCTAAATTGTATTTCTCTTGTTCGCTTTTTTGTGTATATAAAAGGATTTTCCATTTCATTGTCATCTTTGCTGCATCAATTCATGATCTTTTTTTTAAAACCATTTCTTTTCCAAAGGAACAGCAATGGTTAATATATGTTAAAAGTTCTACTCCAACTATTAATTCTATTTTAACAGCATTTTGGTTAACTGGTATTTCAGTTTAAATTTTAGTTTAATGAGAAATTAATTCAAAATAAGGGTCTAGAATGCTGCCTCTGGGCAAATTCTGCTGTTTTTTCTGAGTTATCCTTTTGTGAGGACTGTAAACTGTTTCAAGGTCCTTCTTTGGTTATTTTATTTTCCATTATGTACTAGTTAAGTGAATATTAGATTGATACTTTTTGTTCTCCGTAAAATGATCATTAACATTTTAACCCATAAAATAAGTGCTAATTTCATTCTGTTGACTAATTGCTCTGGTGTAGGAGCATTCTTACTTGCACTTCTAAAGAGAAAAAAAGACTTCTTAACCAAGTGGCACAGGGATACACTCCTTGATCTGAGAAGTAGATCAGGAGTTACAGCTTTCGCTTCAGCTAACTGCTGTTTGAGTTCACGGTTCAGTTTATTGTATTTATTCCTGTCAAGGAACAGCGTGTTCACCCTGAAGACTGATAAGGGTAAACCGTTGAACATCCTTTCCTGTTTAATACCCTTAAAAAAAAAAAAAGGACGGAGGGGTCACAGGAGGAAGTTTGTAAAACTTGTGCAGAATTCAGACCTATGATAAAACAGAGCTACTGAAGTGCTGTGGGGTAGAATATGGATGGCTAAGAGTATTTTTCTCCCAGGTAAGAGCAGTGATAGGATACAAACAGTCAGGTAATCTGGAAAAGCATATACCAGCTGGGTTTGTGATCTGCATATGAGTTAGCTGGAACTGCTGTACCTCATGTAAAAGGAGTTCAGACAGAGGATCTCAAGGTCAAGAATTACACCCAACTGTTCTCTGCGTACAAGGAAGTCATAGGCTATGAATTTCTCTTAGCAATAAGGAAACCTTTGCAAAAGAGTGGAATTAACCTACCTATAACAACAGACAAGTTTATGGCATGAAGTACATGTGCTTCGTGTTTCAATCAGTAGCCACAAAGTTTGTAAATGGTTATGCAATTCTCTTTCGTAGTTCCCTCCTCTTTCTCACTACACAAACTGAACTTAGAGAGGAAGCTATCAGTGACGGGTTTCTGTTGGAAAGGCCAAATGTTAGGTGTAGATGTCATCAGTTCAGTTTCTGGTGTTGCCAGCATAATTATCCTCACCTTGTTGACACATTTGAAGGCTTAGAGAGAGAAATTGTGTAGGCAGGGACAAGAGGCACAGTAGTTAATGCACAGACAGACAGATTTAGGGCACAGAACCAACTTTTGCAGCCCTTCCAGTGTCTAGAAGTCGTTAAAAAATGAGTGATGAAGATGGTGACCAGTGATAGTGTTTTTCTAACATGGAGGAAATTTGACAGATCATATTGTTATTTCTAAAAATGGGGGGCAATTGTTCTTGATGTGTTTATTTTTTAATGGAGATTAATATTTTATAAGCAGGGTTTTTATTGTGTCAGCTGCTCATATTCTTCAGGTGTGTTATGGTAGTAGGGAGAAGCTTCAGCAATGCAGTTACTGCCTGAAGTTACCTATGCAGAGGGAGTTCCTTTCTAATTGTCAGGATACCTACACCGTAAGGTTCATAGAAAGCAGATTAAAAAAACTACCAAATGAAAGAATTATTGGTCTAGTAATATGTCAATAAATTTACAACCCCTTAGAACCAGAAAGTCACAATAACTTACGTTGAGTCTTGTAAGGTTTTCATAATTGTACGATAGGCACTCCACAGGCTTTCCATTATCTTTGAAAAACACTAGATGAATGTATTCTTTGAAAATGATAAGTCAAAAAAAAAACATGACAGCATGAAGCTGTATCAACATATTTGCATACCATTTGTTTTCTTCTAACTTGTGTTAAAAACCCTAATTCAGCAATAAGGTTTCGTGTTAGCTTTGTTTGCAAAGACAAGGTAATTAAGTTTTAAAAGTGCTTAACGTTTTAATGCTTGAATATCTTAAAATATACAGAAAAGGACATGTAGAGTAACTTCCTAGACTTGTATTTTCAACAGTTCTGAACAAGATTCAGGGAAAAAAAAAAAAGCAAACTGAAATTTAACAAGTGGGGTTTTTTGTCTGCCATAACATTAAGGTCTTGCTTGTGCTTTGATAGCCCTATGTGATTTTCAAAATATATTTTGAAGGACTTGATAGTTATTTTTAGTTTAATGCAATCAGTAAATATTATCAAAGTTAATGTACTCTTTTTGATTTTTCCATTCTTTCAGGTCATTGAATACAACCCATCTCAGTGTCTGGATTGGCTGGCTGTGCAAACACCTCGAAATAAACTCGCTCACAGCTGGGTGCTGCAAAACATGGAAAACTGGGTTGAACGTTTTCTTCTGGCACATAACTATCCTAGAGTGAGAACTTGTAAGTTAATTTAAATTTTAAAAAATGATTCTGCTGTTGCAGCAAGTAATTGTGTATGGGGTATTCCTGTGACAATTGAAATACGTCTTGTGCTTGTATTTTCCTCCTTTTCCAGTTGTTCTAGGATTGCTATATTTTAAAATATCAACGTTTTACTACATAATATTTTAGATGGAAACCATATTTGAATTTGATTACTGAAATGAGATGTTGGTAGGTTCTTTATCATATGTGGTTAATCTACGTGCTTCAGGAAAACCAAAAGAAGAAAAACAACTAACCCACGCTGTTCTCCATAGTTTTCATCCTATAGTTGCTTTGTAGGTAGGAATAGTACTTGCTCTTCTTTCACCCACCACAGAGTAATCTTCAGTGAAGTCCTTTGAACCTGTGGATGAAGGAGAAGGAAGTCTGTGCTTCTGCCCAGCTCCAGCATATCCTTCCTCTGTAGTTCGTTCTGCCAGGAATCACATTGCCGGGCTATTGCCAAGTTCAGCCGTTCAGGCTTTCCTGTGTCTAAGTTGTGTTGTAAAGGAGATACGATAGCTATAGGCCACTCTGAGCTTTAATACAATATCTGTGGTTGAAAGATGTGGAAACTGGAGGGGCAGCTTTGTAACTAACTCCAGTTGTAAACAGGGTTGAAGAGGTAGTGAGGTCTTGATCAAGCGGTAGACAATTCTGCCATGGAAAACATCTGTTCATGTATTTTTGTTCTGGGATGCATGGTGTTACAGTAGTTAGAACCAAGCAGTAGACAGAAATACAGAGTGAATAGGCCTGAAAGCTAATCTTAACACCTCTTTTAACGAGCTTTGTGCTAGTCTTATCCACACAGTTATTTTAATTTCCAGTGTGAGTATAGTAATACCAGATTCTGTAAAATGCTTTGAAATCTGTATATGGAACAAATGTGTAACAAATTTGTTTTTATTATTTGAAGCTGCAGCCTATCTCTTGGTGTCGCTTATTCCAAGCAATTCCTTCCGTCAGATGTTCCGATCAACCCGTTCTTTGCACATCCCTACACGCGATCTGCCTCTCAGCCCCGATACCACCGTAGTTCTGCATCAAGTCTACAACGTGCTTCTTGGCCTTCTTTCAAGAGCTAAACTATATGTCGATGCTGCTGTTCATGGCACTACAAAACTTGTGCCCTACTTCAGTTTCATGACATACTGTTTGATCTCAAAAACTGAGAAACTCATGTTTTCTACCTACTTCATGGACTTATGGAACCTTTTCCAGCCTAAACTTTCTGAGCCAGCTATAGCCACCAACCACAACAAACAGGCTTTGCTGTCGTTTTGGTACAACGTCTGTGTCGACTGTCCAGAGAATGTACGCCTTATTGTACAGAATCCTGTGGTGACGAAGAACATTGCCTTCAATTACATCCTCGCAGACCACGACGATCAAGACGTGGTGCTCTTTAACCGTGGGATGCTGCCTGCCTACTACGGCATCTTGCGCCTCTGCTGTGAGCAGTCTCCTGCATTCACGAGGCAGTTGGCTTCTCACCAGAATATCCAGTGGGCCTTTAAGAATCTTACACCACATGCCAGCCAGTACCCAGGAGTAAGTAGAATGATACCCAGAAGTATGATTTTATTGTCAGTATTTCCTCTTTTACTGGATTTGTCTTTTAATGAAAGGGATGAAAAGACCTATTGGATATATCCAGTGGAAAAAACATTTTATTTCCTGTTATAAGTAATTGATAATGTGTTTAGATCGGATTACTGTACTTTTGGGTAAGGATTTTTTCCCTTGCGGTATATAGCAGTTGGAGAGCAGATGTTTTTTTCTGGAAGCAGATGCTGATGATTCTGCTATTCTTCAATATTCTGTACACCAGTCTAGTTCTACGAAGCAGGGAAAGAGCCTTTAATGGTCTTGCATTGTAACACATCGAGTTGGAGGAATTCCCAGTAAATTGCTTCTCTGCTTTCAGTTTCTGGAATAGGACCAAGATTTGATGGCCTCATGGTTACTTGGGAACACCTGTGTACCTTTTGTAAAGTATTGGTACGCTGGGAGTTCCACTGTCTCTGCAATAATATGTCACGGTAAAAATAGATACTAGTTAAAATTGCCCATGTGTAATGGTGAAAAATCAGGTTCACAAAGTTTTTAAGAGAAAAATCACAGAGATTTTTTGCCCTCTGTAGAAAAGGAGAGTATACAGTATATTCTACTTAGAACTCCAATCTAGTTCAGCTCACAGATTAAATTTATACTGTGGAAGTTCTGGGAATAGTCCTGCTGCCTTAACTGTTTGCATCTGTCCTTGGAAGTCTCAGTCTGTGTCACAAGAGACTGCAACTACTTTACTACGTGTTTTCGATGCCTGTAGGACTTCAGTGAGTTTTAGCCCAAGCAGCTTCCTGAATTCTGTTATCTAGAGTATGAGAGTATGAATAAATATCACCAGAATATGTGCTTAATCATGGTTAAAAAAAAAACACATCAACACCTTCAACTCCCCAAAGAAAGACAGGAAGTTTGGGCACGTGGATCAGGACTTCCCAGATTCTTCTGTCTATGTATATGTAGCAATGAACTGCACTGTTAGAAAGCACCAAAACATACATTTAAGGTTCAAAAGTATTATCTCAAATATCTGCCATGATCCACACAGTAAATATTAAAGGCTAAAAGCAAACTGTACTGAAGATAGGTGAGGAATATCCGCGCTTTCTTTGTCAGAATTTTATTTTTAGGAACTGTTTTAATTATTTAAGTTTAAAATGTCTGCTGATTTTATAACTTTACTACAAGGGTTAAAATGTTAGCCCATCTGAAGTTGCTTAATATGTTATGTTTTATATATTACTTAGTAAAAGTAACACAGAGGAGTAAATAAGAAGATATAAACCATAACATACTGAGAGATTACTCTAACGTAAAAATTGTATGTGTTTCAGGCAGTAGAAGAGCTGTTTAACCTCATGCAACTGTTTGTAGCTCAGAGACCAGACATGAGAGAAGAAGAGATAGAAGACATAAAGCAATTTAAGAAAACAACCATAAGCTGTTACCTGCGCTGCTTGGATGGACGATCTTGTTGGACAACTTTAATAAGGTACGTTAGTAGTGAAGCTGCAGTGTAATAATTGAATTCTGTTTGAATAAGAACTGCATTTCATAGAATGTGAAGTATGATGAAAATTAGTGTTGTTCCAGATTCAATTGGTTGAAAATATAATTTATTTTAGAAGGTTTCAGCATCTAAAAATTCAGAAGTTATGCAAAAAACAAGGTGTGAAACAAGATAAATATTGTCATGTTTCAAAATAAACACCATGACAAAACTGCTTTAGTTAGAGTCCTTGGGGGGGAAAAAAAAACAAAAAAAAACAAAAAAACATTTAAATGTACTAATTCAGCATTTAAGCTGAATGCCATTCTCAGCCTACCATGATTTATCTAGATTTGGCAAAGCAGTAATTTCAGCTATTGTTGTTGATATTTATTATTCTTGGGCAGAAAACTTAGTTAGAAATTGTGCCTATGGAACATTTTTATTGCATCATATCTTCAAATAGTTTTTCATTTCTAGTGTATCTTAATAGCATATCTGAAACTGTTGCTTTTTTTTTTTTTTTTTTGGTCAGTATAACTAGAAATTGCCTGTACACATAGGTCAGGTACTGGGATTTTAAAATGAACTGATGATGGACTGAAAGGGACTTGTGAGCAGAACAGCCTGTGTCACTTGAAGGGTTTACATACAGTCATCTCTTGTAGAATGCAACCAGATTTTCCCATGTGCACTGGAAGTATTGCAGTGCTGAGATGAGTGGTTCATTTGCTATGCATAATCCTTTCTGTTCTGCTATAAGCATAAAATGTTCTGATAGAAATGGTTTTACACATTTCAAAGTCCAAATATATGCTTAACTGGACCTATCTATTGAGATGCGTTATTTGAAAAGCATAAAGGTCTGTCTTTAGAAGTACATTTTAAAGTACTTTTTGAAGTACCTAGCTTTTAAACATTTTTGCAAATATTATTTGGGAAATATCTCCTTAAAAGCTATTTATAAGTCACTTTGGACAGCAGGTTGTTTAAAAAGGAAGTCGACATCAGGTATGTCTTTAAATGAAAAAGTTTATATAAAAAAAAAAGAGAGAGTAAGCATGTTCTTTTTGGCCTTCTGTGATAATTTTTAAAATAATAGCATGAGCTTAAAAAATTTAAATATTGGTATAAATTATGAAAATACATGCATTTTTCAGTGTTCTCAATATTTGGATTTTTTTCCTAGTGCCTTCAGAATATTATTAGAATCAGATGAAGACAGACTTCTTGTTGTGTTTAACAGAGGATTGATTCTGATGACTGAGGTAAGTATTCTGCTATTTAATTTTAATGAACACCTCACTTTCTTATTGATTCATTGCTCCTTCCTGACAACATTTGCTTTAAATTGTTGTAATATTGTATCATTTAAAATAAATATATGAAATATGTGGATGAAGTACTGGCATATATGTAAAACATTAAAATCTTAAGGGTCATAGGAAGAAAAAAAGAAAAAAAAAAAAAAGAATTTACAAGACACGCCTGAACACTGATGTAGGAGTTTAAATGAATAAATTTGAGGCAATAAAAATATTCATACTGGATTAAGAAGAAAGCTTAATCGGTAACAGAGATTTGGTAGGATAACTATAAAAGGATGTAGCTTAAATTGGAAAGATGAGCAAGAAATAAATAGGTGATAGATCATTTTGTGTATCAAAGACAGGTACGCTTGCTCTGAAGTTCATAATGGAGAGTAAATTAGGTCTACAGAAAGCTTGTAAATTATGAAAACATGGGAAAAAGATGATGGGAGATATTGTGGTTTACTCTACTATAGATGCCAAACCAAGAAAATGTGTGAGGTCTTTTATGATTTGGGAGTAATAAGAGATTGCAAGAACTTTGAGTTCTTTTGGGAAGAAATGCTTGGTAACGTTTGTTCATCTGCTCTTGGGCATGATCGTCACAGTTTTGTGATGCAGCAAGTGGGGAATGTGACTGGAGAGTTCTAAAGGATTCCAAGTCATGTAGCCACTGACTGAGAAGGTGCAGCTGGGAGGCAGTCTGAGTGAGCAGGAGCAGGAAATGAATCTCTTACTCTTAAGAATGGAAAGAGAGAAATCAGATGACCTTGATGCATTTAGAAAATTAGTTGGTAAGGTGCGATGGCAGCAAATCTGAGAAGAAAAATGTGCAGATACTCAAAGGGCAAAGCTATCCACATGTGAAGAAAGGGTAGGAAGTCTAATAGGAAATGAATTTAGATAAATCAGAAACTCTTTGTTAGCATGAAGAGAAAGAAGAAAACACGCAAAGAGTGGAAAGAAAAGCAGATTTATAATACTGAACATAAAAGAACAAAAGAAGAATGTGAAGGATAAAATTAGAAAGATCTAAGCTGAAAACTGCAACTAGCAAGAGATGTTATGAGTTAATAAGAAATTCTTAGTAGGAAATTGACAGCACAAGATAGGAAGAAAGGGAGGGAGGAAGGAAGAGAGGGATGTTGGGTGGTTTTGAGAGCAGGAGTAACATTTAAGATGATCTAGATGTGTTGGAGAAACTGAGTAAAAATAAGAAAAAAATCATTCTTGATATATGCAGATTGGTGTCACCACGGAGGGGATAATGAACTGGTACAAATCCGTGGTACAAAATAACAGGGCAGGAGGTAGTTGTAGCTGTACAGTAAATGAGATAGTGGAATGGATTGCCTTAGAAGCTCTCAGCACAACTGGAAGTCTTCAGGAGTACTTTGAGCAAACATCTGTCATGGATATATTTAGTTTGCCTTAAGGCATGTGGGTGGATTAGATGATGCTTTGAGGTTGATTTCAACCCTATTCTAATATGGTTTATATTTAAAAAAATATATATATATATATTTAACTTTGTGATGTCACTACTTTGTATTGTCTGGGACATAATGTGATAGAAAAGGCTGGAATTACAGAAACAGAAAAGATACAAATGAAGACACTGCAGTACTGTGAAATTTTAGTTTTCATGAGCTTGTTATAAATATAAGCCTCTTAACTAGTTACAGTTAGTTACTCCAGAATTTGTTGCTCTTTGTCTTGTAAATGCATACATTCCAGAAACTCAAGCTAAAAAGTTAGGAACTTTTCAAGGCTTTATCACATCCAGGAAAGTTTTCCACATAGTGGGGATGGCCATGTATCTTTTATCTTCACTATAATAGAAAAAAGCACCATGTTGAGATTTTGCTTTATAGGGAATGAGATTAATGTTTGTATATCTTTGAAATAGCCCAACAGATTAAATAACTTTTCTTAGGCCTTGTGCTAGAATTTTTGTGGTGTTGGGAAATCAGTTGCTTTTCTTTTCTGATATTTCTGTAAATCACAGGTGCCCACAAGATATTTTTATTAGAAAGGGAGAAATAATTCATCTGATGTATGTACAATCATAATACACAAGTTCTTAGGCAGGACATTTTAAAAAAGAACTACTGTCCATGTCAATCGTATTTCCACCCCTCCCCCCTCATTTTTTGAGCAGAGCTGGCTAGTTACTTGTTATAGACATTATTGTTACAGTAAATCTTACAAATTCAGTTTCCTTCTGGTCTGCACGTGTGAAAAAAATCATGACTCTAGTTTTTGGATTAAGTGAGAAGAACACAAGGCAGACTTACATGACCAAATGCAGGTTTCAGTTTAACTTCCGTAGAAGATTACTTACTGTTCATTGTTACTGAAACTGTATGTTCAGGTCAACAGTTACATTTAGTTGCTGTAAAAGATACCTGGTGATTCATTCTCTATTTCCTTCTTTCTTCCTCTCTCCCCTACCTTTTTTCTTTTTAATCTTTCTCATAGTAAATATGCTAAGTGCATATACAAATTTATTCTCTTTTTAAAATGTCATTATCTTTTGTAACTTTGTGATTACATCTGGCACGATATTCTTTTATACCTTTTTTTTTTTTGTGCATAAAATAATGTAAAAGTGGTGTCTGTAGGATAGAAATGATGAAGTGTGTTAGGTGGCAACATAAAGTGTTGTGGGTTTTTTCTTCGTAGTCCTTTAACACGTTGCACATGATGTACCACGAGGCTACAGCTTGCCACGTGACTGGAGACCTGGTAGAACTTCTGTCTATATTCCTTTCAGTTCTTAAATCAACACGTCCATATCTTCAAAGAAAAGGTTTGATTATAACTCTTCAAAGGATTATTATGTCTGTTGTCTGTTAATTAATTTTCATGACCTAAAACTTAGTATTCTGTCTTGCTTATTATCTATGTTTACAAACTTTCAATGCAGTAGCAGATTATTTTTAAATTGTTACTTATTAAGTTCTTTTTTGACATAATCTGACTAGATTAAGTATGTTTAATAGCAGTAGATCAATGAGATTGAATCTGGTTTTTAGATTGATAAAAATGATAGAGGAAAGAAGATTATTCAGCAGTAAAATTCTGTGCTTCATTTAAAGAGCTTCTGTGAAATTCACTAAGCAGATTTCTGTTTTTTACCTTCGCAGATGTGAAGCAAGCTCTCATTCAGTGGCAGGAGCGAATTGAATTTGCCCATAAGCTTTTAACTTTGCTAAATTCCTATAGTCCTCCAGAACTTAGAAATGCTTGTATTGGTAAGTTGTAATTTTTAAACTGCAGTCCGGAAGGACCTGTTCTATGCAGGTATCTGATTTGCAATTCAAATTTCATTTTTACAAGTGCAAATGCTTATTACATGCTCTGTAGATTGGGATTTTTGAAACTGATATTGTCAAATGTCAATATGGCCATTGTTCTTATTATAAATAATTGTATTTTCATCATTTTAAAGTTAATATTCATATTTTGCTAGGCATGCAGAATGTGTGCACAAAAAGTCAGCCTGCATTTTGAGAGGCCATTGTGCAATGTGGCTTATTAAAAATCAGAGGCATGGTAAAGGAATAAGTCATGAATTCAGGTGTCGGGTCAGTTTACAATCCAAATCTTTCATTAAGATTCAAGTACTAGCAAATGCTCCGCTCAGATATATGCTGAGCAAATTCATCTGAATTAACAGCTTTTAGCATAATTTTTTATGATCTATTTTCTAGAAAGTATAATAAAAATAAAGCTTAAAGAGCTTATGGAATTGAATACAGTTGTATTTTTAAATTGTAGGCGAAGACCTTATACATAATGTGTCTGTTTTGCACTAGAAAGGCCTATTCCAAAATCTTTTTCTAGTATAGTTGTTGTTTTTTTTTTAAAAAAAAAATATTATTTTAATGGATATAATCTGAATTCTTACGCATGCTAATGAAGGCCTAAAACTTTGTCCACATGAAACCTTTTCTGTGTGATTTGCATGCATTTTCCTCTTATTTTGAGTGCCTTTCTCATTGTCCTCCTGACTGCTGCTGGTTACATTTTCCAGGCATCAAACCTGATATGTTAAAGAAGAAGGAAAGAGGGTAATTTTATTGAGCTTCTACTTCCTACAAGCTGGCACCCCTCTCATTGGTTGTAGATCTACCACTGAGCAGGTTTGCTGCCAGTGGCAGAGGTGAAGGGAACCTTGACCGATTCAGGTGTATTCACGTTGTGTGTTACTCACAGTAAGCCTACCTCCACAGTGCACCCTAGCAAAAGAGAGATGAGAGTTTGACAATGCATGAGCCATAAGTTAAACTGTCTTCTGTTAAGAAATAACAATTTGTAATAGCAAAAAAACTTTTTGTTTGTAGATGTCCTCAAGGAGCTTGTACTTTTAAGTCCTCATGATTTCCTACATACTCTGGTTCCATTTCTACAGCACAATCATTGTACATACCACCACAGTAATATCCCAAGTAGGTATTTCAGTGATTGTATTTTGAAGTTCTCTTACGCTATTATTACTCTGTCATGTTCCTTGCCGATGTCAAATATTGACCTTTTTAATATATCCCTGTTTTATCCTAACTTGTACTACAGTGTCTCTAGGACCTTATTTTCCATGTCGTGAAAATTTGAAATTAATAGGGGGAAAAAGCAATATTCGTCCTCCACGTCCTGAACTTAATATGTGCCTCTTGCCTACAATGGTGGAAGCCAGCAAGGTATGTAAACACATAGTCTTATCAATAGCTATTTCTCTGTTGTTTTCCCTTTTTATAGAACTATTGTAATAATCCAGTAGCAGAATATATTTACATTTTATTTGTAAACAAAGCACAATTCTTCTTCAAGATGTGTTGTCCTCATATACTCCATTCTAGATGTGCACTCCAGAAGCACCATTTCCCTGCCCTTGGTGATTACACAGCTTCATATTCTAGACATGATAAGTGTTTAAACCTTGTGCTCAGGGGAAAAAAAAAAAAAAAAAAAGCACAGAAAAACAAAATTCAACCAACCAACAACAAAAACACATTCTGATAAACTTCCAATCTGTTTGTAGCATTTATAAAAGAATATTCAGGAACCACCCTGGGATAATCCAAATGGGTTTCAAACAGTGTTTAGATTTATTAACAGACAGTTAAGTCAATCCTCCAGGTTTCATTAGAGTCCGCTCCACCAGGACTCAGACACGATCTGCTCTTTGTTTCGGTGAAATGCCAATACCTGAAATACATAGGGCTATTTTGTAGGGCTTTAAGTCTTTTACTTTCTGTTTTCCCTTCCTGATGGGATGCCAGCTTTGGTGGGGCTACTTTGTAGTCACTTGCCATGTCCCATTATTACATTACCACAGCGGTGGGATTCAACTCACATAACTTTGCCTATCTAGAAGGTCTATGCCCAGCCCTTCCTGTGGTTAATGGAGAGGAATCGGTAACCTCAGAAGGAGGCTGATCCTTCTTGCCTTAGTGATCCGAGTCTGGATCAGTGACACTTCCTCTGGAGGAGTCCCTCTCCATTGACAGCAGGGATTGCTCACACGAGTCAATGATAGATAGCTAAAGTCAGGTAAGATGAATCCCACCTTAACACGAATATGTGTGGACAATCATTCGACGAAGGAAAACTGGTTACTTGCTGTACAGTAGCCGTGGTTCTTCAAGATGCTTTGTCCACACAGATTCTGCGGTGGTCCTCTTGTGCTAACGCAGAGCCCTGTCATGGGGGATTCTTATCGGTGAAGGAATTGAGTGGTGGTTGAAGCCGCCATACCCCTTATGCCCTCAGGTACAGTGGTCGCAAGGACACACTGGGTGCAGGCACAGCCCCAGTGGACACTGCTATTCAGAAAGAATCCAATCTCCTGCACATGGGGCCTATGTGCACATAGATGGGAATCTGTGTGGGCAACACATTTCGAAGAAGCACGGTTACTGTAGGGTAAGTAACCCTTCTTTTTTAAAGCTTTCAAAATGATGCTTTGTGTATTTGTGCACCATCAAATTTACTGTATGACCAAAGTTTAAATAAAAATGCCTAGAACCAGAAATTATCTATATTTTTCCATCATGTATCCAGTGGTAATGGATGTGAAACAAAATAATGTAAATATTTGAACTGAAAAGTCATATTATATGACACAGTACTTTACAATCTATGATGAATTCATACACATTGGGATCCAGAAAATTTCAAAGCCTTCAAAACCCCATCCACAGTTATGTTTACCTGTGTTTTTGCATGCTTATTTTTCATTCATTTGTTTTATATAAGATGGCATTTTGTTTGCTTGAATTTTTGAGATTTCCTTTTGGCTATCTGGTTTACAGAAGCTGATGCCGTTTTGAGTGCATACATCCATAATATATTAAAATACTGGCATACAAGACCCTTGGCGTATGTTTATCATTTGCTTTGGGACATTCTTGAAAATACTGCTTTGAACGCCTGTGAAGCTTTGTCTTGATAAAATTCTGACTTGCACGGACAGTAACTTACATTATGATTTAAAAAGTAGTAGTGTGCCTGTTTACATATCTGCATATGATTTAAAATTACTGCATTCTTTTCTCATCCTCTTCAAGATAAGCTATTCATATAACTTTGCATCTTCTCAGCCTGTTTATTCAGAATCCTACAATAGAGGAAAATAGAAAGTTTTACTGGTGGGGGAATTGACTTGCCATCCCTGCTCCGATCTCTGTTGTTCTTAACAAGGACAGAGCAGCAAAACACAGCTGGACTGGGTTAGACCTGGAAATCCCCATGATGTTTTCCTGTAGTATTTGATGAAATGTTTTAGGTGAAGAAGTGCAGGGATGCTTAGGAAATCTGGTAGCGGTCCAGTTGCTTATGTAGTTTAAATGAAGTTCTCTTAAATCTCCAGGGCAAAGATGATGTTTATGATCGTATGCTGCTAGACTACTTCTTTTCTTATCATCAGTTCATTCATCTACTATGCCGAGTTGCAATCAACTGTGAAAAATTTACTGAAACATTAGTTAAAATGAGTAAGTATGAAAGTTAAACAGCTTAAAGTTTGTGTTTTGTTTTTTTTTTTTTTCCTGTGGTAGTTGTGAGCACTTCTCCACTAAGTTTTATATTCAAGATTTGTAAGAAAAAGCAGTGCTCGTGAAAATCGCTGCACTAATTGTTCTGGAAATTACTTTTCCTTAATTCACAGAACTGTGCAGTGTGTACAATGATGCGCTGCCATCTTACCTACAAGACTGTCAGGCTTCAGGCCTGTCCAGGAGGGACCTGCGGCAGCCAGTGAGAATTCAGTCTCCTTGCACATTTACAGTTTCATACAGGACTCACTGAAATTGGTTCTTTTGCCGACTAAACTAACTAAAAAGTTAGTTCTTTTTAAATGGCTTTGTGTCAGCTCTACATCATCTCTCCAGTTAATGCCATTTCTGGGAAGTATTATTTATCTTCCCAGGAGCATGTGGACCATCTAGACAGCCGCTGATGGTGTTGATTCTGTTGTAAAACATGGATGTGTCTCACTCCATCTTCTGGGAACCCATCACAAGTAAACCAAATCAGTAACCACCCAGTCACATAGTTTGTACCTGAAAACATAAATACTGTATCAGCTCTGCCATTAAGTACCACCAGTGTTTGGGTTTCCTCCTGTCACAGTGTAAGCGTTGTTTTTCTGTTATGAGCAAGGCATTCCTGGGTTTATCTGGCCGCTCCGCTCATTCTGCCTGGTTCTCTGCAGGACAGCATCCTGCCTTGAGTTGCCCCATGAATTGCACGTCACTCTGAAGGCATATCATGGTGGTTGTTTTTTCCACCAAGGACTCAGGATAAACTGTTTTTCAGTGTGGTAGGTGCAGAGGCACAAACATTGCAGTCACACAAATACAGCTGTTACAGAGATAAGCATTCTGGGAGCTGTCTCTTCAATTCAGTTCTTAAAATTCGGCATCTAGCCAGATTCTAATTACAGACCCAGAAGTAAAGCCAGCTCTTATTTTTTTTTACATTTCATAGCAATACTAAAGGGATACGTGTATTTATTAGAGGTAGTGTAAAAACTTCACAGACCATCAGTCTGATTATAAAAAATGTTTAGAATGTGGTCTTATCAAACGATATGGCACTTTGGTACTGCTTGAGGACTGGTAACTGAATGAGGAAGTGAGTATCTGTCTCCAAGGAAGATTTTTCAATCATTCTCACTAAGTAACTACTATTTTCTCATAACAGGTGTCCTAGTTGCATATGAAGGTTTACCACTTCATCTTGCATTATTCCCCAAACTTTGGACTGAGCTTTGTCAGACTCAGGTAAGCCAGTGGGTTTGAGAACAGAACGGAAATACGGGCAAAAAACAGTAACTGGTACTAACCTGTGAATTCTAACCAGTGGGTATTGCTTAAACATTCAAAACATTAAATGTTAATTCTATTTTGAAAATACCTCTGCTTATGTTATCTTTGTGAAAGGAAAACATGAAATAATTAACAATACTTGATTTGTACAATTTACTAATAGCTGATTGATCTGAAATACTTTTATCATTAAGAACCATGCGGTTTGAGTTAAAAATATCAGTGGGCCTGGATAGATTCCTCTGGCTTAGACAGCTGTTGCTGATGGTGTTAGCGCTGTGATGTAGTTCCAGTGATGACTCTGCAGTGTTCTTTCTTTCTTTACCAGTCTGCAATGTCAAAGAACTGTGTAAAGCTCCTCTGTGAAGATCCGGTTTTTGCAGAATATATAAAATGCATTCTAATGGATGAAAGGACCTTTCTTAACAACAACATTGTATACACCTTTCTGACCCATTTTCTTCTAAAGGTAGGTGGTTCTTTAGCGATAGTTTCTGTTCCAAGCAATGCAGTCAGGTCTGTTATTTCAGTTTAGGATACTGTTTTCACAATTCCATTTTTTTGTGGTTTAAAAAGGATCTACTCTTTGTGCAGGTTCAGGGGCAGGTGTTTTCTGAAGCAAACTGTGCCAACTTAATCAATACTCTAATTACAAATCTAATAAACCAGTATCAAAGCCTAGAATCTGACTTCAGCAACCAGAGACTTGAAATCTCCAAAGCAAGCTCTACTTTAAATGGGGTGAGTCTTTTCTAAGCCGTTCAGTATCATCTAGGAGGCAGCTTATTTTCTGTGGAAGCTCTTCAGTGCTATGCGGCAGGTTCTAAAGAGGTGGGCATTGTTAGCTTAACTTCATGCTTAAGTGGGATTTCTGAGGAGAGCATGGGAGGCTACCTGAACTGTCTGGCTGGGAGTGTTCATCTCCATCAACAAGATAGTCATAAAGTTACGCAGCAGTAGTCTGAGCTCTCCAGAAGTTTCCATTCCACTTGCACACCTTCTCTCGGCACACACAGGATACATACTTGGGTCTCCAAGCAGACAGTGGGAACCACACGACTGGGGGCTGGCTTACTGTAGGAGGGGAAGCACCACGAAATGCAGTGACCATTGGCATGCTCTAACCCAGCAAAAGATGTCATTTTGCAGTGGGCAGCACGGTTTTGTTACCCACTTAGAACAGATACACGCTAAGGTCAGCATGTGAGTAGAGACTGGGAAATTTTGGTACTGTCATTGTATTTATAACTTGATCTTTTAGATGTTCAGAACACATGGAAGCCTCTAGTTACTGCACAGATGTCTCTGTGTGAAGCTCTTACCAGAAACAAACTGGAAATGAGGCTAGTTATGGTTGTTGACTCCTTTTTTTTTAGGACCTCCGAGCACTTGCCTTGCTGCTTTCAGTGCACACTCCCAAACAGCTCAATTCAGCCCTGATTCCAACTCTACAAGAGCTTTTAAACAAATGTAGAGCGTGTCAACAACAAAGGAACTCACTACAAGAGCAAGAAGCCAAAGAAAGAAAAACTAAAGGTTTGCCTTCTATCATGATTTCACTGTAATGCTAAAATTTTACAAACTTTTACAAATTAACCTAACACATTTTTTTCTTACCACAGAGTGTAAGCCATTTCTTGGTTCCAATCCCTGAAACTACACAAGAAATGCTGTTTTATTATGGAACTAAAATTTTAAACAATTACACGAATTGTCTCTAAGAAAATAAGTATTTCTTAATATGGAAGCAGATGATATGTTTAATATGGAAGCAGATGAAAAATGTGAAAGAGATGGCCTGTTATGTGGATGTATGGCATGAAAACAATGCAGTTTTTATTAGTTTGTTTTTTTTCCTACAGACGATGAAGGAGCTACTCCTGTAAAAAGAAGACGGGTCAGCAGTGATGAGGAGCACACTGTAGATAGCTGTATCAGTGATATAAAAACTGAACCCCAGGAGGCACTGACCCCAACAAGCACTTCAGATAACGAGACGCGGGACTCTTCGATCATTGATCCGGGCACTGAACAAGATCCTCCTTCCCCTGAAAACAGTTCTGTCAAAGAGTACAGAATGGAAGTTCCATCTTCGTTTTCAGAAGACATAATGCTAGCAACGAGGTCGCAACACACAGAAGAGCAGTCAGGAAATGGTAAATTTGAAGAATGCAAAGAATTTAAAGACCTGCAGACTTCCAAGGATTCCATTGTAGCTGAGGAGGACTCGGAGTTTCCTTCCACATCGATTTCAGCGGTTTTATCTGACCTTGCAGATTTGAGAAGCTGTGATGGTCAAGCCTTACCATCCCAGGACCCTGAAACTAGTTTATCAATCAGTTGTGGCCATTCCAGAGGACTTTTTAGTCATATGCAGCAGCATGACATTTTAGACATCCTGTGTAGGACCATTGAGTCTACGATTCATGTGGTCACAAGGATATCTGGAAAAGGAAACCAAGCTGCTTCTTGACATTAGATGGAGCATGTCTGCTTTTAAGTCTTTTTTTTTCCCCAAAAAATGCTGTTTGTATAAGTTTTGCTTATTTCTGTTTTGTGCTTCAGTTTGTCCAGTGCTCTCTGCTTGAATGGCAAGATAGATTTATATGCTTAATTCTTGGTCAGGCAGAACTCCAGATTTTTATTTTATTTTATTTTTTTGCATCTACCGTACACTTTCTTAAAGGGCAATCAGATAATGGATATGTTTTATGTAATTAAGAGTTCACTGTAGTGGCTTTCATTTAATATGGCTGTCTGGGAGAACAGGGCCTCCTTGCCCTGTATGATGTAATTTAAACTTATGGCATTTTTACTGTGTATAATATGGTGTCCTCTGTGCCAGTTTTGTACCTTATAATAGAGGCAGATTGCCTCAGATCGCTGTGGTTCTTATTATCAAAATTAAGTTTACTTGTATACTAAACAACCACAAGAAATTTGATTCTGTAAAGAATCCTCTTTAGCTGTGGCCTGGCAGTATATATATGGTGCTTTATTTAACAGAATACCTGTGGAGGAAATAAAGCACACTTGATGTAAAATTAATTGTTTTATTTTTATTGACATGATCAATTGCTATTCTGTGCACTTCATTAAACTGATTGTGATGACTTTTCATTTGTTTATATATGTTGCTTCAGTCTTTGGATTTTTCATCAAAGACAACTTGAAAACTGAAACAGGTGCAGAACGAAACGATGCTCAATTGTATATAATTTATGTAAATCTTGCTCCTTTTTTGGTTTACTGTGCATGCATGTTCAGTCACACAGTTGAGAGGGATTGGTTGTTTTTTACTATTTCTCCAGCGTTTAATAACAAAGTGGTGGAAGAAACCAGTAGACCTTTTCATTTCTTCCCTTAATTTTAACCCTTGTTAGACTATTCTCCCCTTTTTTCCTATGCTGTCATCTTTGACTTTCCTCTACCTGTGCTGCCTCTGGGGCCATGTTCCCACGCTTTCTTGACACCTTCTCCTTAACGTCCTTAAACGCTGGGCTGACTTTATCATCTCTTCTCGTCACCTTTCCTCATGTTATTTCTGAGCAATATCCATTTTGTAGTTAACCTCTCTGATTGTCGGTGATTTTGATTTTAACCTGATTAAACAATTTTTAGCTTCATTTTCCAGTATCTAAGGTCATTTGGGGTTTAAATCTTTATGACATGTCTTTTTATTGACTTTCTTCATTCTGTCTACCATATAATGCAGTTTAGCATCATTTACTTGTCCATGATTCCGTTGTGTGGTGCTTTTATGACTTCTCTTACTCTCTAAATTTATTCTTTCTTTTTTTAACCTTCCGTATTTTTTTTAACCTTCCACAGTCATTTCTGTCTTCAGTTTATGCTTTATATTCCCTTTCATTAGCACTTTTATTCCTGTATTTACAACCATTAAATTAATGTTGGTGAGGTCTTAAGTTGGTCTCATCATTATTCAAACATTAATTACATTTTTACTCTCTTTAGGAATAACCTTATTACCTTCTATGATCAACTTCTCCATAGATTGCAACGTCAGAGAAATCCTCAACAGTTTCTAGTCAGAACTTCTACATAACGACATCAGAATTCATCTATCAAGTCTACCACGCCTTGGAATTTGTGGTTAAGAACTTTGGGATCACACCTCAATTTAAGAGCTTCAAGAAATCAAATTATCCCTTTGGTGAGTAGTCTCTGCAATTAATTACTCTTATTAAAAATGTGCATCTGCGTTTTGTTAATGTTGTTAGACTTCAGCTCTGGCTATAGCATTTTGTTGGGCTTTGGCTTCTCATACAGGATGAGATCATACCATAATTGTCACTGGAGAGCAGGATTCTGTCTTGCGAGGGTTGTTTTTCCTGATACTGTGAACGCCCTTTTTGTACCAAATACAGGTATTTTAGCAATCATTTCACATATGTGATACAATAGCATAGTTCTTCCCCTTCAGTGTGCAGCTCTGCAGTCTTCAGCTGGTCAATGACTAGGTCCTTTTAAGTTATTTTCAAGATGTTTTCCCCTACGTATTTGTGTATGGGATTTGCAAATACTGTCAGTAGTAATTTTTGTATTTTATTATAATTTATTCTCCCAAAGACATAACTAGCCCTTTAGAATTCCACTGGAAGTCCATTTACTTGATAATCGTTTTTCATTAACAAGGCCTCTTGGAACTTTCAAGTTCAGACTGTTTCAGTGATGCTGTATTTTGGTTTTGGTAGCTCTTCAAGTAAATACCTTTAAATAGTAAAACACACATCCTACATAAGTTGTGTTATGCCAGCAGTTCCCCTTGTAACCCCTTCAAAAACCTAGATCGTATTTGTTTGATGCTTTATTAAAAAATGTTGATTAGCTTTAATTAGATGATGATTCTAAACTGACTGAATACTAGCTTTTCTATTATTTTGTTCAAAAATTGTGTCAAGATTACCCTTATGTTTACCTTTCCCTTTTTCCTTTTAAACCGAGTCTTCCTGCAATTCTACTGGTAATTTTTTCCAGTTTTCTTTCAGTTTCCTAAAAACTTGGTTTTGTACACGGTGTTGCCCTTCTTTTACTTGAAATCATTTTTCTAGTTTATATTTCTTTGCCTTCAGTTTCCTAAAACAAACTAAGTGGTACCTGCACTTGCCATCTCTTCCATATCTGTTTTGCCCTTTGAAGTCTGCACCCATTTTATTCATCTTCCTCTATTGTCCCTTATTTTATATGTTAAGTCATTATTTTTTGCATAGTATTCCCCTCCTTTTACTTTAAATCATTCTTCTAGTTTGTACATCTTTGCCTTCAAGAACACCATTGTTTTTGCCTGTCTTCAAAAAAACTTCCAAGTGTCTTCCTCCCTCTCTTAAAGCTTTTATTTTCTTCCACAGCTCATCCCAACTCTGACTTAATTTGTTTGTATTTCCTCCTAGAGGTCCCACCTCTCATTTAACCCCTTTAAAACTGTTTTTCCTTTCATTGTCCTCACTGTGCATAGTCTGTTACAGCTAGCCCCTGCCTCCTGGGCTTAAATTGTGAAGATCATTCTCTACACCTATTTTCGGCTGTCCTCTAACAACTCTTCCCTTTCACATTTAAATTATTTTTCCTTTTGGCCTTCTCAGAGATGAGGTTGGTTGTCTAGAAACTTACTGTGTTATGAAAGTGTTACATCGCAAACTATTTTCTTCTGTTCCTGCTTTGTCTCTTCATGCTGCTCGCTCTGCTTAGAATGCCTTCTGTACTCCTGTGCCTTTTTTCAAACACACAAATTCCAATACATTTTGTGATTGTTTTCCTCAAACGTTCTTTACCTGTCTCCACGCCTCTACTTTTCCAGTTCTGTTATATTGGGAACTCTTAAACAACCATTAACTTATAAAACAAACTAAATTTATGCTACTAAATTATTTATCATTGTATTGTTACCAAATGATAAGTAATTCCTAACTTTGCTCCATCCCAGCTCAAGGACTGAGGATAACAAATAATTTAACAGTCTTTGATTTTAAGTAAAGTCTTGGGGAATCTGTGAGAATAGGGAGTTTTAATACTCCAGAATAAATCGTTTTGCCTCTCTAAGATGGTGATTGCCCCCTTTATACTAGGTATGACTAGAAGTGCTAGAAAAGCACCACCTAGTACAAGTAAAACGAACACGCCTTCTAAATCCCAATATAACTGAATGCAGAACTTGAACTTTCAGGTCAGCAATACAACACTAATGTCAGCTAAGTTCCAGCACCTACAGTGAAGATGGGCAGGGTGCAGGAATGCTGGTGAAGCAAAACCAAAAAGAGGTCCTTTTTTGCCCCTAAGGACAGTCAAACAGAACTCCTCCTGGCTGTGAAAGCAGAGGAACTCATTGCCCAGTTCTTCTGCTGGGCCAGCCTAAAGCAATGAAGAGGTAGGTACTTAATGTCTTAAATTAAAGAAAGCTTATACGTATTATCAAACTTACAGCTGTGCAGGCCTGAGGGAACAAGAAGAACGCTAACCACAGGTCATCTCGAGTTCACTACACCTTGCATTTAAGAGGAACGCAGAGCTGGCTGGGGCTGTTCCTCCTCGCACAGTCTCAGACCTCTCAGTGGCAGCAGCAGTTTCCTGTTTGTTCTGGCTGTCCCACATCTGGAAGTGAGTGGTGCAACACCCAGGAACACAAGTAAGTCATTTCTTTTTTTACACTGGTGTTTTGCGATCGGTCCAGTTGGATTACTCCTGCTAGTGGAAGGAGATGAGAAAATTCAGGCCAGTAAATCATACAAGTGGACACTTGCGACCCTAAAATGGAAGCTTTTGCTAACTGTAGGGAAAAGTGATATGAGGCATATTTCCAGAAACACACTAGGACTGCAGTATATACTGTTTGAAGAGACTTGCTATTATTTTTTGTGGTTTGGAGAACTAATACTTTGGATGTAAGTAACTACTCTCAGATTGTAACAAAAATAGTCACAAAGTCTCTTAGCGTATATTTAATTTAGGGATCTCAATTTTATAGCTAGATTTTCTACTTTTACCTAAAGGTTGCCCCTTCATCAACCAATATACTCTAGATGGAAATTGCTTTTGTATAGAAAAGGTTAGGCAAATTTTCTTAAATATTTATGAAAAAAGGTACCTGTACTTTTAAAAAATTAGAAAGAGTTAGTAAGAGAGAAGCCTAATCTACTAAAACATGGCATTTATCAAGAGGTTGTTCTCCACCCTCTGTATGGACACCTACAACAAAAGTAGTGCAATGTTTACTAAACAGTCTTTGTACATATATTCTATTGATGTTAGGTGTCTGCTCTTGTTAGTACAACAAACCTCACCTAAGTGCAAAGGGGATAACCAACTGCAAACTTTTAAGGGAAAACCTCTCCTGCTGAAACAGCAGCACATCATTATCTTCTGCATCATTTTAAGTTTGTATGATGGGGTTGTCATATGTTGGTGTCCTGTAAAATAAAATATATGGGACTTAACTCCTATACAAACTCATTTAGTTAGACATATCAGTTAACGGAGAAAGTAAACTGCATGTAAAATGATGCATTTTATTGAATCAACCATGTTTTCCAAAGGCAGCTTGCCCTTTCTTGGTAAATTTGTTTCAAATTGCATACTTAACTCATTTGAGAATTAAGTTATTCTTGCTAACCTCAGTGTGGCTATAATTAAGAGTAACAGTTCCTTACTTTCTATTTCCCAACTACTTGCCTATCAAATTTATCTAACAAACAGTTGTTTGCTAAAGAATTGCAAACAGTCATAAATTATTGGAGTGGGAGATGTACAGAATTTCAAGAGGAAAAAATGAATACTGTTTCTTCCAAATTAAATTTCACACTGAGGTCAAGTAAGGCAGTACAGTGCATGCAGACTTAGCAGTGGTAAGCAATTCGTACCAACCAGATTAACATGGCATTTTTAATAATCTTTCCCTAAAACTGTCTACAGTGTTAGAAACAAATTCCGTCTGCAGTTAAACCAATCTCAAAAAAGGTATTTGAAGAGGCCGCAAACTATATTCTCCACATTTCTTGAAAGATCTAATTTATCATCTGTTTTATAATCCCTTTCAGTTCACCTCTGATGAGTATCCCCTTTCCTAGGGAGACAATTTGCCACTTAATACACTGAATGTTCGAG